CCTTGCAGCTACTGTTAAATTCTTGTAGGTGCCATTTGTAACACCCTTGAGTGCAGCCTGGATCCTGACCTCATACTCAGGGACAGTAGACACCACCAGCTTGCCTTGGCGGCAACCCATGGCATAGCAATTGAGCCTAGCTCAGTGCAGTGCTCATGGGTGATGGATTGCAGCTGCATTGAAACACACTGTTAATTTCAATATCCGACATCAGCAGCTTCAGCAAGTGACACCAATCCATGATTTTTGCTGCTGTCACACTGAAAACATGATCTCCATCATTTCTTAATGGATTTGATTTTTTTCACTTGGAACATGCTATGATAGTATGTAGAATATACTTAGTGAAGTAGCTAAGCAATTGCTTTAACATTGAGTGCTGTAGACAAAATTCATGGAATGGTGGACCGTAACGGAATGATAGTAACCGATAGTAGTGCATGGATCAATGATCTACGAAATGTCATCCCACGCCGCACGCTGGAGAAGTATACGAGTCGGCAGAGCCCGTTTGCATCTTAGTGTGTGAACCCTGGGGCTCACTGCAGGAAAAGAGATCTACAAAGAGTAAGTCCGTGGATGGGGTGAGTGTGGTGGGGAGGAATCCTAGAACATATTGCAACGGACGGGAGTTTCCCTCATTGATCATGAACATCTACAGACAGTTGGTGTAGCGTCAGCTCTGCGATATCAAAATTCAAAACGGAAAGGTTCTCATCACGCCAAGCCACTCTTGACCAGTCATTTCATAGTCTAAATTTTGCTCCATGAACGACAATGAATGAGGCATACGACTAGACGTCACAACGTAGTGATCGTACGGTCCCCAGATGACATGTCGGACATAGAAATACACGCGAGGATCTCGGAGCCGTGCACGTCCCGGTCGATATGCCAGAGATGGAGGTGCATGCGCGTGGCGAGGATCGCAAGGACAAAGGCTTGCAAACTGTAGGGGTGTCATCAGTAGAAATTTGAAACAGAAGTTGGGGGCGCGTACTCTTCGAGGAGGGAGTAATATGCGGGCTGGGTGGGCGGAACATCAGTGACCCGATCCTATCGACGGGTATAGGGGCGTTTACACACATCAGAAAACATTACTGGCGCAAGGACATTCACGGCCGAGAGAACTTTCGAGACGATAATCATCACTGATGAGGACAGAAATATGTGGAAGTGCCGACTCACACAGACCGCATGCATAATAGAATATGTTATGCTTCATCAGAACGGTGTGCATACCGCCGTTGGACGTTCTCCAGGTCTGGAAGGCACGTATGAGTGTTAGTATGAACAGTCCTGGGAAGAGCGTCAGCCATTGCGTCTCTGTAATGTAGTGTATGCTCCATGTTCCCAGTGACATACCAAGTTGAAAGGCAAGCAAGAGAAGAAATGGCATGAAGAATTGGACACTGGTTGAACTCCGGTAGCAGCCTGTGATGCCTGGGACCGCGCTAGTCGTAACTGTGAGGTGGAGTGAATACGTGCGAATAGTAGTGGGGAAAATGAGAGCGTAAACCATAAGAGGTAGCAATAGCGCTAAAACAAATGCCAATGAACGATACAATGATAGCCTGACTGATTCATCAACCATAGGATCAGGTGTGATGAGGGTATGGGACTCACAAAAAGGGTAGACAGCATGGCTACAAGCACAATCCTATTGCCGTTCCAAAGCGCATATGTCCTGAGCACAAAAAAGCCTGGAAGAATCGGATCAGAAGCACGTGTATGCTGCAGAGGAAGGTGAGATACATTCAGAACAAGTGAGCGATATCACTCCGAGACCTGTAAGAGGAAAGAGCAGCGCTCGGCAAGGACGTGCATGTAGCATGTAACATGCACGTACTTGAGTAAATATTGACTAGTATCTTGCATTTCTGGAGATGTCATGCAATCAGCATCATTCATCGACGGGTAGGTAATTCCGCTACACATTCACATACTTTGGGGTTCTCGCTCGGGGAGAAATTCACTGAAACATAACGTGTCAATTCGATATGCGTAGATGTATGCTGGGATTAAACATACGATATATGTCCGTGATGATGAATAAAAAGGGGACATATCGCGCAATGATATAAAGGACTTTCACCTTCGTCCAGTGCGACCGACGCAGGAACTTCCACTTTGAACAGCATGTTGTCAATATTTGAGCCGAGGCATATCGCAGCGCAAGTGTATCACCTCTTCGTGAAGTGAACAAACATAATCATAGGTCTGCATAAGTGAGTTTAACAACGGACGGGATCGATCGATCGGAATAAGCTTACCCAGAATGTCGCCATTGACGCTGAGCTGTCACGTTAGAACACGGAACAAGTAATTCAAACAGTACGCACTGCATATGTACTAGTGGTCCGTGGTATGTCTGTTATTGCCTTGCCATCGTGTTAAGAAAGCGACGCACCGCTAAGTACTGTAGACTCCTGGCCGCTGCGATCTCGTCAGCCGAGTATTCCATCTGTATTCGTTCGAGGTAAAAAGAGAGCTTCACGCGCTCATCATGCGCCGAACATCTTAAGTAACTCTTTTGACAAAATTTCGAACCTACCAAGACGGGGTCTAAACCTTAATCTAAGGACAACATTCGGCTTAGCTTGACGATCTTGATCGGGGCATGATCACAGGCCGCAGCAGGCGGGGCGTAACTTGATGGTAAAGTTGCAGTTGGCACTAGAAGCGTTCAGTAGTTTTGCTGAGAAGATGACCATAAGTACTCCGAGTCTATTCGGAGAGGGACGTAAACACACCTACTCATATATCCAACTAGGCTTGAACAACACAGTTCAACTTAAGTAACTTGCGTGTGCTCATAAGTCATGTCCTTTTGTTAGTAACGGTCTGATTCGGGGAGACTGATATGATCCATGATTCTTGAAGGTCGTCTACTCCGAGTCGGCTCCTGGTGCTTTTGGGGTCTCGTGTTTACAAGGTTCAACTTCTTTTTGATCAACCCTAGCCATTTCAGACGCACGATTCTTCGGAGATGAGGTCACTTTAATGTGCGCGCAACGATGATACGTAAAGCGCACTGAGAGTCCTGCTAGTACTGAAGAGCTAACATATTCTCGTCCACATCAAGCAGACTGATTTGGATTGATAAAGGAATCTCTAAAGGTGGAGATGTGGTAATGCAAAATGGTCAGTAGGTCAGCGAGGTGGACCAGTCTTAATTTCACTGATGGGCCTCAACGATCTGGTCACTGGCGAATTCCGGGTGGCCGACATGGAGGTTGATAAATGAATTAGAAGGAAACTAGTAGTGTGCAGGACGGTTGAGCATGTTCGAGGGATCCATTCATATTTCGCTGCAGGTGTTAATTCGAACGATTGAGCACCAGAGGTACCTCGCCAAAATTTGATTTTAGTTGTTCGTAGCATTGATGTACCTGTGTAGCACCCCTGACTATACGCATTCTATGAACAAATGGTCTTGCGCTTGCGGTGGACGCGTTTGTTGATCAAAGAACAACGAGAACCTTGCAGGAAACTAGGCATTGTCAGAAATGAGGGCTGTTAAAACAGAATAAAGCCAATCTGACAATTTCACTGCTGCTCCAGCATGCCTTCTTTCTGGCAAATGCACAGCGTGTCTGACTTGGACATGTTTGGAGGTCCAGCGACGCTGTCAGGTTATCTTAGTTCACACAGCCCTCCGCAGGGTATGCTTTACACACTAGCACCCAGAAAGTTATCGTTGCTCTCCGAATTTGAAATTAGAGGGCTCACAGGTTGTAGCTCATTGATATCCCCAAACTGGTTACTTGTAAGCGCCGGATCAGCGATATCAAGATTAATATTGAACGACACGAGACGACTTCGCAGATTTCCGTGGTTAGGTATAACCCGGACGGAGTTTGAAATCTTCATTCATCGATATCGACGATTCTACCGAACATGACGCGCGCATGAACATTGTAATGTCAAGATTTTCCACACAACACGGTCGTAGGGCTGGTCTCATTCATTGGGAAAAGTACTATTCTCAAGGAATCGATGTCAGCCATACGTCCGCATTCTACACAGCAGCCACACGCGCTGGGATGAAAGAGCCCAATATCATCAAGCTACGCAAAGCATACAGCATCTCTCAGCCCTCTCATAAAGCTTAATACATGGGCAACACAGGTTAGCTGAACTGATCATTTTCTGAACTGACTTCCTACACGACGTTCTGCCAGTGCCATGCTCCAGTTGGAAGGCTCCTCACGCTGAGTCACCCGTTTTCAATGCCTGTCATGACTTATCACACTACCCTGCTCCTTCTCCAACTTATCATCAATCTGCTAGCGACCATAGTGTGGTTGTGCAAACACCAGTGGCCGAATTGGCACCTGTAACATCCAGCTCATACCAGTACCCTTCTGTCCTCGATATTCGACATCTTAATCCATCACATGTTTAAATCTAGCGATTTTGGTCATCGGAAGGATCGACAAAGCCAAGGCCAAGTTGATTGTCCATCTCGATAATTTCACACAACGTCATGTCAACGTATGCATCAATGTTGAAGGCGTCTTCACTGCTTGGATAAACCCGATCTACGATTTGGTTGAAGTGTTACGCAAGTAAATGCTCACCAATATCATTAATATTGCCACTGGTGTTATATGTCTCGGTAAGTATGATTCATTCTCCCCGTGCACGTTTTCGTTCCTTTCTAGCCCAGGTTTTGGCCGACGTACAATTAGTGGTGCTGGTATCTGTGTTCTTGGTGTTTTGATTCGGAGTTAATCATCATGCGATTCTTCAAAGTACGCGGCCTCCCGTCCGAATGGCACAGCTGTAAAGCGGTATCAGTTATCTTAGCGTGAACTTCCCTCCCTCTTATGGGCACTTGTGTGTGACACGACTTGCTATATCTCGAAGCTCTTTTTTCTGTTTGCGCTCACCTGCCCCTCTCTCAGTGGGGACAACTACGTCTAAAAGTCAAAGTTACAATGCATTCTTACAAGAGGATGTTCATCGGGATCCCTGCGTGCATGCATGCGACGAGTCTACTGCCTTATAGACTCATATGCAGGCGGAACATCTATCGGTTCTCCTTCCTCACTAGGCGCCTGTCCCGCATCCTGGTGCTGAACAGCGCCAGACCCCTCACCGTCAACCTCTTGCTGTGTAGGTAGAGCGAGCCCCTGACGGCCAGCTGTAGCAGCGGCTCCTCGCTCTTTCATCCCGTGACCGGAAGAAGATGCAGATGCATTGCTGACTCTTGGAGCGGGTGATGTAAGTGGGCGCGGGGTGTGCCAGCCTGCTTGCTGCATTGGGTACATGCTCGGGCCTGGGCGTACGAAGCCCTGAGAGGGGTACCCCTCGCCGGGGGAGGTGGCAGTGTCGCTGTATTGCGAGGGAGAGCTGAGTGGGGAGGTTGTGCTGTGAATACCTGCGCTGGCGGCGGCACCCGCAGGTTGGAACGGACTTTCTCCATATTGACGCATGCTTCTGTTATGGTCAGGGTAAGGTAAGGGGGTGATCTCGTTTTCTTCGCCGAGGTCGATCTGGGGCTGGGCTCTGCCCCCTGAGGGATGGGAAACGAGATGATCGGGGTCCAAGTTCCCGTCAAATTCATTTCGCCTTCTGCGCCGGCGTAAGCAGAAGAAGAAAAGCCCAAGGAGGGCGATTATGACGACGACACCACCGACGACGCCACCTACGATTGCGCCGGTGTTTGATGAGTTGTTTACGGGAGATGGAGTGGGGACAGGGACAGAGGTAGTTGCGGACATCTCTGTGGTGATGACAGCTGTTGAACCGTATGAATTTTTTGATCTGGTAGATCAGGTGAACAACTGTAGAAAAATCGAGATAAAAGAGGACAAACGTAATCGTAGTGGGTAATGCAGTTGCCACAGAGGTCATGGAGGTTGCAATTGGAGTTGTTCCAGTCGTTACAGGGGTAGTTGATGTTGGGGCATTGCTGCTGCTCACGGAAGATGTCGAAGAGGCGAAAGTAGTAGTCGGGGATGCTGATGTGGTTGGCGATGTTGTTATCGGAACAGCAGTTACTGATGTCGGATAAGACATATGTGTACTGAAGGAGGGATCTGATGGGTTGACTGTATAGGAGGAGAACAGGGGCGAACTATACCCAAGTCACTTGATATCACGTGTTCAAATTCAAATTCAAGTTTTCAGTGCTTGATCGAGTTGCGTATGGATGACACGACGGGACTTGTGACGTCAAGATTTACGCATCTGTAGCCACAGCTTCAAGCAATGTGGGACAGTGAGACGAGGAAAGTTGCCGTCAAGTAGAAAGGGCACTCTAAATTTGTGAAGTCAATCTAGATGGTGAACGAGTGGTGAGCGGATTATATAATGGATTTATAAATATGGGACATTGTATTGTAAGCTGCTCACCCGAGGCAACAATAATTGCGACCTGCGAACGAGATGCGATCAAAACATGGGATGGCAAAGATAGGCGAATGGGTCACCACAATCAAACAAGATTGTTCAGTTTGGAGCTTAACCTGGACGATAAAAAGATCATTTCCGGGTCACTGACCGGCTCCGACATCAAGATATTTGACACTACCATATGGTGACAGATCGCCATTCTGGACGCATAGACTTAAACTTCGAGCAAGATAGCTTAGCACGTGACTGTATAAAATGTAGCTGCTCATCATTAAGCCACTGATCCATGTTTTCTGTGTGATGCAGAGAAACGTGCAACACCGTACTCCGAGCAGGGTCCGATATAGATAGGCTGGAAGAAAATGCGTGGAGTGGAGGTGAATCAAACGATCGAAGAGCCAAGGGCCAAATAGAGATAGGATGGCGCACGTGGCATAGTTGTGACCTGGGGTGCTGCAAAATACTATGAAACTGAAAAAAAACACGATGATGACGCACAGAATACGCACATAAAGACGGCCCGAACAAAAACTTGGGCAACTCCCTCGACCCAAAATTAAACATCCACTGTCTCAGTTACCAACTACCCGCTCCTCTCGTTCTTGCATGGAGTAGATCTTGCCTGATCCGTCTGAGTGCCACGGGCCAGTTGTGAGCTACATTTTGAAACGAGAAGTTATTACTGAGCGGTGTCAAGGATATTCATGGAGATCTGCAAGTTTTGAAGGACAAATAGCGAAACCGTCCTGCATACATCGTCCCGAAGTCTTCCTGTGCATTTTTATCGCTCTCGTGAGTAATGCCTTTGCATGTCTATTGACATGGATTCAGTTGATATCACAGACCTACCAACAATCTTAGCGTCTGCAAAGCAACAAAAACCCGCTTTAATTCAAAGAAGATCCAGACGAACTGCTCTTGCACACAGTCACGATTTCCTCGATTGAGACCCCAACCGTCCACCCGATACGGGTGAGTGGCGGGGCCGCCGTCGTACGGCCTATCAATCATCGAGCGATGACAGGACACTGCTGTTCCACGCATTTTCATCGAAGACCACCGTTAACATCAGATTCTTCCCGTGTTCGCGCACTTTGTACGGCTGCGCGAGCTGGTACACGCAGGACCGATTCGTGGTCCACGACACTACGGTCAGCTACTATTGTTCTCGACTGCACAACCCAGCTACATCGCCGAGCAGACCTTACCTGCTTGGCATGTTTAGGTTGAACTCATCTTAACTGGTCTTAGCCAAGTGGTTAACAGATTCGAAATCCGTTCCTCATACATTGTGCAGGTTCAAAACCCGCCGACAATAGTTTTTCTTCATGATTGCACCACCAATGGGCATGAACTCACGAGGTCTTCGAACGTCAGGCATGAGACTCATGGCCAAGTGGTTAACAGATTCAAAATCTGTGGTGTAGGTTCGAAACCTGCTGACAATAGTTTTTCTTTATGATTGCACCTTGGATATGAGCTCATGAAGAGGTCTTCGAACGTCAACTGTAAGGGTTACAGCCAAGTTGTTAACAGATTCGAAATCTGGTCCTCCTGGATGGTGTAGGCTCGAAACCTGCTCACCATAGTTTTTTCTCTATCAGATCGCACCTTGGATATGAGCTCATGGAGAGGTCTCCGAGCGTCAACTGTCAAGCTTATGGCCAGGTTGTTAACAGATTCAAAATCTGTGGTGTAGGTTCAGAACCCGCTGACGATAGTTTTCTTTCGTGATTGCGCATCCAATGGGCATGAACTCAAGACGTCTTCCAATGCCAACCACAAGACCCATGGCAAAGTGGTTAACAGATTCAAACTCTGTGGTGTAGGTTCGAAACCTGCTGACAATGGTTTTTCTTTATGATCGCACCTTGGACATGAGCTCATGGAGAGGTCTTCGAACGTCCACTTTAATGCTTATGGCCCAGTTGCTAACAGACTCAAAATCTGATCTTCCTGGATGGTGTAGGTTCGAAACCTGGTGACACTAGTTTTTCTATCAGATCGCACCTTGGATATGAGCTCATGGAGAGGTCTTCGAATCGGAACTATAAGGCTTATGGCCAAGTTGTTAACTGATTCGAAATCTGTTGTGTAGGTTCGAAACCTGCTGACAATAGGTTTCAGTTTTTTCCCTATCAGATCGCTCCTCCAAATATGAGCTCATGGAGAGGTCTTCAAACGTCAACTATAAGGCTTATAGCCAAGTTGGTAACAGATTCGAAATCTGGTCTTCCTGGATGGTGTAGGTTCGAAACCTGCCAACAGCCGAGTGCTTAACAGATTCGGGATCTGTCTCTCCCAGATCGTGCAGGCCCAAAACCCGCCGACAATAGTTTTTCTTCATGGTTGCACCTCAAATGGGCATGAACTCGAGGGGTCTTCGACTGCTACAATGCCTTACCCATGGTCTTTTATTCTAGGTCTATAATGACATTGGTAGGATTGGATCTCTCAGCTCAATATCTCCAATCGTCCACCGACTGGGACCAACCTCCCGTTTCTAATTCCACCTTGAGCCGGGATAAACTAGAAGCCGCTATTGCGCAAACGGTTGCACAAGTCACTTGGATTGGTGAGGGATCGTACTAGTATGCATGGCTCTGTTATTACTCACGCTGTGTCACCAACTCAGCAGGGCGAATGGATGGAGGAATTCAACCTGGCAATGGGACGGCCCTTGCCTATGAGGAGGTGATCGCCCTACGCCTTCATGTCAGTATTAACTGCACAATGATAATTTGTTGAAATTGATTCTAGTTGCTGTTTGCGACCTCTGTGTCGGTGATCATGTTGGGATTGGCTCTACACACAACAAGAGCGTTTCATGCATCCCGCAACAGTCAGGCTCCCATCCCAAATGCAGGCGCACTGCAACTCTTATGGTTGAGTTATCATTCAGCACCTGTCCACGAAGCTTTGCAAAGTGTGGAACATCCGACGGAAGCTAACTTACATCGCGCGGGCATGATAGATGTTTGTTTTGCGAGCACCACATCTGACGAAGAAGAGCTGTCAATGAGGAGTTTAATTGATAGTCAGGCAGTTGACCGTGACGATGGAATGTCACATTGGGTTTGAAAACATTGGACGCGATAAAGACCGTATCATCTTGGTGTTAGCTGTGCAACACTCGTCAGAAGCCTTCGTCGAATATTGTGCATGGCAACACCAATATGAATCTCATTGACACGTATTTAACTCTATCTCATTCTCTACTTTTCCTCCTTTGGCGAAATCCTCGCTGTTCAACATCATTTGCAACACTTGTGTATATTCAATAGCACTGTACATTGCCTGTTTGATACCTTTGTGGAAGATGAATTTACCTCACAACTGCCTGTGTAATTTGCATGGATATGCGATTGCAAAGATCCTGGTGCTTCTCGTCGTCGTCATTCACGTGATTGGCCTGCTCATGAATTCATATCTCAATAGAAATGCGCACGAGGGCCTCGGAGCCATCCACGTGCCGCTCAACATGCCAGAGGTGGAGGTGCATGCGCGTGGCGAGGATCGCAAGAATAAAGATCTGCAAACTGTACATGCATATTTGAAGACGTCAGTAGGAACTCGCAATAGAATTATGACGTGCATACCCTTCGAGGGAAGAGTATACGGAATACACCTGCGAAATATAAGTGACTACGTCGTATCGAAGAGTATTGTTCACGCACATCTGAAAGTAGCATTGGCAAAAGAACATTCACGGCCGAGAAGACTTTTGAAACGGTAATCATCGCTGATGAGCACGTAAGGCCTGACTCACGTAGACCACATGCATGGTAGAATATGTTATGCTTCACCAGCATGGCGTACAGAAGGCCCTTAGCCGACCGCCAGCTTTGTATAACGCGTATGATTGTGAGGCAGACCAGTCCTGAAGAGAGCGCCAGTCAGCGTGTGAGTCTGCAATGTATGCACCCCAGTTCCCGACTACATACCTAGTTGGAACACAAACATGAGAATATAAGGCAAGAATAATAGGACACCGTGTGGGCTCCCAGAGCAGCCTGGGATGCCTGGGATCGCGCTAGTCGTGACTACGAAAGTGAACTGAATATAGCGAATAGTATAAGCGGAAAATGAAGCACAAACCTTCAGAGGTAACGCCAGCGACAAGCACAAGGCTGACGGATGACACGACGGTTGCCTGGCTAGTTCGTTAAAGATGAGCTGGGGTGTGGAGTGCACATGTGGCTCACAAAAAGGGCGGACAGCATGGCTACAAGCACGATTCTATTGTTGCTCCAGAGTGCGTACGTTCTGAGGGTAAAAAAGCCTGGGTGAATTTGATCAGGAGAACATTTATATCGCGGGGTAAGGAGAGATACATTCAGAGAAAGTGAGTGACATCAGTCCGAAAACTGTCAGAGGAAAGAGCAACGCTCGTAAGGATGTGCACGTAGGATGGACTGTGCGCGTACATGCGGAAATATTGCTCAAGATCCGGCATTTCTAGCAAGTCATACAATAAGCGTCGTCAGTGGAAATCCGCTGCACATACCTCGGGGTTCTCGTTTTGAGCCAAGGTCGCTGAAGCAAAGTATGTCAAATCATTGTCGGAGGGATGTGCAGCGTCGGGAACGAACGTACAACATAGGACCAATATGATAAGGACAAATGGAACATATCGTGCAATGATGTAAAGGCCTTTTACCTTTGTCCAGCGCGATCGAAGTAGGAATGTCAACTTCGAACACCATCAACATCCGCAGCGAGGCGTATCACGGAACAAGTGCACTACCTCTTCATGAAGTGAACAAACAAAATCATAGGTCTACATAAGCAAGTTTAACGGTGGACGGGAGTAGATCAGGCCAGGCCTACCCAGAATGTCGCCGTCGACGCTGAACCGTCAGGTTAGAACGAGGAAGAAGCAGTTCAGGCAGCACGTACTGCAAATGTACTGGTGACCACATGTTCGTTATTATCCTGCCCTCACATTAAGAAAGAACGCACTGCTAATAATTGTAAATTCCTGGCCGCTGCGATGTCGTCAGCCGAATATGCCATCTGCATTCGCTCGGGAAGGAAAAAACCCAAGTTTCGCGCACACGACTTTTTGTCTCTCTTATGAATGAGCTGGGAACCCATCAAGGGAAGGCTGTGAATATGGTTACCATTCGGCTGAGCTTGATGATCATAATGGATCTTTCAATTAGCCACAGGATGCACTAGGCGGGGCGCAACTTGATAAATCTTACAGCTGACGAGTCGGAAACATAGGGTAATTTCGCTGAGAGGGCAGTCAGTCATAAGTACTCCATCAAGACACAAAACACACTAGAGAAGGGCAGACCTTCCCCGGCATGCTTGTTCTATAAGTGTTGTGTATTTTTTGTTGCATGCAGTGTAGTAGGGGATGCCAGGGCAAGGAGCGGCCACACAGCACCGTAGATTAATCATCTGCGGAGGGTCTGTCTGGGTAGTACTCTTCACCACTTCTTGCCTTGGCAGCCTTTCTCGCGATACGCAGTCGCGGGATACACCGCTCCAGTAGGAATAGATCGATCGCCTGTTTGTACTCGAGTTTACGGGGTTGGGTAGAGCCGTTGGAGTAGGGGGTTCCAGGCAAGGAGATAGGCGAGAGCAGCGCCACGGGAGGTTCCGAAGGCTGAGTCAGCGAAGTCGAGGCTCTAGACACACATGCTCATAGCACATCATCATCACACGCAGCAGCACACTCGTCTCTGGGTTCAGCTCCCTCGTCCCTGTCCACCGTGGGCGCGCCGCCTCAGTACCAGGTGACTAAATGTGAGTTGGTTGAGAATTCCTCCATGAAGTAATATGCAAAACAAGGTTACCCGCTGTGTACAGGCATAATCGACGTGCTTGCGGGATGATTCAAAAATTCGCATCATGACATGTGGTCATTGCGATGGTTTTTGGTTCTGAAAGGCTTGATGAACCCCGGCCGTTTTAGATGTACGTTTAATCAAAGAATTCGTGCGCGATAATGATATGTGAGGCAGATTGATTTGGATCGACACAGGAATCAATAATGGGCGGATGGGACTAAGAATACTGGTGGCAAATCTAACCGCCATAGTTCTGAGGCGCTTTGACGCAACTTGAAGACGTGCCACATCTCTAATATACTTGGCGGCCGTCACGTTTCCTGAAATCAAATTAAATCAAGGGATCCAGAGAGTAAGAATTGCAGCCTCTGCAAGACATGGCAGTAACATTCTATGAGGATACACACCATCAATTGAAAGGCCACTGATCGATTACATGTAGACCGATAACGAATCCAGGATCCTGTCAGGATTCGAACGCTATGAAACTCCTTCCCGGACCTCGGGTACTTGTGAATGGAGATGCCATGGGCTGCACTGTCCAATACAACAAAGTAAGGTTATTCTCGAGATCAGGTGGGGTACATCGCTCAGCGATTCACAATCAAATCAACGACGTATCGTAGATGATTCTTTGGTAGATGTAAGACGATGATGTTCATATCAGGTAAAACACCATCCATCCAGCCTTTACCGTCGAAATGAGCGTCATGGGAGCAGTATCCGTTCCTGCACTTAACCAATGTGAGTATTGCGCATGTGGTCAAGTACAAACGAGAACTCGATCCAGAGTCTCTTGATCAAATCAACATATATATGTAGATGTTAGTCGTGAAGCTGCAAACTAGTCCACGTTTGAAATGGTAATGTGTGGATACCATCAAAATCGATGTATAAACAAGAACTCACGAGATAAGAAGATTCCGACGCACGCGAAACCACTCTGAATTTGTGAAGTCAGTATGCTGGAGTCTAGATGGTGAACGAGTAGTGAGCGGATTATATAACGGATTTATAAATATGGGACATTGTATTGTAAGCTGCTCACCCGGGGCAACAATAATTGCGACCTGCGAACGAGATGCAATCAAAGTATGGGATGGCAAAGACAGGCGAATGGGTCACCACAATCAAACAAGATTGTTCAGTTTGGAGCTTAACCTGGACGATAAAAAGAAGCTCATTTCCGGGTCACTGATCGGCTCCACCAAGATATTTGACACTACCATATGGTGACAGGTCGCCATTCTGGACGCGTAGACTTGAACATCGAGCAAGATAGCTTAGCACGTGGCTGTAAAAATGTAGCTGCTCACCATTGAACCACTAATCCATGGTTTCTGTGCGATGCAGAGAAACGAGTAACACCGTCCTCCGAGTAGGGTCCGATATAGATAGGCTGGAAGAAAACGCGTGGGGTGGATATGAATCAAACGATCGAAGGGCCAAGGGTCAAATAGAGCTAGGATGACACGTGTGGCATAGTCGTGACCCGGGGTGCTGCAAAATACTGAGAAACTTAAAAAAAAACATGGGGATAACACACGGAATACACACCTAGCAGGCGGCCCAAACAGAAACTTGCGCAACTCTCTCGACCCAAAATTAAACGTACACTGTCTCGGATACCAACTACCCACTCCTCTCGTTCTTGCGTGGAGTAAATCTGTGCCTGATCCGTCTGAGTGGGGCTTGCTGTGAGTTACATTCTGGGTGAATAGGTGAAACGAGGAGTTCTTACTGAGCGGTGTCAAGGATACTCATGGAAATCTGCAAGTTTTGAAGGACAAACAGCGAAATCGTCCTGCATACAACGTCCCGAAGTCTTCCTGTGCATTTTTATCGCTCTCGTGAGTAATGCATATGCATGTCTATTGACATGGATTCAGTTGATATCATAGACCCACCAATGATCTTAGCGCCTGTAAAGTAACAAAAATCCGCTTTAATTCAAAGAAGACCAAGACAAGCTGCTCTTGCACATAGTCACATTTTTCTCGATTGAGATCCCAAACGTCCATCATGCCTTCTCCGACTACTAAGGTGAAAAGTACGTCAGAATTAAATCCCTGCAAGACGATGCGAGGCCATAAAAACTACGTACCTGGCATTGCGTACCTGTCCGGCGGGCAGCGCATCATCACATGTTCATATGACGGCTCACTTCGACTTTGGGACCTAAGGAGTTGTGTAGTGATGACTGGCGAGATTGGGAGGAAAGGATATGAGTAAATTGGATATTATCATCTCAAAGCGGCCAAATTGTTGCGAGGACAGGACAGTGAGGTTGTAGAACATTGAGACCGGGAAGGTCATTGCCGAATGAAAAGGACACTGTCAGGACACTGCGCTGGAGTCTAGATGGTGAGCGAGTTGTAAGTGGAGGCTGGGATTGGGTGGTAAAAGTACTTACTAGTGTGGAATGTGCATGTGAAGAGCGGTGAACTTGTTCAGGGTCTCAATAGGGCTGCTCATAAATGTTGTACGCTATTAGTACTATAGTACTGGCCATCACATCATGCTTACATAATGTCACACTTTGTTTGCAGGCGTTGCCCATTCCCACTTTTAGACTAGGAAAGAATGGTACGCAAATCCAAAACATCAACCAGATCTGTAGCTCCTATATATAACCATCATGCCCCATCTTGCGTATAAAAGTCCCTTATCGATTCCTCGTCTCATTGTCAAATCATCTCACTAGTGACCGTATCTTATACAATGCCGCTTCCCCCCGCCGATGGAGTGTATACTATCAGAAACATTGGCAGAGGCCTCTTGCTCGATCTGAAGGACAACAGGACTGATGAAGGCAACAAGATCCAAGGCTACTCCAGAAATGACACCAAGGCTCAAGAGGTATCTATATGTGTTCACGCCCACTTCAATGTGACTGCTTCTCACACATCACGTATACTAGTGGGTGATGAAAAGACAAGAGTCACCAGACAAAGAAGCGTCCGCCTACAAAACCTATAGCATTCAGTCCAACAACAACGGCTATAACGGTAACGGATGCTTTGCTACTGCGAACCAGGTATGCTGGATTGGCATCCATTCTGTCATTTGCTTGTTGGTTGACGCGGACGTGGCCAGGAATGGGATGAACCAGTCGTTTATACCAGGCAGTCGATTCTCGTTGATCTTGTTGAACGCGGCTTTGAAGAAAATTTTTGGTGAGAATCCGATGCAGTGCTTAGTAACTCGTTTTTGCTAATTTAACGACTCGCATGTATGGGATGACCTTCACTGTGGCGGGTGACGACAAGGTGCTCTCCATTCCAAACACAAATGACCATGAAGTAAGTTGGTAGATCTTTGTTTCAGTGTCTTTTGCTCATAACATTCACAAGGTGGTAATCGAGCCTTACATGGAAGGATATGACTACCAGAAGTGGGAGTTCCTCCGGGTTTCTGATCTCCAACCAATTGGCAAGTAGGCACCACCTTGCCTGAGTTGCAGAGGTGTTCAAGGTTGAGCTATTGAAAGTGTTCCCGCATATATGTAGTACCCCGTCTGCTTCCGTTGTGTGTACGTTGATGAATAGGATTGCCTTGGTCTGGATCTCTTATGACCAAATCATCGAACCTCATGAGTAGGTAGAAGATGTCCATCGGTGAATCATTCGAGGAGGGTGCGCAGATCAAGCGTAGATCTCGCAAACAAGCAATCTGAAGTATATGCGCACCACCCATTATTGTTTCAGTGTTTCACCCGTTTATTATTTACTAAGCGAGACTTTATCGCTGGCGCAGCACCGTGAAATTTCAATGTACTAAGGGATTCAGCCCTGCATGACCGTGACTTGAAATGATTGTGCAGCAAGCTGCCCCGACCCACAAGAATTTTCCTCTTGGTGCAAATTGATTCTGGACCTCGGGTACTTGTGGTTGAGATGCTGTGGTTCTCCTGCCAGTGGTGAGGTCGTGGACTGCACTGTCCAATACAACAAAGTTAGGATATTCTCGAGATCAAGGTAGGGCACGTCGCTCAGCGATTCGCAATTAAATCAACGACGTATCATAGATGATACTTTGGTAGATGTAAGACGATGGTGTTCATATCAGATAAACCCAGCTTTTATCGTCAAAATGAGCATCATGGGGGCGGTAGCCGTCCCTGCATTTGACCAAAGTGACTATTTTGCGTGAGGTCAAGACCTCGATCCAGAGTCTCTTGATCGAATCAACATATGTATAGGTGTTAGTCGTGAAGCTGCAAACCAGTCTACGTATGAAATGGTAATGTTTGGACACCATCAAAATCGATGTGTAAACAGGAACTCACGAGGTTAGAAGATTCGGACGTACGCGAAAACCGATATATATTTTTCAAATTGTACAGGTTCAATCGATGGTGAGGTTATCGATAAGCCTGAGGGTCAAAACGTCGGCAGATTCGGGTAGTCGCGTTCTTCTAAGTTCTGGCACACCATCAGAAAGTCAGAATATAACAAACCACTAAAACGACGCAAAGTCCAAATGAATAACTCACCTCTCAGGTAATCCTACATCGCTCAACGAGACACAACATCTCAAAGATGCAAAAAAGTCCCAAAGCATACCATCGACACCCAGATGCAAAACACACTACTAATGTCATCATTTCGCATCGGTATTTTTGTCTGCGATTCATATTAAGCCAATGACAACGGCATTAATTTTGCAATTGAATTTGGAAGTTCGATCTAGATCCGTTTATCTATATCCGTGGGTAGGAACGCACCCCAGAACTATTACCGGTGATGCATGCATATGATCCGTCCAACTCTTGCACGCGAACTCGAAGACCCGTCTCATTTGAAGCTATTTCCGTCGTTGTGTGCTGCGGCGAAGGAATCGGAAGTTGGGCGTGGAGGCGGCGAGGTAGATGATATGGCGGAGATGGACGTTCGACGGGTATACAGTGGACTGATGAATGTATTGAAATCTCATAGTAGATAGCAAACATTGATCACCTCCGTTAACGGGGCAGTGGGTGTTGCATGCGACCTTGTTGATAGGAATGATGGGTTTTTGTGGCAGCCAAGCAAGTTGTCCAACCTAAACTCGAACGTTCTGAATGTGTTTATACATGTTTGCTACTCGCAATAGGGTGAACGTAACGGCGAGGTGATTATAAACGCAATTTGCAGTGATGTATCGTAAGAATGAACAAAAACATGATATGACGATGCATATATGAAATGTGCTGGTAAGTAACAAGTAGTCAGACTCCAGAGTCACCAAACATAGTACGACGACAACTAATGTCGAAGATAAACAAGGGATCAGGGTCTAAGATCATGATGACGATGACAATGCACTGTACATACGTATAAGCGTCCAAAGGTGGTGTCCATCGAAACATGGCAAGGGTAATATCACATATTCCACTTCAAATATCGCCTTTTGGAATCACTGGATGAGTCTACTGCCTTATAGAGTCATACGCAGGGGGGATATCTCTCGGTTCACCTTCTTCTTCACTATGCACCTGTCCTGCATCCTGGTGCTGGACAACGCCAGAACCCTCACCGTCGACTTCTTGCTGAGTAGCGAGGCCGAGGCCTTGACGGCCAGCAGCAGCTTCTCTCTCCTTCATTGCACGGCTGCTGGAGGAGGCGTTGCTGACGCTTGGTGCGGGTGATGTGAGGGGGAGTGGGTTGTGCCAGTCTGCTTGCTGCATTGTGTACATGTTTGGTCCGCCTTGGGGGTACTGGCCCGGGCCTGGGCGGATGAAGCCCTGAGAAGGGTACCCCTCGGCAGCAGTGGTGGCGGTGTCGCTGTATTGGGAGGGAGAGCTGAGTGGGGAAGTTGTGCGGTTTATACTCGCAGCTGCCGCTGCGCCGGCAGCAGCACCGGTAGTTAGGTAGGGGCTTTCTCCGTATTGGCGCATGCTGGCACCATGGTCAGGGTAAGGGGTGATCTCATTTTCTTCGCCAAGGTCGATTTGGGGGAGAGTCCCGCCCCCTGAAGGGTGAGAAATGACATGATCGGGGTCAAAGTTGCCGTCGAACTCGTCTCGCCTTCTGCGACGGCGTAAGCAGAAGATGATAAGGGCGAAGATGGCGATGACGGCGATACCACCGACTACGCCACCTACGATTGGGCCGGTGTTTGATGAGTTGTTTGTGGACGAGGAGGAAGTTGAGACAGGGATTGAGGTTGTTGTGGATATCTCTGTTGTGATGACGATTGTTGATCCGAGTGAATTTGTTGAGCTAGTATATTGGGTAAAGGACTGTGAAAGAAATGAGATATGAGAGGACGAACGTAATAATGACGGGTACTGTAGTCGCAACAGATGTCATGGAGGTTGTTGTTGGAGTGGTACTTGCGAATGCAGGGGTAGTTGAAGCTTGTGCATTGCTGCCAGTTGTCGTGGAAGATGTGGAAGATGTGGGAGTTGTAGCTGGTGTTGTTGCTGAAGTTGATGGGGTCGTCGATGTGGGCGTTGTTGTCGTTGATGGAGTAGTGCTGGTAGCTAATGATTAATCAGTACTGATTGATTATTTGTGAGGAGACGAAGGGGAAGAAGAAATACTTGGTGTTGTAGTGGGGGGAGTAGAAGTACTAGTACCGGGTGATGTTACAGCAGTTGTAGGTGCTACTGTCGTTGGGGATGTTGATAACGTCGCTTGTGGTGCAGACGACGACATGATGGCAAGAAGGAAATGAGCCGGGATTAGGAAAGACAACGTTACAGCTAACTAAAAAGTACTAAACGGAAAAACGTGGGTTCTTAAGAACTGCGCAGCCAACACGTGGAACCCACCGTCGGATTGAATAAGGTTTTGACGACGACACGCCCTTGCTTCAATCTCCGACATAGAACAGGCACTCACGGTCAACCAACTTGCCCGACATTCGACCAATTGTTTTACCGTGGTACCTATTCAATGTGGCCAACAGTGCGGACTTGCATTAATGACGGCTCAGCTTTCCTCCGAGTACGCACGTGGAGCTGGCCTTCTGAACATCAAAGGCCCAGCTATCAACTTGTTTGACACCAGCCTTGACCTGGCTTGCCCATTGCAGCCGGAATTTTCACTTCGTTTTTTATGACGCCGTCTCCCGACGTCCCCGTCAGTGACTTCGCTCGATTCCACCACCACGATTCTCAGTTCTAAACCCGACACCAGCGGCCCCCAGTCCCATTCGAGTAATCATCAACCCCGAGCATGTTCAGAAATAAATTAATAACCCCACGCCATCACGTTTCATCCGCTTTTCAAACGTTCACCCCGCACCGCTATCACGTACAGTCACATCGTTTCCTCAATCGTATCAACCCTCCACCCTTTCTCCTGCGATAAAGTACGAGAATAGGCATACCGTGTCTTGCTAACGTCCAGATAGTATCCAATCTACGGCGTAGTTGGCTTCTGCATCACTCACATCGTCCGAAACCTGCAGAACTAGTATTAACCAGTAGCGCTCCAGTCCCAGGCTACAGCCTCGATATCACTACGTACTAACACGGTTTCCATGTCACTGCATGGACTTGTTATCCTGTTAGTACGTACATACATCATCGCGAGTGGGTTGACCATCATCATCTATGATACGTCGTTGATTTGATCAACTGGCGAATCACTCGGTGATGTAGGGAGATACCCCACCTTGATCTCGAGAAGTTTACTTTGCTGTATTGGACAGCACCGCCATGCAATCCACCATGTTTCACCCACAGGTACCCGGTGTATACCAAAAATTTGGAAATAACCAATCGTCCGTCCCGTCCGGCCGTTCAGTCCAACCCTAATTTGGCTATCCAGAATTTATTTTTCAGGATTTGGCCTAAATTTGGGCGGCACAAAACCTCGCGAATGATATGTCCTTCAGGCCGATTGCCAATGAGGCAAATGTGGACATGATCTCTTGCGTTAAGTCAGGGATATTTGCGAGACGACCAGCAGCACATTCAGCATGATCTTATTTTATCGGATGGTGCGGACGGGCAGAACTTTCGAACTTTCAGGTTCTCTCGGGAGGATCCTGGATTCGTTATCGTTATCACCTTGCAATTACTTGCACAGGCTGCAATTCTTATCCTCTGCATCCCTTGATTTCATTTAATTCCAGGAAACGTCACGGCCACCAAGTATATTGGCGAGTTGGTATGCCTTCCAGCCGCATCAAACACGTCTCAGAATTATGATGACGATTGGATTTGCCGTCAGCCAGTATTCTTAGTCCCATCCACCCATTACTAATTTCTGTATCAATCCAGATCAATCTGTTTTACATATCATTATCGCGCGCGAATTCTTCGGCTAAGTTCACATCTAAAACAGCCGGGGTTTACCAAGCCTTTCAGAAGCAACCTTCAAGAACCAAGGACTATCACAACGACCTGGGAATTTTTGTATCAACTCGCGAGTATGTCGATCATGCCTATACGCAGCAGGTAACCTTGTTTTACATATTGCTTAGTGAATGATTTCTCAACTAACTCACGTCTAGTCATCTGGGCCTAAGCCAATGTGCTCACAGATCTACCCAATCCCGCTGTAATGGTTGAGTTTGGCATGTAGAGTGACTGGAGCACGTGCCAGGAACCTCGCACAGGTATCCAGAGTCATAGACATACAAGGCTAGTTGCATGTTTTAGGGTTAGGTTTATCGTCTCGTGCCGTCATCAGCTGTGTCTGCTGAGCGCCTCGCCCAGTGCATCCTGTGATTACATCACCTGATCGGAGGATTCATTGTGATCAAGAAGTTCAGCCAAATAGTAACAGTATTCACAGCCTCCCCTTAATGGATTCCCAGCTTATTCATGAGAGAGATATAAAGGCGCTTGCGTGAAACTTGAGTTTTTTACTTCTCGAGCGCATGCAGATGGAATATTCAGCTGCTGATATCGGAGCGGCCAGGGATTTGCAATTCTTAGCGGTGCGTTCTTTCTTAATGTGCAGGCAGGATGATAACGAACATGTGGTCACCAGTACATTTACAGTACGTGCTATCTGAACTACTACTTCCTCGTTCTAACCTGACGGTTCAGTATCGACGGCGACATTCTGGGTAGGCTCGTCTTGATCTATTCCAGCCCACCGTTAAACTAACTTATGTAGACCTATGATTTTGTTTGTTCACTTCACGAAGAGGTGATGCACTTGTTCTGTGATACGCCTCGCTTTGGATGTTGATAATATGGTGTTCGACTCGGAAGTGGACATTCCTACTTCGATCACGCTGGACAAAGGTAAAAGGCCTTTATATCATTACACGATACATTCCATTTGTCGTTATTTTCTTGGAACTATGGTGTACGTTCATTCCCAACATTGCACACCCCCCCAATAATGAATTGACATGCTTTGCTTCAGTATCCTTGGCCAAAAACGAGCCAAAGGTATGTGCAGCGGACCTCCGCTGATGATGACGCTTACCGTATGACTTTGCTAGAACTGCCAGATATTGAGCAATATTTTCGCATGTACGCGCACAGTCCACGCTGCATGCACAGCCTTACCGGGCGTTGCTCTTTCCTCTCACAGATTTCGGAGTGATATCACTCGCTCTCTCTGAATGTATCTCTCCTTACCCTGTGATATAGGTGTCTTCCTGATCAGATCCACCCAGTCTTTTTTGTTCTCAGGACGTATGCACTCTGGAACAACAAGAGAATCGTACTCGTAGCCGTGCTCTCCGGCTATTTTGTGAGTCACATACGCACTCCACACCCTAGCTCATGTCTGACGAACCAGTCAGGCAGTTATCATATCATGCATCGGCATTTTGGCTCCCGCTGGTCCTTTCCCTGATGGTTTGTGCTCTCATTTCCCCCACCATTACGCTATTCGCTGTATTCACTCCACCTTCGCAGCCACGATTGGCCCGGTCCAAGGCGTCCAAGGCTGCTCCCAGAGCCCACAAGGTTTCCAATTATTCTTGCCTTTTGTTCTTGTGTTTGTGTTTCAAGTGGGTATGTAGTCGGGAATTTGGAGCATCCATTGCAGACTCATACACTGACTGACGCTCTATCAAGGACTGATCTGCCTCACGATCACACGCGCTATACAGCGATGGCGGTTGGTTAAGGGCCCTCTGTTCGCCATACTGGTGAAGCATAACATATTCTACTATGCATGTGGTCTACGTGAGTCAGACCCTGCACATATTTCCGCGCTCATCGCTGTTTCAACAGTTTTCTCGGCCATGAACTTTCTTCTGCCACTACTACTCGGGGATGTGCGTAAGCAATACCTTTCGATAAGATGTAGACATTGATATTTCTCAGATGTTCGCCGTATACTCCGCCATTGAAGCGTATGTACATCACAATTCTATTGCAAATTCCTACTGACAGCGTCTCTACTGGCAAATACGCATATACAGTTTTCAGATCCTCATCCTTGCAATCCTCGCCACGCGCATGCACCTCCACCTCTGGCATGCTGAGCAGTACGTGAACGGCTCTGAGGGCCTCGTGTACATTTCTTTATCCGACATGCAACCTGTAAATGGTGCGGCGTGACGCGTGACGCTTGGTCTCTTCGCCGTCGTTTGTGGCGTGGAACTTGATCAATCTACGAGATCACTGGGCGGATTTGGAAATTGGGACGGGCTTGTATCACACTCTCCTAGGAATCTATTTTTGTCATAGGAGTGATATGTATTTAGATATGAGCAAGCCAATCGAGGTCAACGTGGGCGGCGATGACGATTTATGGGTTGCTTTAATACTTGGTTGTTCCCTTCAATTTCTCTGGAAAAAGTCTGAGCAGCCAGTCTTGTTAGCCCTGGCAAATATCCAAAGGGTATTGGGGGCCATGCAACTTGATTATTGATGCAGTGGAAACTGAAGGATTTTGCGGGTCCTCGATTCATTATTCTATACTACGTACTAGCAATTCCACCACTACGTAGTAAGTACTGCGCACAGTGTCGATGTCGATGTACGGAACCGGTTCGATTGGCTCGTCATTTACATATTGAATTTTCTGCTTGAATACAGGGCCATGCATCCCATTTCTTTGATCTTTGAGATACTCACTGGCTCATCCATCCTCGATGAAATCATCGTGGCCGATCGTCGTGTAGACAGGCAAGCCTTGCCCACGCTCATGGACAAACCGTCAACGTGTAATATACAATGTCATTATTGTATGTTCTAGAAGCTGTTGGTTAGCATGATAATCTGTGCTTTGTTTCCCTTTAGAACGAGTGGTGGAGCAAGGAAAAATAGGTAAATGAAGCTTTACAGAAGTAATCTTCGCCATTGCAACATTTCTTGTGAGCAGATGTACAAGCGGATGCGAACGGGAGCTATTAATAGAACGAAGTAATTGTCGATAATTTGATTACGACCATCGGCAGTATTGTTTGCTTATGTTTGGGGAGCCAAGACACTTAGCGTTACTCGCCTTCCTATTTTCTACATACCTTAGTTGTCTCGCTCACGTCGACTGAGGTGAGTACTGTACTTACCAGAGCAGAGCTTCACTAACTAGTGTCTAGTGTTCGCATTCTTAGGTAAAGTATATTGAATACAGTGACTCGTCTCGCTCACGACTGTTCGCGTTCTTAGTAATCTCAGTCTCTAGAAAGAACTAAGATGCTCGTCTGCTTGGCCTCTAGGCTTTATACTAAGTAGGATAGGAACAAGAAAACGTACGTAGCAAAGTAGAATATTGACAAGCTCGAACCGACGTCACAGCGTCGTCCTCACTTCTTTTGGGTTGCGGTCGAACCTGCTCCTCACCGTGTATCGTCTATCGCGCCGTTCCTATCTCGGATCGTTCGGTCATGGACTCGTCGGATCTCTCGGCGTCCAACAACATTCACATGTCATGATGCGAATTTTTGAATCAACTTGCGAGTGTCGATCGTGCCTATACACAGTAGGTAACCTTGTTTTACATATTACTTGGTGGAGAATTTCTCATGTCTAGTTACCCGGTAATAAGGCGGTGTGCCGAAGGCTCTACCCCTATGTACTCGAGTACAAAACGGCGGTCGGTTTATTCCTGCTGGAGCGGTATGTCCGCGACTGCATGCTTGTGTGTCGCAAGCAAGGCTGCCAATGCAAGAAGTGGTGAAGAGCACTACGCTACGACAAAGCCCTACAGACTATGGATGTCTAATTTACGGTGCCGATGTGGCCTACCTCCAGCGTCCCCTACCACGCTGCATTGCAACTAAAAATATACGACACTTATAGAACAAGGTCATCGGGAAAGCCCTGCCCTTCTCCAGTGTGTTTTGCATCTTGAAAGAGTACTTTGACTAATCACCCTCTCAGCGAGATCACTCTACGTTTCCGACACTGCCTGTAAGTTTTATCAAGTTGCGCCCCGTCTAGTGTACCCTGCGACTACATCAATCTAATTGTGGGATCCCTCATGATCATCAACTCGGCTGAATGGTGATATTCACAGCTCTCCTTATGGGTTCCCATCTCATTCACGAGAAAGATAAAAAGGTGTGCGCGAAACTTTAGTTTTTGACTTCTCGAGCGAATCCAGATGGAATATTCGGTTGATGAAATTGTAGCGGCCCGGAATTTGAAATTCTTAGCGGTGCGTTCTTCTTAATGTGAAGGCAGGATAATAACGAACATGTGGTCACCAGTACCTTTACAGTATGTGCTGTTTGAACTGCTTCTTCCTTATTCTAGCTAACCTGACGGTATCAGCATCGACGGCGACATTCTGGGTAGGCTTGTCCTAATCTGCTCTTGTCAGCCGGTAAACTCGCTTATGTAGGCCTATGACTTCGTTTGTTCACTTCACAAAGAGGTAATGCACTTGTTCCATGATACGCCCTCGCTTTGGATGTTGATAATATAGGTGTTTGACTTGGAAGTGGACATTCCTACTTCGATCGCGTTGGACAAAGGTAAAAGGCCTTTATATCGTGGCACGATATGTCCCATATGTCCTTATCATCGTCGACCTATGTCGTACGTTCATCTCCATACTGCACATCCTCCCGATAATGAATTGATATGCTTTGCTTCAGTGGCCTTGACCCAAAATGAGAACGTCAAGGTATGTACAGCGGACTGCCACTGATGAGAACGCTTACCGTATGACTTCACTAGAAATGCCAGACATTGAACAATATTTCCTCATGTACGCGCACAGTACATACTGCATGCACATCCTTACCGAGCGTTGCTCTTTCCTCTCACAGATTTCAGATTGATATCACTCACTTTCTCTGAATGTATCTCTCCTTATCCCCGTGACATAGATGTTCCCTGATCAGATTCATCCAGGCTTTTTTATTCTCAGAACATATGCACTCTGGAACAACAATAGAATCATACTCGTAGCCATGCTGTCCGCTCTTTTGGTGAGTCACATGCGCGCTCCACACCCTAGCTCATGTTTGACGAGCCAATCAGGCAACCATTGCATCATCTATCGCTATTTTGTTTACCACTAGTACTGGTGGTTTGTACTCTCACTTTCCCCGCCATCATACTATTCGCTATATTCACTTCACTTTCGCAGTCACGACTAGTGCCATCCCAGGAATCTCAGGCTGCTCCCGGAGCCCACACGTTGTACGATTCTTCTTGCCTTTTATTCTCATGTTTGTTTTTCAACTGGGTATGTAGTTGGGAACTGGGAGCATACATTGCAGGCTCACGCTGACGGACTCTCTCTCTAGGACTGGTCTGTCTCACGATCATACGCGTTATACAGAGCTGGCGGTCGGCCAAGTGCGATCTGTACGTCATGCTGGTGAAGCATAACATGTTCTACTATGCATGCAGTCTGCGTGAGTCAAGCCTTAGATATGTTTCCGTGCTCATCAGCAATGATTACCGTTTCAAAAGTTTTCTCTGCCGTGAACGTTCTTCTGCCAGTGCTACTTTCGGATGTGCGTACATAATGCCCTTCGATATGATGTAGTCATTGATGTTTCGCAGATGTATTCTGTATACTGCTCCCTCCAAAAGTATGCACATCACAATTCTGTTCCGATTTCATACTGACAGCGTCTCCAAATCCGCATGTACAGTTTGCAGGCCTTTATTTTTGCAATCCTCGCTACGCGCATGCATCTCCACCTCTGGCATGCTGAGCGGCGCGTGGACAGCCCCGTGGCCATCGTGTGCATTTCTTTGTCCGACATGCCACCTGTAAACTATAAGACGTGACGCTTGGCTTATTCGGCGTTGTTTGTGGAGTGGAACTTGATCCACGAGATGGCTGGTTGATTTAGAAATTGGGACGCGCTTGTATAACTCCCTCCCAAGAATCCATTTTTGTCATGGGAGTGACATGTATTGCGATATGAACTCATGAGCAAGCCAATTGAGGACAACGTGAATGACGCCGATTTCTAGGTTGCTTTGCTTGACGGTTCCCTCAATCTTCTCTGGAAAAAATCTGAACAGCCAGTCTCATTAGCCTGGCAAAGACCCCAAGGTCATTGGCGGCCATGTAAGGTGAGTTGACTCCGATTGATGGAGTGGAGACTGAAGGATTTTGCAGGTCCTTGATTCACTGTTCTGAAGCCCATTATACGTACTAGCAATTCCACCAGCAGTAAGTACTGCGCACGGTGTCGATGTACGAGACTGGTTCGAATGGCTCGTCATTTACATATTGGATTTTCGGCTTGAGTACAGGGCTGTATATCCTATTTATCTGATCTCTGAGATACCCGCTGGCTTATCCATCCTTGATGAAATCATCGCGGCCGATCGTCGTGTAGACCTTGCCCGTGCTCATGGACAAACCGTCAACATGTAATATATAATGTCCTTATTGTATGTTCTAGAAATTGTTGATTAGCATCTGGGCTTTGTTTCCCTTTCGAACGAGGTGGTGGAACAACGTATTTAACAGGAGACAGGTAAATCCGAAGCTCTCGACCTTCGCGGCCCTGTTTCCAAGCTCGCTGTTTAGATGCTAACCAATTTTTGCACGAGTTCCCTATAGGTGATGTATCCTGCGTTAGAGAGGACCTGCGTGACAATCACCCAGGCATAGGAGGGTGAATATCCCAAGCGCGCGCATCGGAGGATGCAAATGCCGTTGAGTGCTTTGATAGGTAACTAGATAAAGATAAAATATATCATCTGTACAAACTCGATGGCTACTCCAACGAGTTAGCGCAGCAGATTTTGCAGTTGAGGCTAGGGTCCCAGACGGGTCCCCAGCCTGCACCGCAGCTAGCGGAAGCATCAGGATCTAGGCAATCATATGTGCATGTGCTAGAAAGAGCTGCATTCGCCCCGGCGGCGGCAAGGATGGTGAGGTAGTAGGTGAACTGGATCTTCATGGTGTCTAGTAGCCTATACTATGTGTCAGTGATGACTGCCAGTATCGAAAAAAAACCACCCACGTCAAATTTTGGCTGTGTGGTGTACGCAAAGGTGCTAATGGTGGTACGTCCAGGAAGAGCTAAATGTGAAATAGATATGATGTCCAAGTTGCCCAAGTCTTCAAGCCAGATGATTACTCACTCAGACGGGGCGATTGTCTTTGAGGATCCAAGCTCAAGTTCGGGACTTGCCACATTCAATTTATATCAACTGTGCGGCAGAACTAGTTCTGCTTCAAGGTGAGCATACGTGGCAGAACCGCGTCAAGGACAACGAACATTCCACCAACAGGAACTAGGTGAAACGTTTATGCGGGGTATTTCAAGTTTGCCCATTTAAGCGGCCGGGATGACACCATTTACAGGAGCCCAGCTACGTCGCATTCGTGAAGACCGCTTATAGTACTGTGTCTTATCGAGTCATGGTGAGTAGCCACTTCAGCGTCTGACAGCCACTTACCTTGGTCGCATTTTTTATAACTCTGGCACCCCCTACTAAATCCCTCCCAAACCGCCCTAGTAAGAGTCAAGGCGATGTTACCACGACTCGGAAACTTATCTTTTCTTCTCTCGTCCTCGATAACACCGTGACGTTTCAAAATGCTGACGGTCACATCTCGCTTCCGAATTATCGACAGGGAAGACCTTATATGGGTGGTAGGTCGTTCCAAAGAATCAAACAATTGAGGCCCAGTGTCTTTGGTCAGACATTAGTACATGAATGTTTGAACTTCAGGTAAGTTGAAGTGCCACCGTGACACAGAAAACCATTGGATTCCGCTTGATAGAAAACACTCAAAGTGCTTCTAAAGAGTCAAGAAATAACTTGATACCAGGGCCTGCACATGCCAGTGATTGTAAGGCAACGCACCATTTTGATTCTTGAATTATACATGGAAGCTGAATCATGACATCGTCAGACTTTCCATATGAGGTTCCCGTGAATATCACCCCAAGTATGTTTAGAAATAACCCCACGCCACCACGTTTCATCCGCTTTTTCAAAATTTCACCCCGTGCCGCTATCACGTACAGCTATATCGATGTCGTGTCCCCAATCCATCAACCCTCCGTTCTTTCTTCCGCGATAAAGTGCGAGAATGGGTCTCACTAACGTTCAGATCTACTATCCGATATACGGCGTAGCTGGCTTCTGGATCACCTACATCCGAAACCCGCAGAACTAGTGTTGACCAGTAGCGTTCCAGTCCCAGGTCACAGCTGCGCATCAGCTCATCAAGTTCGTCGATATCACCACATACTAACACGGATTCCATGTCACTATATAGACTTGTTATCCTGTTATACGTCATCGGCTTGCGAATCGCTGGGTGATGTCGGGAGATACCCCATCTTGATCTCGAGAAGTCTAATTTGTTGTATTGGACAGCACCGCCATGCAATCCACGAAGTCATCAAGAGGAACCACGGCATATTCCACCCACAGGTACCTGGTATATACCGAAAATTTGGAAATGGCCGACCGTTCATTCGTTCATTCTCTCCGCACCGTCCGGCCCCAATTTGGCTATCCGGAACGCCTCGGAATTTGGCCCAACTTTGGACGTCACCGGGAGGCACATTATCATAGGCTTGAGGCACGAGGCAAACGCGGACATGATCTCTAGCGTTAGGTCAGGGACACCTGCGAGAACACCAGCAGCACATTTCAGCGTGACCATGGTTTGTCGGATGATGGAGACAGAAAGAGCGGACGAACAGGACGGAGAGAACTTTCGAACTTTCAGGCTCCCTCAGTACGGACCCTAGATTCGTTATCTACATATAATCGATAAGTGGCCTTCTAATCGATGGTGTGCATCGGGTCCTGATGGAAAGATACTGTCGTGCCTTAAAAAGCACATGCACGGGCTGCAATTCTTATTCTCCGGATCCGTTTATGACACCTATATCAATCCAGATCAATCTGCTTCACATATCATCGTGCGCGAATTCTTTGATTAAGCGTACACCTAAAACGGCCGAGGTTTATCAAGCCTTTCAGAAGTAACGCTGAAGAACCAACGACCATCACAACGACCATATGCCATGATGCGAATTTTTGTATCAACTTGCGAGCTTGTCGATCATACCTATACACAGCAGGTAACCTTATTGTGCATAGTACTTGGTGGTCGATTTCTCAAGTAACGACATCTGGTACTAAGGCAGCGCGCTCACGGCTCTACCCAATCCTACTGTAGCAGTTGGGTTTGTCACGGAAAGAGACTGACTGGAGCAGGTACCAGGGATCTCACAGGTGTCCGAAGTCATAGATGCCATACATAGTTGCATGCATACCACCAGCATTAGCTGCGCGTCTGCTCCGCCTCGACTAGTGCATCCTGTGACTACATTAAGGTCCAATTGATAGATCCACCATGATCATCATGCCCAGCCAAATGGTAACAATGTTCACAGCCTCCCCTTGATCGGTTCCCGGTTCATTCATAAGAAGATGAAAAAAGTGTGCACGCGAAACTTGGGCTCCTATTGCTCGAGCGAATATCTGCAGATGGAATATTCGGTTGACGATATCGCAACGGCCAAGAATTTGCAATTCTTAGCAGTGCGTTCTTTCTTTTTTTTGAAGGGAGGATAATAACGAACATATGATCACCAGTACATTTACAGTGCGTGCTGCCTGAAGACTCTGAACTGCTTCTTCCTCATTCTAACCTGACGGCTCAGTATCGACGGCGACGTTCTGGGTAAGCTTGTCCTGATATATTCTTGTTCGCAGTCAAACTCGCTTATGTAGACCTATGATTTTGTATGTTCACTTCACGAAGAGGTAATGCACTTGTTCCGTGACACGCCTCGCTTCGGATGTTGATAATATGGTGTTCGAAGTGGACATTCCTACTCCGATCACGCTGGACAAAGGTAAAAGGCCTTTATACCATTGCACGGTATGTACCATTTGTCCTGATTATCTTGGACTTATGCTGTACGTTTATTCCCAATACTGCACATCCCCTCGATAATGAATTGACATGCTTTGCTTCAGTGGCCTTGACCCAAAACGAGAATCCAAAGGTGTGTGCAGTGGACTTCCACTGATGACGATGCTTACTGTACAACTTCGCTAGAAATGCCAGATATTGAACAATATTTCCTCATGTACGCGCACAACACATGCTGCATGCACATCCTTACCGAGCGTTACTCTTTTCTCTCACAGTTTTTGCAGTGATATCACTCACTTTCTCTGAATGTATCTCTCCTCACCCCGCGACATATTTGATCCCCTGATTAGATTCACCCAGGCTTTTTTATTCTCAGAACGTATGCACTCTGGAACAACAACAGAATCGTACTCGTAGCCATGCTGTCCGCCCTTTTTGTGAGTCGCATGCCCGCTCCACGTCCTAGCTCATGTGTGACGAACCAGCCAGGTAACCATCGTATCGTCCATCGCCATTTTGCTTGTCACCGGTGCTCCTTCTGATGGTTTGTTCTCTCACTTCCCCCGCCATTATACTACTCGTTGTATTCACTCCACTTTTGCAGTCACGACTGGCGCGATCCCATGCATCCAAGGCTGCTCCTGGAGCTCACACGACATTCGATTATTCTTGCCTTTCATCCTCGCGTTTGTGTTTCAACTGGGTATGTAGTCGGGAACTCGAAGCATGCATTACAGACTCACGCTGAGCGATGCTATCTCAAGTACTCGTCTGCCTCACGATCACACGCGCTATACAGAGCTGGCGGTCAGCTACGGACCCTCTGTACGCCATGTTAGTGAAGCATAACATATTCTACTATGCATGTGGTCTACGTGAGTCAGGCCTTACATATTTTTCCGTGCTCATCCACGATGATTACTGTTTCGAAGTCTTCTCGGCCATGAACGTTCTTCTGCCAATATTGCGATTGGATGTGCGTAAACATTACCTTTCGATACGATGCAGTCATTCATGTTTCACAGATGTATTTCGTATTCTCCTCCCTCGTATGGTATGCACGTCACAATTCTATTTCGAATTCCTACTGACAGCGTCTGCAAACACGAACGTACAGTTTTCAGGTCTTTACTCTTGCAATCCTCGCCACGCGTATGCACCTCCACCTCTGGCATGTTGAGCGGCACGTGAACGGCTCTGAGGCCCTCGTGTGCATTTCTTTGTCCGACATGCCACCTGTTGACTGTGTGGCATGACGCCTCATCACTTAGCTTATGCGGCGTCATTTGTGGAGCGGAGCTTGATCTACGAGATGACTGGTCGGTTTGGGACCGTAGTGTTCAACGAACGTTCACATGAGAGAAAATGAATAGACTTATAAATAGGGATCGACCACTTTATCAGCAAATCAACACGAGATAATACATTGTAGAGTGTGGAATTTTCTGGAAGGAGAAGGAAAACTGGAGAATGAGATAGAACTAAATACGTGCCAACGAGGATATTGGAGTTGCCATGCACAGTATTCGACGAAGACTTCTGACAGGCATTATGCATATTACACATGGCCAACACCAAGATGTTACAGTCTTTATCGTGTCCAACGTTTTCAAACTCAATGTGACATCCTATCGTCATGGTCAACCGCCTGGACAGGGAGACCATCAATGAAACTCTTCATTGGCAACTCTTCGTCAGATGTCATGCTTGCAAAAGAAACATCCATCATGCCTGCACGACGTAAGTTAGCCTCCGTCGGATGTTCCACATGTTGCAAAGCTTTATGGACAGATGCTGAATGATAGCCCAACCATAAGAGTTGCAGTGCACCTGCATTTGAGATAGGAGCCCGACTGTTGCGGGATGGATGAAATGCTCTTGTCATGTGTAGAGCCAATCCCAACATGATCACCGACGCAGAGGTCGCAAACAGCAACTAGAATCAACTTTAACAAACTATCATTGCGTAAATAGTGTCGCTATTGGAATGCGTCTACCACGCATACCTTTCTTTACATACACAATCACTACTTACTACACGTGTTCTACACATGCCCTTTTCCTTCTCCGTTTCAACGACTTTCCTTTTATTCCAGCATCTCAGAATGCTCTCTCCTCAGTCTCTCAATCCGAAGACTGAGGTGAGTACCAGCGCTTAATAATATATATGATACATTAGTTCTAACTACCTACTTAGTTTCTCCCTTCGTTTCTAGGTATGATCGATCGTAGCCTTTAGTCTCTCAATCCGAAGACTGAGTTTCTCCCTTCGTTTCTAGTTCCTAGTCCGAGTCTCGTCACCCTTCAACAGTCGCGAACTTACAGGAAGAAGGGTGATCTATAACATGTGTGCATCAGTCAACTGGAAAGAGGTTTTGTGCAGTTAATACTGACATTCAGGCGTAGGGCGATCACCTCCTCATAGGCAAGGGCCGTCCCATTGCCAGGTTGAATTCCTCCATTCATTCGCTCTGCTGAGTTGGTGACGCAGTGTGAGTAATAACAGAGCCATGCATACTAGCATGATCCCTCACCCATTCAAGTGACTTGTGCAACTGTTTGCGCAATAGCGGCTTCTAGTTTATCCCGGCTCAAGGTGAAATCAGAAACGGGAGGTTGGTCCCAGTCGGTGGACGATTGGAGATATTGAGCTGAGAGATCCAATCCTACCAATGTCATTATAGACCTAGAATAAAAGACCATGGGTAAGGCATCGTGGCAGTATCATAGCAAAAGTAAGGTCTGAACTCATCCACAATCGAGGGTTCGCTGGTATAGTCAGATTGATCTATAAATCGATACCCGCTACCGCCTGCAATAGAAAGAATGTAACCAACCTGGTGTAGACAACGGATTAGTGAACTTCGGTAACCACCAGAAACGGGTGGTGTTTAACGCACATTTGCTGACCAGTCGGTGGATGTCCACTGAAGCGTTTCCTCCCATTGCGTGGATGGCTGCGGGACAGGCATGGGATTCTCTAAAGTGTTGGTTTGCATGTCGATCACCACTGTGGCGTTGTTGGTCGACAGTGAGCATTGCATAAAATAGACTTCAATGGTTTGGTTCACACCTGCAGAAGGGTTTGTTATGGTGGTTACATTCCAAAAGGCAAACGCACCTGGACATACCCAAATTGCCGGTACCGCAACCTCCTTTTGTACTGAAGGCTCGATCTCCAACAAAGTAGAGACCATTAACAAGACGGCAGGGGTTGCGTACACGTCGGACTAATGTGGGACAACCGCTGATTAGTTTCAGAGTAAGCACTAAAAACGTTGGCACAAACTGCATTGATCGGACCGCCGCCATTTTGAAGTACTCGTATCTGGTCTGTCCCTGTGGGTATTTTTAAACATGATGGAATAACATTTTACACTATGTTCACGTACAGGGGGAAGATCCAATCATTTCCATAATATTTCCATTACCAAGCGGAGCACTTGCTGTGTTGTTATTTCGAGAGTATGTGACATTTGGAAGTAATCCGCAACTCGAGGTTATCGTCATTGCATTCACCGTTGCACGTCCGACTATAGAGCTCGTTTGCAGGGTGTCATAGACTGTATTATTTGATATCCCTGCAGAGAGAAATCCAGGAAATCGACTGATAGCCGGTAAAGATGCAGTCATAGCTTCCGGGTTCTTCGCAACACTACTTGATATATCTACCCATCCTAGTGTTGTTGAAATATTGGTTGTCACAGAAGAGTTGAATGTTTGAAATTGTAGGAGGGTGGAAGAGGTGACATGCAGCACAGAGATGCATACAAGGTAGGTTGTCACAGCAGTGGTCGCCCACAACGATGCAGGGATACGAGTTTGTTTCCAGACATTACTGAGTGCGGAACCAAGGCCTGCCCATGCGCTGAAGATGTCGTGTATGGTAGTTAACTTCAGACGGCGTACAAGGGCCCTTGACATCGCAACCCGTTGGGTGAGGAAGACCAGGACAGCTGTGTAGAGCTAGACGAAGCCCGTCATTGGTGTATTAGTAAGAAAATGGCGGACACACCGTGTAAAATGCTTGTAGTGACGCACTCAGCACCACGGGCCAAAAATCAGTGTTCGTGGGTGTGAACGGGAGAGTCACACAGTGTCCCCAGTGATATATATAAGATACGATAAGCATGATATGTATCATGAACAACACGCCATGCAGCGTGTAACAAATGCATGCAGAAAATGATCCACTTCCAGTTTCTGAAGGATTTTTCAAACGAGTCATCGAGGACGCTGGGTAGTGAAATCATGATGCAGTAGGTATTGACATACAGTAGCGATAGTTAACATACCGAACCAAGACCCTGATGACTGCATTATGGGATGCTCGCCGTTCGGGGTTGAGGCCTGATGAAGATGACTAGTTTTCAAAGGGAAAAGGTAGTACTGATGTATCTGTGACGAAGGTGAGCGAAGGAAACAAAGTAGAACAGTCCTGAGAATTGACAAGTGATTTCAGAAGGAGAAAGAGAACTTCTGTGTTTATATACCACTACAGACATAGGAAACTGCAGTGAAGATGGGTGCCCTAGGGCCTAAGGGCGGTGTTGATATTGTGACGAATATAAGGTGTGGGCATAGTACGTTCAATGGGATGGTGAGTCGGTGGGAGTGAGGCGAACCCAAAACCAAACCTTCGGTGAGGTTCAGGCAAGGAGGGCGAACCCCAGACCAGACCAATGAGAATGTGTTCGCAAAGGCCCGACCGGCTCGAGTTCAAAACAGATTCAGACCCTTGAACCTTTGGTTTTAAAAAATGCAAGAAAATCTGTACCTTAAGAGTGCTCAGCGCTCAAACACTGAACGCGTCGGCGACGTCAATCCCCCCGCTAGCCCAAAAAGAACAAGATAGGCTCACAGTTTGGCTCCACCCTCGCCTTTCACCCTCGGACGCCGTCAGCAGGCTCCAACGTCCTCGCCCATGCCGGGACCATTACAATAGTATATCATGTAACAAACGAACACTAGACTCGACGCAGTAGATACAACGCATGTAATGTTCATCATAGTAGGGCGCTGCCCCAACAGACAATAAACAAGGATTCAAAATAGAAATAAAAATGAACGCGTGACAGCGAGCGAGACTACAGCAGCAGTGTAAGGACGCTACGTCCTTTGCGCACCGACCACGCCTCAAAAACCAAGAGGCTCGAACGGATCAACGTCATCCACGTGACATAGTGATGCGAAGAGCGTTACTCTTCGCATCTGAAGTCACATGGATATATCTCTTACCATTCTCTTTCATTACCTTACCTTGTGCTCACTCTTGCTCCGTCCGTTCATATCTACTCTTCACCATATGCTCCTCATTCTCGTTCCGGCCTAGTCAAGTATTCGAAAACGTATTCATACAGACCACGTGCACTATACCTACAGCGAAATATAGCAACATCTCGTACGCTGATTCCCCGCTCCAAAAGCACGTTCCAACATTCCAACAGGAGTCTCGTCTTGTTATCATCGCGCTATCTATCCCCACCTTTCATATTATCGGGAACGTCTAGTTCACATTCCCCTTCGAACTCATTGTCAGCCTTACAGCAGCATGAGAGGGAGGGAGTTTCAGCACCTACATGAAAAACTACTTGCCGAGTTAATGATGAATTTTTAACTTGATGTCGTGATCGAATGGACACTGGTCTGTCTGCGTAAATTGTGTCACTAAATGCTAACAGCAACCAGTGATAATTAGTATTAGTGCGATACAACATAAACTCGTTGAGTGTCGATCATGATGGTGTGAGGAGCGTAGCATAGTTGACCCGTGCTATTTAAGGTGCGGTAGTGCTGGCAACTGCAACTACTCACCAGAAGGTATACGGCAGCCGTCCATCAGTAGATATTGTGATAGATTCACCCAGCGGCGCCACGAGGTCAGACATAACTGATTAATATTACATGTGGAATAAGATGGACTACCGGGTCCATCAGTGAGTTGGTCAATTTGAAGAGTCCTTGACATTATTGTAGCCGTTATGCAGCGGGAACTGTAGAATAATATAATTTGCTTGATATATAACGCGCAAGGCCGCTCGCGACAGAGCCCACTATGGTCGCCTTTTCGAGTCATGATGTGAATCGATTGGTGTTACAGATATAATTATCATACAGATCGACCCAGGCGAGTCGCGAGACGGAGGTGGTCAGCACATTTTCTCTTTCCCTTGCCCTCCCTTGTGCTTCTGTCCGTTCGCGTGCTTGGTTTTCTTGGCGGGGTTGATCGCGACGTCAAACGTAGAGAAGCTTGCAATTGTTTCTAGTCTCTTCATGTCCCCATGTCTCGTGATCCTCGCAACAACAATTTATTTAACTTTGAACGGGGTTTTTTCGGACAATTTTGCTGGTGTTCTCGCCTCCTTGTGAGCCTCGCAAGCATCTCGTCATTTACAAGCAAGATGAAAAATGAGATACAATGAAAGGTATACACAAAGTTGCTCGATGATTGGGTAAATTTATGGATGAGTGCTTCAATGAAACGACAGGGTGAAACGATGAATAACTAACCTTGCTGCCACAGCCCGGTCCAGAGAGGGTTGAGCGAGAACTGAGAACTGAACCTTGAGCGTATCAGGGTGCCAAGCTCCATAAACATGATCGTGAACCACATTATGGATGTCAGACTTCAGTGAGTGATGTTGTGCTGTCAGCGAAGAGACTTGCTATTATACTCCACTGAGCTTTAATTTAGTGTACCATGGGCATGAGACCCGGAGGCAGCGAATGACGGTCAAGCTGGACATGGCATATGTGTGCTGTAGGATGTTGCACAAGTGTCAAGCGGGGAGTGGCATCAACAATGTCCTGGAGAGTCGCAAGTGAAAGCAAGCAAGAGAAATCACAACGAGACGCACCCGAATGTTGTACTGGTCAGATAGATCATCATCTGGTATTTGGAGATGGCCGGGCGGATGGCTCACAGAAAAGTGCAGTGCCGAGGACGTTAATATTCTTGACCTTGAAGCCGGCAGCTTTAACTTTGGGAACGACCCAGCCAAGGGAGTAGAGTTGTGCGACGTGCATGATGTTCAAATGTTGACGCACCTACAAAATACGCGGTCAAGTCGAAGCTGTATATAGATGGCGTCCAATATTAATATGCATGAAATTGATATTTATATAAACCTGGAACACAAACATAGAACCACGGGGAAATCACGAAGAGATCACAGAGAGAGGATATGTGCTGGATGTCAATACATGAGATATTTGTGTACGTTGAACAGTAACACGTGACATGCTGCGTAGATGGCGAAATAAAATATTCATTTCATTTCATGTCGACGGTCATGACGGGAGCCGTAAATGGTCCTCATATCTTATGACTTTCAGTGCTGCATTCAATCTGCATTCGAGCAACTTCACTGTTATCCCAATAAAACAACCTTTTGCTCCGGAATCGCATTTGGCCAAGCATGTTCGAATATAACCCCCACACCGACCCGTTCCATCCGCTTCTCATCCTGCATCTTCTGCACGACCATCACATACAACATGCATCCGAGATATCGTTTCCCCAATGTGTCTTCATCGTACAACCCTGTGACGTCGTCTGTGCGAGACAGAACAATAAATTCACATGAAGTCGGTGAATGGGTGGAACATGGAAGGATGACGCGCCCTACTAACGTTGATGGTCGAGGAACGTCGGATAGTATGGAATATGTAGCGTAGTTCGCCCCGGGATCAGCACCGATGACATCGTCCGCCTTTATAACTGTTGAAACGAGCTGAACGAGTCCTGAATACTAGCGTCCCAGGCCGCAGGGGCGCATTCTCTGTGATCAGAGTTTGTGTGTCGATATCGCCTTTCGGAATGATGTATGGACTGGAATTTGCTTCCTCAACAGAACTTGCCGTCCGACCAGTACGTCGAACATCTTGGAGAACAAGCCGACCATCACCATCTACAATATGCCACTTTTCCACCAGTGACTGGGTGATCCACGGAGAAACGCCCCCATCATGTACATCGACGAACAGACTTACTTCGCTGTATTGGACAGCACCCTGCCACGCAGCCCACGACCAGGACGGCCACGGCGTCATATTTCATCCCCAGGCACGCGCCGCACACAGGATGTATTGGCTGTTGGCTGCCACACCAACGCGAGTTCCAGGTCAATGAGGGGCATCCCGAACCGGAACGCTCGATCAGGGTAGCCACCAGCCACCTTAAACCCCTTGGTCATAGCATTGATGAGCGCCGAAACAGCATTCACGATGTCTGACTCCATAGTAAGCCTGCGTTGCGTGTACTGTCTGATGATGCTCATGTAGTGCACCATATATGAAGGGCGCATCCAATGCGGTGGGGCATGCGCGAACGTGAACGAACCTGCACCGCCGTACTTCAGGGGATGTGAATCCCAGGGGAGGCGGATACGCTCTGCGATGACATCTTCGCTCCATACATCCTCTCCGCATTCAAAGTGCACGTGATAAGGTGTTAAGAAGATGCGGCGGCGGGAGAGCATGAGTTCTTGATATGTCCAGCCACGTGTGTTCCATGCAGAAATTACTATGGCTTCGCGGGGGAGGATGAGGGGGACGGCAAGGTGAAGGCCCTGGATTTTAGCTATTTGTTGCTTGGGGTCCCTAGTCCCTGGGCGGATGCCTGGGAGAGGATCATGCGCGGAGGTGCCACCCGCAGCGAAGATTGTGAATGTGGAGCTCCCATAGATAAGGTCCATTACGCCAATCTGCACTGCCTTGTCCTTTGGGTCATCTTGTACGATACACAATGCGTCAATCCACAGGTACCGCTCGCCGAGCTGACGGACGAGTTGAATGGCGTCTAAGATTGTGCCTGGCAACACTGATACGTCAAGGCCGCCTTGTGCTCTGCGCCGCTTGAGATTTGCCTGTGTCGTCCAATATTCCCCTCCTGTACCTCCCCAGAGGTAGCTAAGAGCGACGAAACGGCAAGATGGCGGTGCGCGAACCACAGCCATTCGAGTTACATCGACAACTCTTACGCTCTTCGGAAGAACGTCTCCAGCATCCCTCCACCATACTGTTTCACATAGCTCCCCATGCTCGTGTTCACAGATGTGGATCCATCTTTTCAACAGGGCCGTATCAACATTCTGGCCAACTCTCCTGCCATGAAGTTCCTCCGTTCTGCCAACCTTGGAAGCATCTTCTCCCAGGAGCTGAATATCCAACAAGAAGTTTGACTGCGCGGCGGCTATAGTGGCTGTGACATCCCGAGGTCTATCAGAAGTCTGGATATACAGCCGATGACAGATATCCCTGAATACAGGAGATACATAATCAGGAATGCGTGGATACCCGCACTCCCTCGCATGCAGCGCACAGGTAATATCAGCAATGTCGATACCAGGTAGCTTATCCAAGTGCCACGCACGGCGGATGACAATAGCTACGAGGTTGCACAGTCCGCATTGGTTAGATTTGTCGAGGATGTCTGTGAGATGACCGAGGGGATTTGGGTGTTTTTCTTGGACGCCGTCATGTAGGGTTGCATGGAGATCGAGAGATGAGCATGTTGAGCAGAGGGGTGCGTCGTTTTCTGGTGGAATTTCTGGGGGATGATTGCTTGGAATAGGATGCAAGTTAGGGTTTTCCGTGCGGGTCTTTCGTCGGCGCTTGTCCAAGCAGAACATTAGAAGACTGAATCCTAGTAAGGGGACACTGTCTGTGCCTGTATTGTTATCAGTTGATGATATAAATGTCTTCGCCAAGGGAAGTTACCCTGGGTCCTCGAGGCAAGCGCCACTCACTACTGTCAGTAGTGACACTCTCAGCGCGCCGTCTATACTCGTACATATTAGTACCTTCGGTAGCGTTTTAGCTAGAGATCAGTGGTCTTCCACAGGCAGTATATTTGAAGACAGTCATTACTTGCACCACTGTTGGGAGATTCGTAGCTAGTCTGTAAAGCAATAATGCGTGTCGCAGGTACTGCGGGCTTATGATGGCCGTACTAGCCAAGCGGTGGCTGTGACGTATTCTCAACTTAGACGACCTAGCTAGTGCTCTTCATTCTCTTCGAAAGCCCTTGTAAGCATCGCCCGTGCTCCACTGAGAGTAAAGAAACCTGACTCGGAGTTCGCGATCTCAGCGCTCAGCACGCACGCATTACACTTGTACTTTTGTGAGTGCGCAAAGGGCTTCGTTAATCCAACGCAATGCCACTCATGAAATATGCAGAGCTCAGTCTTGTCGTATTTACTGAGCAGGTCAGTCTACTGTAGCTTTCATACGATAAACGCGGTCATCAGCCTTAGAAGAGCGTCCACCTCGCTCCCATCTGCTTCCTATAACATCAGTTTTCACTAATTACATCATGCCCATTAGCCTGCTGCAGCTTCAAAGGTCAACTATCTTGCGCCTCATGTTATAAATTTGCATGTATGTCCATTCTCGTTAAATATACGTGCTGAGACAGAACGATTCTCAGAACACTATCATATAACAAAGTGACGATGACAACCCAACCGCTTATCCCCCTACCCTCTCATGACCATACACGGCGGCCCTCTCAAAGGCCAATTGCACAACCCCAACCAATTTCTCCACGTATAAATCCACTCGATGCAGCTGAGATCGATCGTTTCGCCACATTGTTCTCCCCCGCAACGCCCCCAGCAACACCAACGCCTGTCTTTCGTGATCAGCCCCCAACAACTCGCCCGCAGCAAAGCAGAAATCGCACGCCCAGTGTAGATTCCGAATTCGGTGCTTTCGTATCAGTACCTGCTGCCCAAGACCCGCTTTCATTTGACTTTCCGGTGATCGAACCTGTTGCCTTGAAATCTCGGGGACCTGCCATCACTGGGAACGCAAGCTTGCATTACTTTGATCAGTTCACCTCCAGCGCGAAAACAGCTTCTGAGCAGAATAGACGGGTTGTTCTTGATGAGCTGCTGGAACATGAAGATGATCCTTTGTATTTCCTTCGATCGCAAAGTCAACCTCCGTTATCCCCCCTATTGGAAACTCAACCAACATCGACTCAAACTAGTATCGTTGCACAATCGCCACCTCCGATACCACAAACTGGAATCTTAATTGACGCAGATATCAAGCCTCCTTCTCCCCCCCCACACAAGTTGCCTGTGCTCACTACGAACATAAGCTCTCACTCTCCTGTAAATATACGTGCACCTCTTCCTCCCCGCATCAGCGCAGCGGCCTCCCCTCCATCAGCACACATTCCTTCTACATCAACCTCGTTGCCGTTCTCCTCTTCCACAGCCACGCCTCCAACACATGCTACGCTATCCCGCCTTTCCTCCACCTGGGTCTCGGCGTTCCTGCCATCTGCCCGATCTAGACAATCCACAGGATCTTCTACGTCAACCTTGGTAAATTCGGCGCCCAGTAACGTACCTCAGTCGCCGTACATGCATATAGCGCATCAGACGTCTGGCATCACGAGTGGCACCCCTTTTAGCACTCACCCTTATATTCCACCGTCTGGCGCCCCTGGTTTCGCAGGCGATCGAACCTGGGACAAGGGCTTCTCAGACACGCTCCATGACGAGGAAATGAGTGAAGTAAAGGGCGTGTTGGGAAAGGGGAAGAAGATACAGGTTCTGAATCTTGTTGGAAGGAGAGAGGGCACGGCAGTGGTGCTGAGCGAGACCATCGCAAATCTCGTCCGCAATCTTCTGTTTAGTGCATGTAGCCAATACTCATACTCTTCCAGATTCGTCCCCACCTTCCAGCGCTCACTCGTCTTCCACGGACATGGACTCTGCTGTACTCGCTCGACCAGCACGGTATCTCGTTGAACACGCTGTATTCCAGATGTGAACCCAAGTTACCCTCGACGCCCGGCGCAACAAAAGGGGCTCTTGTTGTAGTAAAAGATGCGAGAGATGCAATTTTCGGCGTTTGGATGGGGGATGGGTTATGGTTGGAAAGAGGAGGGTACTATGGGAGTGGCGAGTCGTGAGTTCCCTCGCCTCGTCCTCTGGGCCGCCGGAGCTCATCTTCTCTGGACAGCTTCCTTTGGAGATACCAACGTCCTTCAAGCAAAGGGGACGAGCTAGAAGAGGGGATGCTTGATGTGTACAAATGGACAGGGAGGAATGATTACGTTGCGCTCTGTGAGCCCGGGTTCATATCTTTTGGTGGCGGGTGAGTATTCTTTACCTGTTCATCTTCCATTTTCCTCTCAATCAATGACTATCTCACGTTGATGCAGAGACGGACACTACGGTCTTTACCTTGATGCCTCCCTCCTCGACGGATCTTCCGCACCATGCCCTACGTTTGACAACCCTGTTCTGTGTTCTCGTGTGGATGTTGGTGGCGTCGGCATTAAAAAGGATGTGAGCTTTGAATGTGTAGGACTGGAGGTGTGGGGTGTAGGACCTTGACTGCTGTCGTCTCGTGAGTTGATGACTGGTATACGATATGTGCTTGATTCCCTCATTTCATCTGCTTTCGAAGGCAAATGTCATAGTTTTCTATTAGTTGATCTCTTTCTGTCGCTGGTAGAGGACGAAGCATGCACGCTAAGTACAGCAAAACGAAATCTACACTGTCCTCACATCCTTAATCTGAATCCTGATGCGCCTTCGAACCTTCCTACCCGATGTGATCCTTCACGGGACCTATTCCCGCCGGATCCTTCCACAGTTGTATCGTTTGTTGTGCTACGAGACCACTGGATGTTTTCTGATGAACAGTTTTATCAAACGCGTGAAGATGACACCTACAAGTCATTGTGCAGTATTATTCTGTGAAGTAATCCACATATTACTGAAATGTATCAGTTGCAGGGAAAACAATCAGCGTGGCTGAGAGCTCATTGACTCATGACTTCTCGCCCATGCTTGTTGAATTCTCACCGCTAGTATGGGCGAGGTTGATGATCTGATCGACACACTCCAAACACCGTCCGTCGTGGAGGAATTCTCGATCCGCCATGAGACCAGCAGATTTGAACGCCTTGGACCAATTGATAATTATACATCACTGGGAGCATATCCTTGTCAGACGACTCGGTTTCTTCTGTGTTCTGCAGCACAGCAGACAGCTCTCTAAGTGTATGTCAGGTGTCATCGAGATTCTCGTATTCTGATAAATCTGCAGCAGCAAGACGTTGTAGGGCGCTGGAGCGGACTACTACTGCCTCACTCCACGCGCCCAACTTTCTGAACTGGGGGCTCCTAGTTCATCATCTACCTTCTCCATCCCACCGCCCGTTTCCCACCTCACTACTGAAGAATATCTCAATCTCCTGCAATCTATGTTTTTACGTTGCCCTCGGGACCTTCAGCGCTCAATACCATCGCTCAACAGGTTCATGTCGCACATCAGACATCTAACATCAAATGGGGCATTGGATTGTATCTCATAGTCTGAGCAAGATGAAGTGTGTGCTGAGAAAGGGATGAGGACGAAGGGTCCTAACATCGTTCGAAAGTAAGAAGGCACATCAGATGTTCTGAGCGAGAATATTGCAATGTTGTCATGATAACTTACGTATTACTCACCCATATGCTATCCAGATTTCTCCAGCATTCGTCTTCTACGCTTGCGCACTCTGCTGTTCTCGCTCGACTTGGAAGGTATCTCACTGAATATGCCACAAGCGTTCCTGATACAAACCCAAGTTGGCCTCGACGCTAAAGTGAGTGAGATGTGCGTGGACGGGGAGGATTGTGTCAGTTGGAAAGAGGATGGTATTATGGGAGTTGCGAGTCGTGAGTTTGCTCGTCTGACTGTTCGGAGTCTCAGAGCTCTAATGGGACACATCTTTCTCGGGTCATGGACTGCCCATTAAGAGAAGGTACAATGAATATCCACATAAAGCTGGATATCAATGACTACGTAGTCCGGTTTCATATCTTTGGGCCGAGCGAGCATTCTTTCCCATTTTATCCTCCAGCCAATGGCTCAATTACTGTTCCGCACAGAAATGGGCAGCGCGTTAATCAGCTTGAATCTTGATGCATCTCTCCTCTTCACAGTAGCCTGCATATGAATCGATATCCTTGTCTCAGCCGAGTTGAAAGAAGTGAAACCGAAATAACAATCCCCTATTGTTACAAAATTTCAGTGTGCCTTCATCGATCCCTTTGCTTGGCTCGCAATCTTTGCCAAGTCATATCATATCAGCCGCTCATCGCACCGCTGCTAATTTTGGTCTGATCTTGCGAAACGCTTCACATTGGACGCCTCTAGATCATTGATTATTCAGCACAGCTCCATACTATATCCACAAAGAATTCAGTTCGTTACTAACGATCATCAGATGGCGCATGACCACGAGCGACCCTCTCCCCCGAGGCCGACGGTGATCAGACGGATGATTGATTCCATCTTTTTGCGGGCTTCAACGAGCTTCCTGAAATGAATTACTGAGATGCAAGGGAAGATTTCGTAGCTATGATGATAATGGAGTACTGCAATAATATTATTAGCCAGACATGTACGTGACTGTCCCAGTGCCTCTGTGCGATTAACAGCATGTTTTCAGACAGGACATGATATCAGGTGCAATGTCTTCTTTGATGAACTGCGCAGCTGTTGCATGTTTAGGAGGCCACGAGACAAGAAGTGTCTGACCCGATTAAAATCTGATCATTCTTGAAATACCATCAGTCGATCGGCTCTTGACGCACTTGTTCCGGTGTAGAACGTGAACATCCCTCATCCCTTTGTTATCATCAAGGATGGATAAAAGGATCATAGTGGTCTCTTAATTTCATCGTGTTTGTACAAGTCAACCGCCACATCGCATCCTGCACTCGTAACGGTGCGCTGCTTTTGCATCCCGTGGTTCGAATTTGTAACCTCCCGGCACATTTTCCTTGGCCATAGATGGCATGAAGATTCATCTCACTCTTAGCCTTTGCTATCCTTCTGATGTCATCTGCGGAAGTCTCCAAAGGATATGGTCGTATGCATCATTCATGTCGAAGATGGACTGGTGAAGTATCGTGATTCGTTTCCAGGCGGGCCAGTGGCGCTCCTTACAGATATTTCCAAACCAACGTTTGTGGCCAACAATGCGATATACACATTGCAAATTCTGCTTGGCGACGGGGGGTGGTGTGTCCAAGTTTTCATCTGCTAGCTTCTCACCCTTTGACTTATAGAACTCGCCTTTCTGGCAAAAGATATATCAATATTACGTCGTTTGGCAATCTGTCTGGATTATTTTCCTACCATGCATGATGTGGTGCAGGCGCTTGCAAGTTTGGTTGCAATCACATTCAGAAACTCATGTCCTTTGATGTTGTCTCGAAGTGTTTGGTGTTTGTTCGGTCTGCGGCTTTTCGCAAACGTCAGCTACTATTAGCGATGTCGAACTTTTATTTACTCACAAGACTAGAGATTGGATCGCGACGTTCCTTGCCTTCAATGCGTCAAGTACCGGTAAGTAGACTTCTACCTAAGCGCAATGTTGAACCTCCATACTAACTTAAATTCGTGCAGGATTACTGGCATGTCGCATCTGGATGATCGAACCAAAGGTGTCTACAGTTCGCGCTACGAAGGGCAAGATGCATACATTTGCGCGTACTTGTAGATCCTGCTATGTTACATTCTGCGGCGCACTGCTCTTCAATAATGTCTCGCCCTCTCGAATAGTGGATTGTATGTTATGGGAAACTTGGTAATTCCGCTGTTAAAACCTGTTACCGAAAATTACTGACCCTCGATCCATTACATCACCTCGACCATCACTGTCTGTGGAGACAACTGAGATAGAACGAAGAAATTCGCTGCAACACCCGATTCCTATGCAGCATTGGCACAGCATATACAGGCAGAATGATATATCCCTCGTTAATGATAGGCTCGTAACCAGCCTGGCTTATACAACGGGAATTGCGAGTTGTGAGTTTGCTCGTCTGAATACCTAGATCCTGAGAGTACTTATGTGTAACATCTTTTTCTGGTCATTTTCCTCTAGATATACCACTGTCTATCAAGACAGGCTGGGAGAGGGCACAATGGATGTGTATGTAGAAATGTACAGATTTAGGAACGACTACCTAGTCCGGTTTGGTTTTTGTGTTCAGGTGAGTGCCCTTTGACGTTTTATCTCCAGCCAATGACCCCCTTACCGCTTCTGTGCAGAGAGTCGAGATGGCTACTGCGGTCTTTACCTGGATACCTCCCTCAGAGACTTTCCTCTTCGCAGCATCTTGTAAGTTCAGTACTCCACGAAAGAATTTATATTCTGTCAGTTTCATGAGCTTCACTAATTGAAGAGGATTGCAAAAAGGCGATCCCTTTTGCGATAGAAGCCGCGTCGGTGTGCCCCCAATCGATATCTTTGCTTCTTATGCTCGGCATTGCAGACGTCATTGCATCGTCTGTTGTCCGGCACAACTTCACCTTCATTTCAAATTCGTTAATGTTGGAACATTCTTTTCGTTGCGCCCTTCCTCGAGCGGATCTTTCCAAGGTGGGCGGTGATAAAATGGATGATGATTGAACACTCTTAATTGGGCATGCATGTGACCACTCCAATGCCCCTGCGTAGTTAACGTTCCTGAATAGGATCTGTGTACCACATGGTTGTTGTTCCACATGCTCAGGACGCTGCTCGGATATAGAAAGTGTTGCGGAGTCTATGGGCTGATGAAAATTCATTCCAACTCCCATTCCAGTGTATGATGTAACGTCCATCATTCTTCTGGCGTCAAGGATCGGCGCGTGATGGATAAAAGGGTGATGTTAAACGTCTCTTTATTGTGCGCCAAACAAACTATCTCATCCTATCCTTCACTGCTACATCACTGTTGCGGTGCGCTGCTCTTCCATTCTGTGGTTGATATTTTCTAACTACATCCTTGCCCATCATTTCATAGTCCTAGTGTCACAAGAAATGGTGCCGAAACTCTTCTTCCCAGCCTTTGCTATCTTCCTGATCGCTTGCCGTTCGTATCTGATTATCATCTGCATCTCCGCTTGATCGAATATTTGCTCAGTATCGCTTCTTGCGCATGCAAGCCCAATGCCCTACGCTATGCCTTCAGAAGGCGAGAATCTTATTCTACTCCGAAGTGATTTTGTGGAGGCGAGTGGTCATTTTCTTGTTTTGTGCGTTGTTTAACAACAAGACGTGCAGCTTGACACAGACCGCATCATTAGCGGTGCTTATTAGTACTAAGTGCACTTGACCATCTTTACTTGCCAGTTTTTGTTTTCAAGTGCTCCTTGTTTCTACTTGTCCTATATCGTCTCGGTACCCTATCAAGTCCTGGTGCACGTGGCCTTTATTCGAGCAATCAAGAGCCTTCACGATACTTAGCTGCGTGTTCCAAGCGTGTTCTGTACCAAGGATATTCTCTTACTCTGAGACCTGAACGTTGAACTATGAATGCATAATGTGCAACACCTCTCAGTTTGCAGCTGAAATTGGAAATCCAAGATAGCCAAGCCCGGGCCTTGTATCCAAGGACGCTCATGATCAGATCAAACTTTGAGCCTTAGGTTCTGCATTGCCAAATTGTGGCCGATTGTGAAAAATGAGAGCGAACTCCCTATTAAAGTTTACGTATGGCGTCTGTTGGCAATCCATCAATTGGCTATCATGCCTAGTACTCCTTACTAAGTACTGTCTTCCTTCTAATGGTCCGACTAAGGGAGATTAATGTCTTATGCGCTTGGGCGCAGATTGGATGATGTGCATGATGCTATGATTCTGATGCACTTGGGTTAAAGGTTCACTACAGACCGGGATTATCTCCGAGTCACCTACTATGTAGTGACCTACGGTAAGAAGCTGCCCCAAATCAAACCGAGTTTTCCTGAATTGTTTTGACAAGTAGGTCTCTAAGAATGTTCGTTCAAGTTCAAGTCGGTCAAAATAGGCATGTGCAAGTGGTAAGTATTGAAGACTCGGACGAATGATTTTTCAGACGTTGTAGTATGATTACATAATCGCCGCAAGACCTTCGACTTTTCAAACGACACCGTTCCGCAGCTTAAGCGGTGTTTCCAAAGGGACTCCAGTGTAGCAAGGTTCGTTGATCATTGATCATCATCGAGGATGGTTACCTCTTGAGTCCTGTACATATGCAACCCGTTGATCCAACTCATTTATGATAATCTAACTTTGCAACAACCATTTCACGTGTTTTTATAGGTCCGAAAACCTATATCTGGGATTCCTGGGTGACTTTTGTTTCTACTCAATTTCATACGGCAACAAATGCTGTGGTCAATCAGAGCCATCGGGACCGGACAATCGACACTATCCCCATTTTGACCATAACAGCGCTAGAATGGTGCTATATCTGCACCAACGCCATCGTTATATGGCCACCAAGCTTGTCACTCACTGACACTGATCCCTTGAATATGACTGTGATCTCAGATGATCCCAGTCTGTGGCCGCTAATACATTTCAATATTGCTTTCGGCTACTTTATAGGTTCGTGGACAACAAGTCAGATGACATTATATATCGCTCAATATTTTATGTTGGTTCACAGTTGCAGCGTTTACTGTGGTTGTATACGATTGGGGTAAAGTAGGATAATACTTTCCATGAAAATTATTGATGCCCCCATGGTATTCCGTAGCACTGTCGTTCGGACAAGAGGTGAGTTGATGCTATTATCACAGTACCCATCTCACTAAGGCTGATTTCATAGTTCGAGCTGGTCTGGGTGAGCGGAGCCCCCATCAGAAGAATCGCAGAGTAAATGAAATAATTTGAGCAGAGGCAACGCTGGTCATTCATGACCATCTTGTACCTCAGTGTAAGTTTTTTGTGTCACCAGTGCATTTGAAAGTTTGCACTGACAATCACTTTAGTTGCGCACCGCTGGAATAATATACATCGTGTATGTTCGCTAGCCAACACGTCAGCAGTGTGCTAACGAGCCATCTTTGACGACCAGCGTATACTTACTGTGTACGTATCCTCATATACTGATCGTTTTTCTGACCGGAAGCGTGCAGCGAGTCTCCCCTCAATCTCGGTGACAGATGCAGTGAGTATTCTGCACCGATACTTGACATTCCCAACTAACAACACTCCTATGCAGGGGTGAGATTCTCGACCGCATTACTAAATTAATGTACTAAATGAAATAGATGTGAGTTCGTTTGAAGCATCGAGTCTTCATGTGCTCATCAGTGACCTGTTCTTCAGGCACTACTTTGGCTCTTTCAGTAACATGGCTCACTTTCATCATAAATACCATCCTGGACAGTGAGCTGCTTGCCTGCAGTACTGATCGATATTGACTTGACTGAAATATCATGCAAGTTATCATCGTCGCTCGTTTACATGCCATGTATCAGCAATCTGGAAAGATGCTCGTGTTTCTGGTTGCAATCTTCCTGGCTATTACGATCTCTTGCGGTGTAATCACTGCGATGGTAGAACGCAACCATTTTTCATATGGTGCGCTTTCCTTATGGATGACAGACTCGAGATCATCCCAGGCTCATGGAATACCAGAGGAATACATTCTTTCCGGCACCTATCAATGCATCGGTGATGGTGTGGGGAATGACCAGCTTCTGCTCGCCGCGACTTGGATACTCGGCTCTGTATGGGAGGTCCTCGCGCTATCTCTTGCAATCTGGATTACTGTCAAACGCTCCCGTGATCTTCGACAATGGAAAATTGAGGACCGCTTCTTAGCGCTAATGAAAACACAGGTGCTGTACTTTGCAGCGTGAGCATGAAATTTGAATGCGATTTTCTTATCCACTAATTCAGAGGTTTGTATGCGCAGCTTTATTGTTACTACCTGCTTGATCCTCGGCGCTATCTTCTCTCCAGCGATATCTGTACGCAAATCTGTGGTTGACATTTGTATCAGACTACTCATCGTTTCTACAGACCTCAACTTCTGTGGGAGTTGAGGTTTATTCTGGGGCTCTTTCCACTCTCCAGTTCGTCCAGATGTTTATGCTGGGACCACGCCTTATCCTCAGCGTTCGAGAATATAACGCTAAGCTTGTGGCCAACCCCGACACAGACATCGGCCTACAATTACTTTCCAGGAGTGCGCATACGACAAGTCAAGTGGCAGTGGTATATGGCTCGGGGGGCGATCAGCGTGTGTTTGGTACTCTGCAGAGGAGATGAGAGTTTTATTGCAGTATTGATGAATTAATTGGCGTTCCAAAGTGGGCTTGAAATTGACCAATAGGTTTGGGAAGACTAATATCATGATCAACGCTATAAAGCTGCCTGCCCGCACTTGTACTTTGACTTACGAGCACTAGCCTTGAAACTTGAAGCTTGAAGCTTACATGCAGTAATAATATTAATTTCAGGTTCGTGCCAGTGCAACTCGACTTTTAATGCCAGAGTCTCTACTGCTTTGCCTCGGTTTTCTATTCAAGGGTTCTAGATGACCCAAGCTTGGAGCTCGGAATGCACAAGAGGAGGGAATTTGGTAAGTGGCGCATATCATATGGAGTCTGGATATCATGCACATGGACTGCCCAACTTGCAGTGTTGACGCGAGGCTTCGGCCACCTCCGGAGACAAAACTTACTGATCGAAGAATGATCACCATTTCTTTGTAATGACTAGTACTGCTACCACGTACAGGCGCACGTTCACCACCCCATCCAAACATCGGCCAGCACCATCCACCTTCTCCGTCCCAACGCCCGTTGCCTACCCTCACTACATACGAAGAAAGTAAGATGAAGCGGCCCAGACTGGAGACCCCATCACACATTTTGACGCACATCCTGAACACTTCTTCTCACTGGCCGTTTCTTCCGATCGCTCTATTTTCTCCACCACGTCAGTTGACGCAATGACAACTTTGATCTCACCGCGTTCCAACCAATTGGCAAGCCCTCGAGCGTCCCGGGGCCATCAACTGCATGGCGATTTCTGGGAGCCGCTAGCTTATTGCGATTAGTTGTGATGGTGTCTTCAAATCTGGACAGCCTGCACACAAGGTCACTTTACCTACCTCTCACGTTCACCCGCGCACATAGTGTATTGACTTCTAGTGGTACACAGAACTATCTCTAAAATCTTCACTCCCGCAGGAGACTTTTCCACGCTTACAATCGTGACTGACACGCATGCAGGTTCTTTGTAATGTAAGTCTTTACTTTGAATCATCTTTCAGTGCATGATTGAGCGCCTTTTCAGGTCAAAATATTTTATCCACCCTGCCGCTCTAACAGATCATATCTGCGTACGGAGGTTCACAGCATCCCTCACCACATTTCTCAGGACCTTGTCGGTCGTCTCCCGTTTTGTCGTTAGTCACAACAACCATAGCCCAAGGAAGACTGTTGGGCCGTTCGAATGGAGTCATGCGGTACCTTTTTTCCGTATGCCAAGGCCCATACATGGGCCAGCCACCAGTGGTTGAAGTCGTCGCCGGATGTAACCTCACTTTCTCACCTCGCGTTGCCGTCTCGCTGATTTGACGCCTACAACTGCTTGCTGCCGGCTATTTGTTAGAGCACAGGAAAGTCAATGGCACCTGACATCCGGAGCCAGCCGTGTCGCAGGGCAAGGCCCAGAACGACACGTTATCCGAGGCGTTTGACATAGATTCACTCCCGGCTATTTGTCAAGGCACAGGAAAGTCAATGACACCTGACGTCCAGAACCTGCCATATTGCAGGGCATGGTCCCAAACGACACATTATCCGAGGTGTCTGACATCGACTCACTCCCAGACGCGTATTGGTGCAAGGCGTTCTTCTGCTCCTACTCATGCTGGACTCGCGGAAAATTGCGGTGGCACTTGGAGTATATCGATCAACACTGCCATAGTTATACGACACATAGCATTCGTGCTGGGCTCACGGTCGCAGTTCACTCAATCGCGCTCATCTATGTTTATTGAAGTTCTTACTAATTCAAATATCTATCTTCTCAGCAGCATACTTCCGCCACCTTTGCTAATTGATTTAAACAGGGTAGGCTTATCCCGCTGCGATCGTGTCGCTCGGAAACTTGCGAGTTCGCTCATGTGAACGAGGTTGTGCAGTTTCAAATACTGAAGAGTCAGTGATAATCTATGTGGTTGCTGATCAAGCGCCCATAGGGCAAAACACGGAATAAACGACACCAGGCCCAGCCACTGTCTAGAAGATCAAGCGATAAGCGATGTCATCGTACAAAGTACACGCATCGTTATCAAATAGCTCAAACCTAGGTCTGAGCCTCGGGATCCCCTTCTGGACGACAATTGAATGACTTGGCATTCACCTCAGGGCGCTTCAATGTCAGTGAAGATTGGCCTTCATCGAAGTAGACATTCTACCAGTAAAAGATATCTCGACAGTTAATGCGCTAGACCTTGCACTGGCAGCCCCTCATCAGTGTGAATCGGCAGGATAAGCTCGTTCATCACATCATGCCACGGTATGACTGGTCGTCAAGGTCGTTAGCATCTTCTGACGGGCAGTGAGACAGCCCACCATTTTGTGTCCTATATGAAATACAGTAACTGCAAAGCTATCTGACAGATCTGTCTTCCACTCCCAGCGATTTAGTAACTACGGTGGGAAGTATTCTTCTCGCCGAGATTTGTTGATGGACCGGTGCCGGTGAGTGTTGTCTATGATAGTATCACCGTCACATTTAAGAATAATCTAGATGTCCGACATCAGCTGCGTGCTTCCACTACTGCGCCGCATCAAATTCACTCAAGGCACAGTCTGAATTCTTTTTATTATACAATATAACTACATGATTAATAATGTTTCGGTATAGATCTCAATTAGTGTCTCACTAGGCTCACCTCCTGCGATGGATTCCTAGAGAGATTTTGTTTGCTGAGCATGAGCACTGCCCTGCCACGGCAGAAACCGAGTATTCATAGTCAGTAGCACTCTGACTCAGCAGTTTATGCCACCGTTGCAGAATGGAACTTTCCTTTCGCTGGTCTGCCCAGTGCCTCCGGGCCATCACAACTCACGGTACTAGCTAGGGTAAGTAGTGGTCATTGAATTGTTGAGCCTCCAGGATGCAGCGTGAAGTATCTGGATCCGCATAACCCCTGCTACTTGCACAGCATTAATCATGTGTTGGGCAGGTGGAAGTTCCTTCCGCGCCCGTTTTGTGTAGCTGGGTTCTAGAGGCTCCAATGCTCGCTTCTCGGCTGAAGCCGCACAGCAATTACTATGTCTGTCTTGCATCACTACCCGTCACTGGTTATCTGTCTGTGATAGTAAAATCTTTCCGCCACTGATGTACAAACCTAGGAGAGGGCAGAAAACTCCTACCTACAGGCAGTTAGCTTGATCTGTTCCTCCAAGGCAGTGATCGTTGGTGTCAGGTGAGTTCCTGAATTGTAATAGCGACCGGCGCTGGAAGGCGCCTAGGATGACAATCGCGGGCTCGTTGTTCAGACTCACAGCCATCTTATCTACGAGACTCAGTTACACTCATACTTAGAGCTTCCCATGGCTCTCATGCGAGTATTCTCACTCGAAATCGGCTGACACAAGTAACAATTCCTGCGGACTATTTCGGAACAAGCGCTGGATTGACCATGGAATGGCCAAGTTTTTTGAAATAATAATTTTGGATGGCAACCAAGAACAGCTTCTTGGCAAGGGAATAAATAAGAGTCACAGTCTTATTGCGTCCCCCGAGGATTCTGAACAGCTACAAAAGACGTACTAATAAGTCTACACAGGAGCTCCTTTCATATACATTCCTGGGTGTACTCCGCCCTATTGATGAAAGTCGACTCATGCGCGACACAAAGAGTGAGTTCTATTGTTCGCAACGACTTATACTCACTATTTCATCAGTGATCCGATTGTTCTTACTGCTGCTCCCACTTCTTAAAGGAGCGTACGCCAGCGACATTAATATTACTGATTGCTTCGTCAAATTCAGAAATAATGCGAACCTGACCCTCGATGCATCTGGATTGGTGAATGGCAATGGCGGAAATGTACCGTCATCAGGCATCATGAACGCAGTTGGATTCACGTACGAGACCTGTCTCTCGCAGTGCGGCTCTGGAACGCAGAATCCCACCTGGGCAAACATATCACAACAGTTCGGCGCCTGGCTATTACCCTACCTTGCGCTCATCTCTCAGCTGCCCTTCGGTGCAAGACATAGAGTTGACAATCTCATGTCTGCCATTCTCATAGTCGGTTCACCGGTTCTTGCTGGTTACTCGATGATTCTCACCATTCTCAACGCCAACTGGATCAGTCGTCAATTCGATAACCTATCCTTCCCCAACACTAAATCCGCCGTCCGTATCCTTATAAGCCTTCAACAAAGTCCACTCAGAATATCAAATGAACACTCGCTACTCAGCTCTCTCGTTGTTCTGCCAGACAACGATGACTGGTGGCCTTACACTGCCGATTTTCTCGACTACACTCATACCTGGTCTATCGCATCTGTGACAACCATTGGGTGGGTCATTGTTGCCTACCTACTGACTGTCGCCAGCTCGTTGTCAGACGTCCCATCCAATATCAATTCCAACGGTCAAGGGACGGGATCGGTGTGGTTGTGGCTTATCCCAATCGTTATAGGTTGGCTGCAACTGTCCCCAAAGTGCGATTACGCACGCGTTAGGAAGGCCATGGACAACGCAGATGCAATGGCATTTGTAGCCACTGATGACTCGGATGGAGTTATAAAGGCGTCAGATCTTTCCGAAAAGCGAGCAGTATCCATTGATACCAATATAGAAAACCCTTCATCTCCCGACGAAATGCTGACTCCGCCCATCTATAACTATGCCAGGGCCATTTTATGGTCTCGGTCAGCGGAGGACGTCTTCGATGCTTTTCGGATAGCCTCCAACAATGCCAAAATACACAAACCGGTCACGATGGGTGCTACATGGAAGAATGTGAACAGGAGGGATTTTATTGACCCCAGTAACAGGAAAGGAAACGCGTCCGAAGTCAATGCTTACTGCAGACTTCCTCGATACCCAGGACGGAGCCCCTGGGCGACAGGGATGTTCTCTCGTATGTTCGTGGCCTCACTGCTGCCCCTAGCTTTGCAATGGGCGACAACTGGAGCTGCGGTACTAGTTGTGTATTTTACTCCGACTGTGGTAAGCATTATTTGATATACAGTTATCTGCACCTTTTTCTGATTAGCGGCACACAACAGGGCCTTGGTTGTAGATCTCTCGGTTACCTCATCTATGGCGCACTTGCAACAATAATATGGGCGATGCTTGTTATGTCGAGCATCTTGTCGCACTACGCATCCTCATACTCAGACAGACCCAGGAGTCCGTTCTCATCCGTCGCTGTCCGCCTCGTAAAGGCAGTATCGAACCTTTTGAGATGGGGAGGGAAATTGGTGGCAATCGTCAATGCAATCTGGATAATTGCGGCGGGGATGCTGCAGTTTACAAGTGTCTATGATAATTGTTACTGCAACTCGAGTGTGTTGGGGAGAGGGGCTCAATATGCATATGACATTATCGTGTTCGATAGTTTAGACTTGAGTCAAACCAAAGCTGCTTGGTTCGGAGCACTGGCTTTGGCTGGGTCTACCTCTTTGGGATTCATTTTTTACATGAGTTTATTAACCGATCTTGTACCTATATGAGGTCTCCGACAATGATATATCACATGCAACTTTATACCTTGTATTAATTAGTACGCTCTTGCGTTTTCAATTCATTGCGTACAAGAGGTGTGGGAAAGTGCAATTCTGGACATCGAGCTGGCGTAAGTTGACACATATCTCCTCCTACCGTGACAACGTTACGGTCACCTTAATTTAACCATATATAGTAGCTTACTAATGTAACTTCGAATACTTCTAAGACGCAAAATTCAATGACATTGATTGTAGAACATATGGAACCAGCAGCGTGAAATAGAAATGAGGACATGCAAAGCATAAGAAGTACGTAGGTCCATAGCGAGTTAAGCAGGTAACAGACTACGTGAAAACAATTTCAAAGTGTCAAGTTCAGACCGAGTGTGAAACAAATGAGAAGCTGCGTGAAGTTATCGATCAACGGATCAGAAGAAGTTGATGGCGGAGACATTGAAATGGACAGAATAATGAATTAAAAGTATGCCAATGTTATGAATCCATGAATGAGATTATGAGACGCGTCAATAACACATATCAAGACACGAACGACGCGCATATATTCATTGATTTTGGTCACATGATATCACTCATGACATCCAAAATACTGCATTTAGTGAGCAGCGCCCTTCAACACGCTTTTTTCATTGATCCGACTATCTAGATATATTCTAAAGTAGTATAAACCACCCCCTTCTCAGTATTCAGCAAACGATTTCATTAACTTTTGACGCCGCTATCTGGTAACTCAGATCACGCGTCTGGTAAGTTCATGTGGCTGTATATTTAAGGTTTACATGATGACTAATTTTGGGCTCTTTGTACGGGATTTCCCTTTCGCACACCTCTTGATTGCGTAATTTGTACACAATCTTTTTGGCAAGTGACGATACTGGTGTTGATTGCGGTTTTTCACCATTCCCTAGGCAAAGCTTCCCTGACACGCTGGTTAGGTCTTCATAGCAATGATGGGGCCTTAATATTGTCATCTCAAGTCATTTCAGGCTGTGGGCGACACTGCCCTCGCTGAAAGTCACCGAACAAAGTCTAGATCAAACGGGCGGAATCCGGCGGATGCTTGACAGTACCCAAATTCTGGTGAGAAGTTTTCACTAAAGTATAAATGCAGAGACGACTGTTTCCAGTAAGTCAAACCAATTTATACAAGACCAATCTACATGCATAGTCGATTCAATTAATCTGATGCTCTCGCATAAAGGCTCTCAGGCAGGTAAGCGCAATGACTGGACTACGGGTTTCTGATTTTCTGATTTATTACTTGAGCTTAGCTGTCTTACTACTACTTGTGCACGCTGCCGGAACGGTCGTCGCAGCAGTTGACTTCACTCAGTGTCTGAACGATATTGTTCAGAATGCGAATGCTACTCAAAACTTAGCTGGTTTACTCAACGGTGACGGAAATCCTGTGTCGAATGTTGCTGATGCGACATCGATCAGCTACTCGTTGTGCACATCCAGCTGTGGGACTGGACAGGAACCTTTCCAGTGGTCTGTCTTTTCGCAAGAATTCAGTGCGTGGCTATTGCCAAATCTTGCACTGATTTCGCAGCTCCCATTTGGGGCACAGTACAGACTTGATAATCTCATGTCTGCCGTCTTAACTGTTGGGTCACCGGCACTTGCTGGTTACTCTCTATTCATCACCCTCCTCAACTCTCGCTGGATCAACCGCCGGTTTGATCACTTAGTGGACTATCCTAATTCACGTTTCGTACTCTCCATCTTGAGCAGCCTTCAGCAAGTTCCGCTCAGACTGCATCCTGATCGCGCACGCTTACCCTCCCTCATCGTCCTTCCGGAAAACGACTCCTGGTGGAAATGTCTCGCTGAATTTGTGGACTACACTCATACATGGTCAATCGCTTCCGCAACCTCCATTGCATGGGTCGTTGTCGCCTATATCCTAACTGTAGCCAACTCACTATCGAATGTTTACGCAAACGTTCAATCCAATGGAGAGGCTACTGGCTCAATGTGGTTGTGGTTGATTCCGATAGTCGTCGGATGGCTCCAACTCTCCCCAAAATGCGACTTCAATCGTTTACAAGCTGCTTATGACCGTGCAGACAGACATAGTATGCACGCAGGAACATCGGACATTGGTGCCGGGATGTTTCCCGCGTCATCCCGGAGACCTTTGGCAATAACTGCCAAGGAGGATGATGTGATGTCTCCAGACGAACTCCTCACCCCTCCGGTGTTTAATTACTCGCGTTCGCTGCGATGGGCATCTACGGCAGATACTATCTTCATGGTGTTCAAAGCGGCATCAGAGAAGGCTCGTATCCATCTTCCCGTTTGTAGGAGTGATTGGGTCGAATCTAGCATTAACATCGAGTCCGTCACTACCCAAGACAATGATGACAGAAACCGACATGGGCCCCTCCAACACGTCTCTATGTACTACATACAACCCAACATGGTACAGAGTCTAAGCAGCCATTGGGCACCTGGTGTGTTCACCAGAATGGTTACCGCTTCCTGCGCTTCGCTTGCATTACAATGGGGAACAGTCGGAGCAGCATTTCTGGTGGGGTGGTTCACACCTACAACAGTGAGTCTTTCTGTATACTTGTGGTCGAGTTGGCTAACGTCTGACAGGGAATAGGGTGTCGAACTATGGGTTATCTCCTTTACGGAGTCATTTCGACTTTAGTTTGGATGATGCTCCTGTTGTCCAGTATTCTCGCCCACTCTGCCACCGCCGACCCCCGCCGAGTATCGCTATATGCACGTATTGCTTTGGGGTTTTCGCACGTCCTGCGATGGACGGGCAAATTGTTGGCCCTATTAAACTTTTGTTTGGTGATCATGGCATGCGTATTCCAGTACTCCAGCTTCTACGATAGATGTTACTGCAATTCCAGCGTGTTTAGCAGGCGAGGCGCAGCGTATGCTGTGATCATCGAAACCGCAGCCCAAGCTGCACAGGCTAAGGCTGCCTGGATCGGTGCCCTTGTCTTAGCGTGTACATCAGCATCGGTTTTCCTTGGTGTCCTGAATCTCTTGTTGGACACTCTACCACCGTAGGCAAGCGAGAGGAGTAACTTATGTTGTAAAACTATTTGACAGTAATACTATGTTCGAACAGATGACTTGACTTTGTGAAATTATCGTTTCATTGGATGATACCCCACCTAAATGTTCAGGCCTGCAGGGAGATAATACTTGTCTTACAGCCATCCATGCGAATGAGGATGGAGAGAAAATGAAAATAGTAATGCTGTACCCAGCCCGACCTTCTGAAACACTGAACCGCAACATCGGCCAGGTGTACACGCACAAGAGGGTAAGGAGTGTGACATTAAGAAAAGAAGTATGCATCGCGCAATCATCATCCGCTCGCCTTCGGTCGTTGTCAACAATTAATGTTTTAATATTGAATTTCATGTAAGTTGGAGATGACCACGTAAGCAGCTTCAATCCGGACGCCATCTCAAGATCATGGTCGACCGTGAAGTGCCAAGTACTAGTATAAGTTATCATACAAATCCTTTGATTGAACGTGGCACCTTGGTAACTTCACGAGCAGTGAAATAATATACGGGACGTCGAACGAGGAATTGGAAGTGTCATAACTCCTCCGGCAGCTAAGCCCATCATAATCATGATGATGATACGGTATCGACTCGGAGCCTATGCCTTTGGCCAACTTCCAACCTTTATACTATATGGTGTTTCAGCGAAGGCTGGTGATGTTCATCATTCTTGTAACATGAAACTAATACTGATACTCTATTCGTGTAGTCGCCCACTGTGTATTGCTTGCACTGGCAGTTAATTTATTGACCCGTCGCGGTGGTGACTGCAATATGTTTTCGAGTCCGCCCCTTCAACTGTTCGATTCCACAATCCTTCAAGTGTTTCTAATACTATGGTCAATCCACAGTTTGTGACAATCAGTACCACCAATCATGGACATTGATCACTCTGATGCCGCACTTCCGCTGCGGATGTTTATAGAAAACCACAAGTAGTGAGTCCACAGCTCTGATTCATCTAAAAAGAGTGGGTCTACAAGGTCACTATTAGACTCTTCCCGCTGAACGCTCCTTCATCTCACACACACCCAGTCCTCATACTATTATTCGCTATGTCCTATAGAGGTGTTTCTCGTCTTCGCCCCACGGCCACTCTCAGGCTCGTTACTTCCACTTCAGGCTCAGATACAGATGAGGACTTAAACTCTTCTCTAAGGTCCTTGTCACACTCAGAAGAACCATCACCAGGCCAGACCGAAGCTCGCCAGATTGAGCCTGTCAAGACGCCTCCGCGGACCCGACAAACTGAAATTGACAATAATACTGTAGCGGACAATAGTGATAGGAAGGAGAGTATTGCTGAGCCGGCCCAGGTCGATGAAGACTGGAAGATGGGATCTCCATCTCCCATCGAGCTGACTTACGCTCCTACACATTTTCATCAACTATATGAATATGAATATCAAGACATTGATATGGCATCTCCTCCTCACTCCCCCACTCCAAATGAAGTTCAGGATTCTGCGACACGGAGGTCCTCATGGGGCGCTGATCCTCGCTCCCCCACTCCCAATGAGGTTCAGGATTCCGCGACATGGGGGTCCTCATGGGGTGCTGATCCATCTCGTTTACCTATTCCGAACGAAGTTCAGGATTCCACGACATGGGGGTCCTCATGGGACGCCGATCTGCCTCGCCCCCCCACTCCCACGCAAGCTCGGGATTCCGCGACATGGGGGCCCTCATGGGGCGCCGATCCTCCTCATTCCCCCACTCCCACCCAAGTTCAGGATTCCTCGACATGGGGGTCTTCGACATGGGATTCCTCCCCATGGGACACTGATCCTTCTCACTCACCCACACAGGACTCTGCGCCGTGGGGGTCCTCGACATGGTGATTACCTAGGCTTCCATTCGTTCATGACTTGGTTCGTATTTCATACCTTTTGCAACGGTTTAGGGAGCTGATGACACGTCATAGATATGTTTGCTTTGTATGATTGATTGAGAGGAGTTAGAGAAGGAAGTCTCAAAGACGAACTATTGAACTGTAAGTGTGTCATACCTTTTGCAAACGGACTGTGGGGTTGATGACATGTCATAGATACATTTGCTTTGTATTATTAATTGAGAAGGTGTAGAAAGGGAAGTCTCAAGGACGAACTATTGAACTGTAGGCGTTACAAGCATAGCTGCTACTATAATTGTGTCGAGAAATGTACTGAATATCTATTATGATAACGCGTAGTCACATTACTTCGTGCTTGTCTCTGTTACCTGAAATATGACTTGTTGAATTTATGTTTGAAGACACTTCGTGCTGCTACGCGAATGGGTACCCTAAATTATATAGACCAGATAACAATGCTCGCAGGTGGAGTGAGTACTCAAAGCTTGGTTTGACTTTCATTGATCACGTCTTAATTGTTATAAGAGAGAAGTTGAAAATCAAAATGCGTGATTAGCAGCATCCATTGCTAGGAGTGCATAACGAGGGAACCAAAGAATCTAAGAACGAAGTCCGCAACAAGTCCGTGATATGAGTATAACTGACACCACTAGCAGGTATGGGAAGTATCCATGTCCAGTGCCGATAAAAAATGAACGACCACAGTAGCAGTAAGTAATAGTATATATGCGACGAAGTGAAACAACAAGAATTATGTATGGGTGAAGATCAGCACATATAAGGAACATTGTCATCTGATAGTAAGATCGGGTCATGTAGGGTTGGCCGATCAGATATGAGGGGTTCCGTATACCCACCTTGATCGCAGCACGTTACATGCTGTACAACAAGTAAAAATATATAGATGGACAGGCGCAGGGGACATCATTGTCACAGGGTATTACCGCCACCTGTAACAACAGGATCATTGTTCCCAAGTGGACTAGGACGTGTAGGTTGCATGCCGGGACCTCCCGTGGTACTCAACCCCGCAGCTTCTATTAATGCAATTTGCGATGCGTTGGGTCTCTCTCTTGTTTGAGGCGTAGACTCGTATCCTGATAAGTCGTGATAAGAAGATGATAGGGAATTTTGTGAGTAGTGCACGCCTGATGCTGAAGGGCCCATGACGTCGTCGACGATGTGGCTCAAGTCAACGTCCCCACCGTGTACCACAGAACCCATAAGTTTTCCACGTTCGGTATCATTAATTGACCCCGAGCTATCGCGCGGATCCCAGGGGGCATCATAGTCGGAGTATCTTCCTGGAGGCGGACGTGCGAGATCAACGTCCTCGAGATCCTCGCCTGCGAGCAGTGTTGCTCTGGCACGGGCTTGTCGTCTGCGCACGTTGATAGCGTCGAGGAAGTGGAAGTGTTTGAAGCGCTGACGTTGGCGGTAGAAAAATACAGAGAGACCGAGGATGAGGACTAGACCTCCACCGATCACGGAGCTAGCGATAATGGCAGTGCGGTCTGTTTCACCGGTAGTGGTGTTCGAGGGTAGGCTGATGACTGTAGGGATGAGACTGAAGGTCTGATGGCGTGTTAAGAGGGTGTTGGGCTAGTGAAACAGGCACATACTGATATAGAAGATGAACCTATAACCGTCACAAAAGATGAGGTAATGGTCGACGTTGTCTGGCCTCCATATGTGGCAGTTGGGGTCGTAGGAGTCGGTTTGTTTTGAGAGATAGATGACGGTGATGGCGATGGCGATGGCGATGAGGAGGTAGTGGTAGTTGGAGCTGGAGACGAGGTCGGGGTTTGGGATGAAGATGGTACAGACAAGATTGTGGAAGTAGGAGGCTGAGATGTAAGAGCAGAACTCGAAGTTTCTGGACTTGTAGACGAAATGAGCGACGAGGATGGAGTTAACTCGGGCTGAGACGAACTAGTTAAGGTAAAATTTCATTAGATGGTTTGCAATAAAAAAGATGCCACAAATACCCACGTTGTAACAGCAGAAGAAGTCGTACCGACATCAGGAGAGGACGTCGGTTGAGGTGTGGTACTGCTTGATGTCGGGAAACCAATGCTGGTAGCCTGGGAGCTACCAGACTGGGTATCGGATAACTGTATGGTCGTTATTGTGGATGTCTGCGTTCAGAGATTAATATTAATGTTGCTGCGCAAGATGATAATAGTGTATAGGGAAAAATATGCTTGGTCTTCCGGTCCGCAGCCAAGACACGCACCTGACTGCCACTGGGGGTTAGAGTGGGTGCGTCAGTAGTAACGCTAGTGGTAGATTGTGGTGGGGTATTGGAGTCGGTTGTGTTTGTCGACTGTCGTGGATTAAAGTAAAGGAAGTTGGACTCAGGCATGCAGCTGTCGACTCGCTAATGAAGAACTGTCAGTGTTCAGTGAAGTAGTTTGTCAAGACAACCCCAAGATTGACAGTGGGAAACAAATCCTACGTTGCCGTACTCTAACTTCAGGTCGACTGCGCGTCTAAATTTTTAAAATATGATTCCCTTGATGTAGATTGGTTAGGGACCGGGGTGCAAGGACTCGGGGCCAGCGTGACCACACGGCCAGTGTAACTGGCCTCCACGCGGTGCGTGTTGGCAGTGAACATAGTTCCCATATTCTACGTTTTACCCAGCATTCTCACTTCCACCATTACTTTACCCCGAGGATCCCGCATCCACCTATTTATCTTCCTTCCCACTACGACGCACCACCCACTTCCAGGGTGACCGTTTGACTGTCTCGCCAGGTCTCACGCCATAAACGAAGTCTAGCGGCGCAATCGATGAAGGCTGTAGGTTGGGTGCCCGGCAGTCTGCGCGCTGCGTTTTCTTGGACGTTCAACAGACCGGAAGAGTATGTCCTCCTAACGACATCTCCCTCAGCACTACCACGCGCCACTAAATACCGTCGTCGATATTCTTGTTCATGGCGTAGCTTCTTCCGCGTGTTCACTCTCCGAAAAGTCCTGGTCTCCGTCACCCTCGTCCCTGTGTTCCTGTTACTTGCCATTATCTGTCAGGGAATACCACCAAACTATGAGGATATCAGGTCATTCGAACACCATCTCCCTCAGCACTCCTTGTCGAGACATCAGCCGCAGTACCTACGATTTCCAGGTCACCTGTGGGGCTTCGGGTTCAATAATGTTCTTCAGGAAGCGTGTGTATTGGTTATTGTCATCAGGTCTCATAAGCGGCTAAATGTTCTTGTCAGTATTATGATGTCTTACCTCGCCTACGTGTCCAACGTATCATTTGTCTTCGAGGACTATACATGGTCACATTTACCACTCCCATGGACAATTTATGACTTCTCTCTGCGTCCCGCACGTATACCATTCAACGCTCTCATATCGGGGCCAACCGCAGGAGGGCCAATGCCTAGCGCATCGGATGCACCCCGTGCAGTGAGCGCCGAGTTCTACGCGCAAGTCTGTGGAGGTCCTGAAAGCCAAAAATATGTCATCACCTCCCTAAACGCGCCAAATGATGCGGATGGCGTTGTCATGATCGATTGGTGGGTAGATCAGCTCGCATCCGTGCAACAGCCTTGCATAGAAATAGACTCATCTACCCACAATGTCTTTGACAGCCAGTAAGTCTACTCCAACAAAATACCGAGTTGAATGATTGACAGGTCGTCAAGCTTCTTCGGAAATCCACGGATTCTCTCTCTCTGGGAATCCTTGACTAAATCGCCCATGTTGACTGACTTCACTTGGTCGCCGCTTGTGCAAGCGGCGGTTTCGCGTAACTTTGCTCTCCTCCAACCAGAGTCTGCGAAAGACCTCTACGATGCACATTCCCGTAAATCACTTGCTGGGCTGGTTGCGCTGCACCTCCGCAGGGGCGACTACAAGCGGCATTGTCCGAACCTCGCAAAGTGGGGCGCAGACTACATGGGTATAAATCAGCATCCATCGCTCCCTGATCGATTCAATCGGTCTCCGTATGTCAACGACACGAATGCAAGGTTGTCATATTATCTCGATCACTGCTGGCCGTCTACGAAGCAGGTTGTGGAAAAGTTGAGGGGCATTCGGAGAGAGTATCCTGGGCTGAGACGAGTATATGTACTCTCAAACGAATGGGCATGGAGTCTTGATGGTCTGAAGAGTGCGCTTGAGGAGGATGGGTGGGACGACTTGGTGAGCAGTGCTGATATCGTGCTCGATGCAGAGCAAAAGCACGTGGCTATGGCAGTAGACATGGCGATTGCAGAGAAGGCAGAAGTGTTCATTGGGAATGGGGTATGTTGTTTCTACGCGGGTGATTTCCACATATTTATTGACTCACTTACCTGCCGTAGTTCTCGAGCCTGTCGTCGAATGTTGTGATGCTGAGGATGGCGAAGGGGATGGAGGGGGAGAGCAATCGGTTTTTGTGATGGATCAAACGGACAATTATCTTAATGCTGAGTATATTCCGGAACATTATGCGACGAACGAACAGTAAAGGTGTTCATAAGGAACATGGACAATGGATGCATATAGTCACAAACCATGAGTTAGTAGGTAGTAGATGAGTGCCCTCGTCTAACGACCGAATATCAAGGGCAGTACCATGATAGCTCGAATTAAACATGTTGAACTTTATCAATTGAAACAGATTTCATCCAGGCGCATCTAGTGACGATGGGGGGAGCGCCAACGTAGGGAGGCAGCGATGGACGTATACTCCTTAAGTGGAGTTCTGGACAGAGGAGATGAGTACTGAGTCACAAACTGAAGAGTCTCGCGCTCGAAATTATATAAGCGTTCCCATGACCCCGTGAATTACCGACGAACATCCGACTAATCAGAAGACACGGAATATTGACATCGGACAAGACGCAAACAGCAAGGAGCTCAATGAAATAATGAAGGCGGACATGCGTGATATAGTGATGCGAGATTATTAGGCAGGGACGAACTCGAAAGCTTGCTCGCGAGGACAGCCAAGACGTACGGTACATACTTTGAAATTGATGGCACGGGTATCAATACCCGAAACATAGTTAAATTCGCTTGATAAGGTGTGAATGTGCGTCTCAGCGATAAAATGACAAGCGCCAACCAAAGTAGGCTTGCAACACAGTCCGATGCGAGGAGCTGAAAAACACCAATAAGATAGGTTTTTTAATTATTCCAGGGGCAGACATACCTTTGACAAGGGCCGAAGAGACGAGGCACCGACGCACTCATTTCTTTGGGGCAGCCTTTTGCTTTTTGCTCAGCGGAGGTTCTACTTCAGCCTCAATACCCTCTTGAAGTTCGGTCCACTCTCCCGCACCGACTTCCTGCCCAAACCTTCTTCTGAAGCGTCCCAAACGACCAGTGCCCTCCTGCTCTTCATCTTCTATGCCTCCCTCCCCGACTGCTCCGCTCAGACGCTGGGTAGCGTTCCAAAGAGGGTTATTTGTTGTATCGCGCGTCAAGGTTATTCGTGAACGCGGTGATGTGGTCCATTGCATGTACGATGAGCCGTCCGCACGAACGACACGCTGAGGGAAATGAGGAACTACTGGGTTGGGTAATTTGGGTAGACGTTGCTTGAAAACATGGGAGCGACCGTACGGAGAAGTAGATACACTTCTTTTCAGCGGTGATGGTGACAAGAGCCCTGCAGAGGGACGTTTGCAGAGTAAAGACATGGTTGGTTTGCGATACATGACCAAGAATTAATAATAACTGAGCTTCAAGTAAATCACGTGATCTGGAACACGCTCACCACTGTCAAGCACGACGACCAGCCCTCATTCACCATTAATCATTCGCCAACCCGCTTTTTTTGTAAGGACACTCTATTGTATCGAATCATGACTCGTTTGCATCGAGTCTCAATATACTCCTCCATCCTTATTTCGATCTATCTACTGGTGTTATTTGAGGTCCTGCCCATACCACTCGTTGACGCCAGTGTAGCCCAAGATATCCTTCCTGTCGTGCGTCATTTTTATGAGCTGACCGGAACGAACGTCTCAGCTTACGCACCTATAACATACATTAGGTTCCGTGGTGGCTTTTGGTGTCATTTGGGTCGTATTCCCTCTGGAGTCTCGGTTGGGGGGTGTTTACATTCCGTGACTGTCCCGATGCCTATCACGAGTTGCTGCAGGTAAGCACGGGTCATATTTCTGAGGGACTTGTGCGCTGATCGTCGTCTGTAGGAAATCAATGAAGCCAAAAACGATCTCCGAAGTCGGGCTGTCACCGTCGACTGAGGCGTCTCCTTCACTCATTTTCTATACCTTTGTATGAGACTTGCCTCATATTACATACTTAAATGCAGATGTCATTTATATTCGGCTTAAATTCCGCCTCATGAGTCTCAGTGATATTGATTATCTGTTAATCCAATGGTGAGGGTCAAGCCCGCCCTCGCCACTTCATTCACTTCACCACCCCTACCTCAGTCCCGATCTAGTACCACATAGATGGGCTTTGTGTGTCCTTGCATCTTTTGCACCTCATAGCTGACTTTTCTTGTTTCGCAGGGGCTGGTGAAGATATGATTTGGCTTGCGAACCTCACCTAATGAGATAACTTCAGCTCTCCATTGAACGATTACTCAGAGGTACTTCATTTCACACAAAAACAACACGCGCATGATGAGAGTTGCGACGGAGTTCGTTTGTGCGTCGCACAGTCGAATGTCGGTGTTTAAGTCAAGATACAGGTACGTCTTCGGTGTTTTATCCTCGCATCCTTCATAGCTAACTCTACAGACTAATGACCCAATACTTCTTTTCTGAGTGCAGTTTCTTCACTGACATCGTGCCAGACTTCTCAATATCGAGGCGCGACTCTAACACAGCACACAAGGATCGAGGTACTGAACGTCATCTAACTGACTGCCATCCTCCCAATCGAACCAACAACGAGGAATACGTACATGCTTTGGTACCGTAAAATTTTCGAGTCGTGATCCTCTGAGGCTAATTGCGCACTGGATTTCTCAGGTCGGATGATGTACGTTGCACTGCAATGGACGAGCTTTATCCTAACTACAGTACTGGCCGGTGAACTACGCGGGTACAATACATTAGCTTGACTAAAGCATCACGCAGATCATCATGGTTACAAGCGATCCTGATATTCCTCGTTGTCACTCGTATGGCTCTCGGCATTTCCAGCGCAGTGGTCTGCGCGATAGTAACGAGTCGTCTTGTATCGTGTAAGCTTTATTCACAGATGAAATTCTCAAGTGTATCAGGCTCGTTGGCCAATATCTGAAGAGCTCATCCTATCCAGAGGACAGCTGCTCTTTCTGTACCGTGACGGTCATTCTTGCTCAGTGGTTTTAAGCTTTCTTTGATATCACTCAGGAAAGATAGTCTCATGTCCATTGCGGGACGCGATAATGTGAAAGCTCGGATTTCGTTTGTCGATGTCATGCTCAACCTGTGAGAATGTCGGTGGGCGATCTGATAGCTACAGTCAGTGTACTGATATGTGGGTAACGGCCCGAAAGAGTTGTTGATGAAGAGACAGTTGAAGGTAAATTTTCCCGGATAACTTGACAGTCAATCAAACCTTCACTGCACAATGAATGACGACAGCTGTTCGCATGCATGCCTGACTCAAAAGAAATGTTGAAGTACTTGGTTTGTTCTCACCTTGAGTGGGAATGGTCACCGAAAATAGCGAGTGTAACATTATCCGCAGCTTGTAGATGATTTGCATCAACATGCAGTAGTGATGGTTGGTAGCCTGCTAGTTGCCCTAGCCTGCACCTCCCGGTAAAGGATCATGGTGTGAGGATAGTTTCGCCAGGGACGAACTGATGACCTTTGGCCCGACAACACGACTCCGGCCATTCGAATCGTCCTTCAAGCCCAGCTAAAATTACGAAGTTACTTTGAACAAATTATCGATGGGCCAAATGCAGCTAAAAAAACATCTACAGGTAAACACGTATGCAGCTCACGATAGCAAAATAGCGATAAAAACTCCATTATTCATCGTATTGAGTCAGCTGTAGGTCTGTGAGTACTTGATCCCGCACACATTCGGATACCAATGACTTACATCCAACGTCAGCGTACGAGAGCTGTTTACGTCTTGATCACGATAGATTCCAACAAGGGAATTACCACGCTCATACAAGGAGCCCTTCAAGCTAATGACGATGAACTGGAAGGAGTCGGACGCCTGGCTCCGGATATAGTTGGCGATCTTGGCAACATTGGTATTGTCCAGAGCAGCGTCCACCTCATCAAGGACAAAGAACGGCGCAGGTTGATAACTTGAGTCACAGTGAGAACGAAAGTTGTGGGGCGAAGACTAAAAGACCAAACCTGTGTATTGCGAAAAGGAGAGCCAAAGCAGCCACGGTCTTCTCCCCGCCCGAGAGTTGTTCCATGTCGCGGAATCGCTTCATCGGGGGCATGGCATGATATTTGATACCGGCATTATAGGGTTCCTGTGATCAACAAGTGTGAAATTGCCTGGACTAACACACCGAAAGACCCACCTCACTATCCTCTAAACTAAGATATGCGACGCCTCCCATCGGCGACGCCTTCCCCTTAGTGAGGTCTTTATAGACCTGATCAATACAATCTGAAATGTGGTTGTACGCCTTGTTGAATAACTCGCATCTGGTTGCTGGGATGAGGATGGCGCTCCAAGTAAAGCTATTCACGTACCTTTTTCGCTTGACATCGTTGAACTGATCGCGCGCGTTTTTTGAGTCTTTCCGTGCTTTATCAGCTTCTTTCTCTGTGTCTGCAAGCTTGGCCTCGACATCGTCCAGCCTGTCCAACAATCACCATTAAGTCATTGAAGAATAAGAGTCGACGTACTTTTCGATAGCCTTCAAGTTGGGTGCCATTCTCTCAATCTCTCCGTTGAGTTTCGCAATTTGTGCATCGAACTCGGCGGTAGTCTCAGGAGAATTATCCTGTGATGAAAGTCAAGCACAATTCTGTTTCGTCAAAACTGACATACCGCACGCTCCTCCTCAGTCAAAGAGTCAAAGTCGACCTCGATCCCATAATCTTGCGCTTGTCGTGGTTGTTGGGTTCCATCATCATCATCATCAATGTCCATCGCTACCTCCTCCCGAAGGTTCTGAGCGAGAATTGAAATTAATGCGCGCATGACCTTTCAAATAAACGGCCTCACCTCTTCCATTGGGACGTTCTTCAGATTTCCTTCTAGTAGAGGTAACTCGATGTCCTCGAGCCTGCATTTTCTGTAAGTCGCAGATCGTTCTAGTGCCAGCTTCTCAATCTCGTCGTTCTGAAAATGAATTAATGATTTATAAATGGTCGAGCTATCTGAGCAAACGATCAGCGTACCTTGAGACCAATTTCTTTGAGAGCCTGGTCAAGTATCTTGGCAGCTTTCGTGTGCGTCTTTTTGGCTTGGTCAACATGCTTGTTCTTCTCTTCGAGTACGTCGTTAAGGTCTTGCAGCATTTCTCTAAGCTGTGCGATGCCCTCCTGAGCTTCCGTGATCTCAACTTGAATGGTCCGCTTCTTTTCTTCTAGCTCCGCCACTTTCCGTTGCTCGTCATCAGCCGCGTTCCGCAGCGTTACCAGACGTGACTGTGTCAACTTCAACTGCTCCTCTTCAAACTGAGACCTGCGCACATATGTCAGTCAGCCTTAAAACTGCGCAAAACTAAAACTCACTGGTGCGTTAGCCTCGCAACCTGCTGATCGAATCTAAGTCGCGCTTGGCTCTCCTCTTCGGCGACTTTCAACTGACGCTCCTCATACTCTCGAACATTTTTGATGCCTATCTGGGAGCAAAACGAGGCAAATACACCGTCTTCAGCCGAGTCAATCGCAGATTGGAGTTCTGCGATTTGCGAAGAGAGTTTTGAGTGTGAAATTTGAGCCTGTAAATCATGGTCAGTTCCATTTGGGTCTGCTACACAGTTGCGCGAACCTTTTTGAGCTCGGGAGAGAGCTTCTTCAGTTCCCGCTCGACGTGCTTTAGCTCCTCTTTGATGCCGCTGTACCGGGAATTGCAGGCGCTCTAAATGACGCAGATAAAACGATGAGATTACTGTAAGGCCATAGGCAACTATTCCAAGAACGTACCAGATCGTCTCTTACAACAGCAATAGCACTCTCTAGTCGTGTGATTTCAGCGATGACGTTTTCGTCTGCCTTGCCCCTCGGTTTCGAGCGATTCAATTCCTGAAGCTGCGCCACAAGATTGTCACGAAGACGGGTAAGGCCTACAGATTAATGAGTGTGAGACACCATGATTGGCGAGCTGCCTACCTTGCACGTCCTTCTCCTCCCACTTCTTTCCTCCCCCATGCGTACTGCGCCCACCAGTAATAAGCCCACTCTTATGGATAACGGTGCCCTCCAATGTAACAGCTATCCAAATCTTAATATGGAGTCCAAATTCTCGCAAACGAATGTCAACCCACCTTTCACCTCCTGCCCCCGCTCCCAACATACATACTTCGCAACGTCCATGGTATCACACACAAGCGCATTCCCACACGCATGGAGCAGTGCGCGCTCTACGGCAGGCTCGTATTGGATCACGTCCACGGCGAGACGCGCGCCTCTAGCAAATGAGCGGAACTTATCATTAATGGGCTTGGTGCTGATCGTGTCGAGGGGGAGGAAGGTTGCTTGACCGGCACGCTGGGTGCGCATATACTACAATGTTTCGAAATTAGTTTAAATGAATAATGACAGAAGGTAAAGAAGCGCACGTCGATACATTCGATGGCAGTTTTTTCTTCGTCTACGACGACAGCGTCGATATTGCGCCCAAGGATGACGGATACCGCTGTCTCGTACTTGCGCTGAGTGGGTTTGCAGAGGTCGACCACGCGCCCACGGACGCCTGTGAAATATGAGTGGTGACCTTCTCGGCCAAGGCAGGCGACGCTTACCTGGGAAGATGCGCTGCAAACTGGCGAGCGTCTCCTTAAGCTTTGCCTCGCGCTCGGATTCGTTCCTGTCGACGCCTGCTTGGAGCAAACGCTGATAGACATCCGCGAGCTTTTCGTTCGTCTCGGTCTCAAGACGACTGCGGAATAACAATGACATGGCGTGTGATAAGTGCTTGGAGACGAAAGAAATACCTGATCCTCGTCCGCTCACTCTGCTGGTTTTCGTATTCTTGCTTTGAGCGCGCATGATCGCCCTGGAGGGTAGCAAGCTTTTCCTCAAGCTTTGAGAATACAATGAACAGGTGGGATACATTGATCTCGGAAAAAGACGTACCTCGGACTTGCTGGCCCTCTGAGTTTGCTCGTCGCTGCGCAGTCTTTCCTGGTTCCGTTGCAACTCTTCATCTTTGGCCCTCGTTTGAGTAAGCGTGCGGGACGCTATCTTTTCGTCTCGACTGAGGGTCTCCAGGGCTTGACGCTCAGAAACGGCGAGGACGCTGGCTGATGCTTTTCTGTTTGTACCATTAACACTGCGAAACATACACTTACGTGCGTGACTCACAGTGAGCGATATTCCGCTAGACTGTTCTCGCTGAGGGAAGTGTTATGTTGAGATGCACGTCTGTGGGCCTCTGCATATGAAGACTATAAAACAATGGAATACAATGCATCTAGAGATGGCTCACCTGCAGCCTCATCTGCAGCCTGCCTAGCATCGGAAAGATCTCGCCTGAGCGAGTGGAGCTTAGCCTGCTGACGTTCAGCATCACTGCCAACCTGCTCCCGTATCTTCAGTGAATTTTGCAGCTTTCTGGACGAGTGCTTGATCTGGGCGTCAACCTCTACTAGCTCAGGTTCCTACTACTCGTTAAAGTCGGTTAAGTAGTAAACAGTAAAATGAGCCGACCTTGGCTTCTAACGCCTTTTCGGCCTTCTTGACTTTCTTCTCTTCTCGTACGACTGCTGTGCGGGCCCTTGCTTGCTCTGCACGCACACCCTCAAGAGCCTTCTCGTGTTCTCCATGCTCTGCACGTAAGCCAGCGAGGGCCTTCGACTTTGTTTGAATGTCACGGGCATTCGCTTCGAGTGCCTCTTCGATGTGAAAAAGCTTATAAAGAATGCGTTTCAAGATAAGGTCATCCTGGGAACGCATCAGTATTGTATCGAAAAGAATGGTAACGCAGGCCCACCTTTTGATCGCACAAGCTCTCAAATCGCTCTGCTTCGCCCTTTTGTTCCTTGTACTGTTTTATTTCGCCCGCGATCCCTCTCCTCTTCGTGAAGTTGAAGGTCGCGTTCTCTGTTGCGCGTTCTTGAGCATCCTTTGCTTTTTCATATTCTGGGGCAAGCTCAAGAGAACCTGAAATTTGCTCTATGAGGCGGGAAAGCTCCTTAGGAGACTGAGACGCAACAGCCTCGACATCACCCTGGAAGACGAGGAAGTTCTTGGCTTTGACAAGTATATTGTGGGACGTCAGGGCGGCATTGTACGCAGAGTATGTGACGACCTTGTTGTTGAGACGGTATTCAGATGCTCCGGTGGTCGATATGCTGCATATAAAATAGCAGTCAGAAGTCTCGGGTAACCCAAACCAAGTAGAACATACGTTCGTTGAAATAACCACTCCTTTCTCTTTTCGTCCTGAAACACTGCAAGCACCCATGCCTTCTTGGCAGTCCCCTCGCCCTCGCCATCACTATTATCATCGTCTTCCTGGTCCTGCGTGGCCTCAGAGCCATCCAAGGGGCCTTTGGCGAGCCGGCGCCCACGGTAGACGAGATCTTTCAGCTGGCTACTGCGCAGCTGCGCACTCTTTACACCAAGCACAAAAGAGATTGCATCCATGAGATTTGATTTTCCAGCGCCATTGGGGCCGATAACGGAGGTGAAGTTCTTGAATGGTCCGATGACTTGGTGGCCCCTGGAAAAGAATGAGCAGACCCGGTAAATAGATCTATAGATTAGTCCTTGACAAAGTATTATATGGGCGCACCGATAAGACTTGAAATCGCTCACTTCTATGCGGATGAGGGGCATATTGACCGAGCCAACTTGAAATACTATTGGTCTCACTGGCAATTGCTTGCCAAATCTAAGTGGTACTTGAACGCGACACTGTCACAAACACGCCTGTCACATGCACATGTAACATTAAGATTCACTGGGATAATTTCATGTTCGCCATCGCGTGCACGTTCAGAAACTATTCAAGTTCACCGCTTTACGTAGTATGCTATCAGAGTCGACGTACAAAGCGAATACTCAGCGGGGCCTCTCTTAGTGGTAGGTCCTAACCACTCTGACGGAGTTTGTGCAGGCTTGAGCCTGATTAATGTCACGATGAAGCAAGGACAGAAAGAGCATTGAGAGTGTGGGGGATGATAAAACTCCAAATAAGTAAACCCCAACGAGAGTCGTACATCCCCTCCCATAGGAAACCGCCATTAAAGTCAGGGCGAACGATCCACACTGCAGTGTCCCCCGTGCTATGCGTCACCGCCGGATGACTCAAATTATAAACGGATTATTAGAGATAGCTGATCCAGTAATGTTGTCAGCGTACCCAAATGTCAGTGCTGGCGGTGACTATCGTGGTATCAACAGTCCCCTCGATAAGTACTAATTTGTTCACCACGGCCGTATAGCACGGCAATAGTGCCTGCATCTGCAAAACAACAGTCAGACTCAAGACTGAGTGAGACATCACCAACATGATAAATTGACTTTTCGCTATAAAAGCTGACAAGACGAACGAAATCGATTAGCAGCAGTCAACTAGCAACGTTTGAGACCTGGGTCATGCTCGATGGACTGGTGTCAGTAAATGGAAAAATTGACAACGTTCATGCTGCTAGGGGGTCACCTATATCACCACCCGGCAGTTTTAGCACAGAAATACAATGTAGAGTGGTGTCAATGATATCTACGTTGACAGACAAGGAAACTAGTAGAGCAACACTGAAATTTCATAGGGCGCAACGGCTTGAGCAAGATTGTGTGCCTACCGAAGTTAAATGACATCCTGTAGCGAAGCTGCGCACTGCATCCGAATCATAAGTACTAAGTCATTGGAACGAGCTCTATATTTTCGTACCTGAAGGCCTGACCCCACAAGGTGACCGAATGGAGGTGTGGATTTCAAAGTCGAATGGAGGCAACAGCGAAAGATGGTAAATTGCAAAAAGTGGCGCTCTGGCGTTCCGGCTCGAAAGATCAGCTGCTCTGCATGGTAGTGATTATAGCGGCGCATCATCTTGACACCCGCAAACCGGCAGGAAGTTGTTGCGCGCACCAAATGAATACACATTCCTCCTTGATACTTCTAGAGAGTATCAATCACCATGGAGCTTCACTGAAGAACGATACTTCCTATATGATGCACATATTTAACCTTTATCAAATGTCCGGCGTTAATAAGGAAGGAAAAGAAGAACTTCACCTGCGACGTGACACGGTGAACAGATAACTCTCCAAATTTCGCTTCTTTCACAAGACGGTCACCTACCCCGCCCCCACCCACTCAAAAGAAAAAAGAAAACTGAGGCTGGAACGACGCTCGTAAAATCTAGACGAGTGATGATGAGTAAGGGTATAATGTCAATTTCCTGACGGTTACAGGGTCCCTGAGGGGACGTTGGATTGCCAGCGGAGGGTGGGTAGAAGCATCCTGGCCTGTCCGTGAATTAAGTTCAAGCGGCCACTGGCCCATAAACAAGAGGGCTCGAGTGGATCTCATTCAAGGGATACGAGAGTAGTGGTGCCAGTCCAAGTATTGTGTTTTCGTTGAACAGCAATTACACTGGCAGGTCCATTAATGAACAAAATTATTACAAAAAGCATGTCTAAGATCTATTACATAATATTGTGTGGGGGCGAAGAGAGGGCAAAATCGACTAACTACTAACTCCCAGTGAGAATCGACAATCGGTTGTACCTGTGTGAATATTAGCCCAGCGTGACACCGCCTGAAATCGTGGCAAATCCAGAGTGTAATATGATGTAAGCAGTTGTTGTACCTGTAATGCACACTGCAAAGACTGCAACAACATCTGTTACATGTAAAGCAAGCTGTAAAGCCTGTAACGCAGTGTTTTGATGAAGCGCTACAATCAAGCTACAATAGATGCGAAGTTTTGGACGCAATAGTATGCATCCTTGGCTTTGCATCTAGAGTATCTCATCCTCTCCTGGGTCTGTGTCTCCCATCGTGTCGTGCTGTTGTGGCCCTCTGTCTGTAAAACACAAACACGCTCTCGTGCCAACAACTTGCAAAATGCCCCGTTCCAAGAAAGACTACTACTGTGATTGCGCTGATCACGAATACCTTCTCACTCATGTCAGCAAATCAACATGGCTCTGTCACAGGTCGAGGAGGAATAATCCAAAGGCTGCAGCAGCTCGTGCAGCACGTTCTCTCAACGACCAGATCTCTTCTGATGAAGAAGAGGGTGAGACAGAGCAAGGAGATGCTCGTGACTCTGACCCTGAGCCATCCGGGGCCAACGATGAAGGCCGCATTAGTGCAAGTCGTGCAAATATTCCCCCAAGTGCTCTTCTTAGCTGCGCAGCCGACACGAGCCACTCTGCAGGTCCCTCCTCTCAATCAGTGCGCCCGATATTCTGCCTTTTCACTCTAGATTAACTAAATATGCATTGACAGAATCTTGATTTTGACACAGGAAACAAAGAGTTTCACTTACCACAACCATCGAGTCCACACAGGCCGACTGTGGAAGAAATCCCCAATGAGGATGATATTGTTAATCGAGACGAACCTCCCACACTTCCGCACTTTGATGTCCCACCTCCCCTTGATGCAGATGAGGAGACACTTGCAAATGATGTCTACGTGAATGTCACCCTCGACAACTTGCGTATTTCATTAACCTTTATTTTCGGACTCGCCAATGCTTCCCTGGATGACCCTGAATCTGGACTTAATGCTGCAGCTGTGGAACGCATTCGAAATCCTCCGCAACACCAACTTTCTCTCGATGAAGACCCTGATCTTAAGGCTGCTGTTAAGCTCTATCTTAAACTGTCGCATGCGGAGAAGGACTATGAAGCAGCGCGCGAAGTTTCGATGGAATCCAAAGATATCGAAGACTTCCCAACGCTCTACCAAGCCAAGCAAGCTGTCGAACAGCTGAGTGGCGTCTCTGGTATGATGCATGATATGTGCTTCAATTTGTGCATCGGTTTCACAGGTCAATTTGCGCACCTCGAGTCTTGTCCGATATGTGGCTCTTCACGCTATGACCAGCTCATTCTTGCGCAAAGTAGTGGCAAGAAGAAAGTCGCATGCAAGCAGTTTCCAACTGTTCCCATCGGCCCACAACTCCAGGCTATGTTTCGTGATCCTCAGAGCGCCATTGATATGCAGTACCGCGAAGCTCAAACTCGGAAAATATTCGAAGAGTTGGAGCGAAATGAGGGCAAGGTCCATGTGTATGAGGATTTCCTTGATGGATCCGACTACATTAATGCGGTGCAAGAGGGTAAAATCAAGGACACGGACGTTGTTCTTATGATGTCGATCGATGGTGCTCAGCTCTACCAATGCAAGGAATCGGATTGTTGGAAGGCCTCAAAATATGGGATGCCTCTCGTAACATCAATTATTTGTCGTTTCCGTTCCTTGCACTTGGTACAGCCGACGGACCTGGACTTGCTTACCTGAATGGTTTTGTTGGACACCATGGAAAAAACGGTTGTCGTTTATACTGTGGGCTCAGAGGACGACACAAAATGGGCTGCACACACTACTATCCTGTGCTGCTGAAACCACACGATTACAACGTCGCCGGCTGCAGTCATCCTGACGTCAATGTCAACGACATTCGGGGTGCATCTGCGGAGATGTATTGGAACAATCTGATCTATGTCCTGCAATCATCCAATGAGACAGAGTACAAACAACGCCGACTTGAGACCGGCATCTCAAAACCCTCCATATTCCTCGGCTTTCCTGCTGAACGAACACTTGGAATTCCGAAGTGTTTTGGTTCTGACATAATGCACCTTCTCTTGCTCAACCTCCCCAATCTGCTCCTCAAACTCTGGCGTGGGACCATAGAATGTGAGCCACCAGACACAAAGGCATCATGGTACTGGGCGTCTTTGACGGGAAACACCTGGAAAGCCCTTGGAAAGGATGTTGCAGATACACGTCCCTACCTCCCTGGCTCGTTTGATCGTGTCCCACGCAACATCGCTGAGAAGATTAATAGCGGGTATAAGGCATGGGAATTCTGGCTCTTCCTCTATGGACTTGGACCAGCAGTGTTGTATAAGCGTTTGCCAGATGATATATGGGAACATTTTTGCAGGCTTGTTCATGCTGTCCGTATCATCTCCCAGCACTCAATCTCATGCGACAAGCTCTGTCTAGCCAACAGATTGTTCCTTGACTGGTCAAAAGAGTTCGAAATGATCTATTATCAGCGTCTCCCTACTCGCATCCACTTTGTATGGCAAAGTGTTCATGCTATTGATCATTACGGACATGAAGTGGAAACAAAGGGCCCCCTTATTTGCGCTTCTCAATGGACGATGGAGCATACGATTGGCAACCTCATCGAAGAAATTCAGCAACCTTCTAACCCATATGCAAACCTTGGTCAGCGTGCAATCCGCCGCGCACAAATCAATGCTTTGAAATCCATCATACCCTCGCTTGACACCAGCGACACGAAACACCTTCCCTGCTTTGCAAAAGATCTCGGAAGTGGATACGCATTATTGAAGTGCCAAGATTGGACAAGCCGTGCAACAACTGTTCATGAAGGGTGGGCTATTCGAGACTACATCAAACGTACCTGCTTCGATTCGCCCATCCTTCAACAGTTTTCAAATGATGGCACCATTCGTGTTTGTCGGTGGGCTCGTCTACAGCTCCCAAATGGACAAATTGCCCGTTCTCTTTGGAAAGAAACACATTTCAATGCCAGACAGTCACGAAATGTCAAGGTATGGGTTCTCTTCTCTAGTTTCATGAATTCTCGTCTAATTACAATCATATTTAGATCATGCTCGATGGCAAACCCAGAGTTGGCGAAGTGCAATATTATATCGAGTGTCGTATTGACCACACAAGGCCTGTCGAAGCTCTTGCAGTTATCAAACTGTTCTCTCTCCCTCACCAGGAGCTCCTTCGACAGCCTCACACAACTTTCATATCCTGCCAATACCTTGGCGATGCTGGCACGATCGTCGTGAATGTCAAATCAATTCATTCTGTTGTTGCCATGGTCCCGCATAAACTCAATGATGAGGACCGGTTCTATATGGTTGAAAAGCCCGGTGCAGATGTGACTTACCTTGGTGGGTACTTAGAAGAGGACGAGCAAATAGTAGACCAGCAATAATGATAATACAAGCATCTGTACTTGCAAAGAAGTATATCACATGGGCTCGCTGTGGGGTTGGTTGACTAAGCACCCCAGATGGAACTTTGTATATTGTCATCATGTCCTTGCTTCGTCCCACTTACCATCCGATATCCAGTCACTATGTCCGAGTCCTCTTCTGAAATGTCCTCCTCTAGCGGATATTCCCTGCTTGATGGGTTTTCCCCCTCGTCTTCTAAGAGCAGCATGAGCCCAGAGGTAAATGTCACACTTCATTTGATGCGCATATAGTCAGCACATAACCATAAAAACAGGTTCGAACAGTCTCTATCAATGACTTCAATATCATGCAGACTCGAATGTGATCTCTTGCGGAAGACAAACTGTCTCTCGAGGCACGTATAGTCACACTGACCAAAGATTCATGCAAGCTAGAAGGCAAGGTTGCTTCTCTTGAAGGCGAACTACGATCTGCTTCGTAAGTCTTTTAATTAAAATCCCGACACTTTTAACGATTCTCCAGCGAGTCATACCAGCAACTCCTTGAGCGTCTTGATGCAGGCTCATCGAAGCGCCGGCATGACAGTACCCACAACTCGGACCCAGTTCTTGCTCTTGTTATGAACATCGACCCATACCCCCTGCTTGATGAACTGACAATCGACCAGCCACTGGCACAGAAGGTCTTCTATCGAAAGGTGGACTGGACCAACGAGAAGAAGAAGAACTGTGGTGTCCTTGAAGCACTCAACGTGGACGATAACTTGGGCCCGGGGCCATGTCACTACCTAGTTCAAAAGGACGGCAGCGTGGCATCAGCAGAGGATCAAGAGACGATGCGTAATGAAGCACGCGCAGCATGGACGACCATGAAAATTTACGGACACTGTGGGACAACATGGACCAAGACCGACACCTTTGGCCAATCTTTTTTTTATCGTCACATGCGTGCACGTTTCTCCGAGTTCTGGTACTGCGCGCATGACTGGAAGGCACGTCAATTCGCAACAACCTATTTCCCTGCTTAGAGCGGAAAGCCCGAAGAGGATCCTGGTATCAAAATAGAACCTGTGAAGGTTGAATCTGCTCTGGACATCAAGATTGAAAGTGGTAGTACAGCCCCATTTCAGAGGACGAGCTCTTCCAAATCCAAACGCCCACCTTCCCTTACAATTTTCACTTCTGGTAGTCGGCAACCTAAGAAGACACAAGTCGACATTGACAATCCTCGCTCGGCCATTCAACGAGTTTCGTCTCTCCCATCTTCATTGATGGCTGAAAATAATCGCGCTATACAAGTAAGATCCCAGACTCCCTTATTATCGTCACATCATTTGCTAAAATATCAATAGATCATCAGTCCACTGACACGCACTCAAGCTGCAGATCAACACGCATCGACTGATTCCAATGCGGATATTGTCTCCCTCGAGCCAAGTTCACTTACAATAGTCGAACCAGCGAACAACTACGATAGTATCATTGACACTCGTATCGACAGCACTGTCAAATCCAACACATTCCTAACTGACTCGAATGTGACTCATTCTGTGCCTGAGGTTGCCCCCACATTGCCGCTGTCTTCTGTCTCATTCCACAGTCTTCTTGAGAACCTTGCATCATCATTGAAGACTCCCGTTACTGGACCGATCATCCCCGCTTTCGCTAACGTGACACTTGCAGATATTCCTATGACACAACGAGTTGGACCCGGAATGCAACCACCTGCTGCCAGTATGCCGCCATTGATCGGCAATCCAAAGAAGAAAAGAGAATTAAACCTGAACGCTGCACTGCGTCCCACCAAATCAAATACTGCTAGGTGTGTTCACTTTTTGCGTGCTATGTTACAATGGATCGCACTCTCAATGTTATCTGCCGCTGTAGAAACCTCTGTGCTATCGCATACAAAGAACAAAATAAAGGAAGAGTCGTTACCGTTGGTGAATTTGCTGCATACTGGGACAATCTGTCCGAAGAGATGCGAAAGGTATGTATATCAGTTCATGTTAGCGCCGAGTCATATTCTTACTTCCCCGCGGTAGCCATTTGTTGATCAGGTCGAGCAAATCAAACGGGTATACCCTCGTACAGTACTGATGAGACGACGCTGATACTAACTATATTCTCGCATAGGCTAAAGCAAGCGCTATCGAGTGCGCTACCAGTAGCGTGGTCAACAACAGTCACTCCCAGGCATAACTTACACCATCATTGCTGTCATGTCTCTTATCACTGTCATTATTGCTGTCCAGTTCTGCCGTCGTTTTGTTGCTCTGCTCGCTGTTTTTTCGTACTAGATGTGCATGTATATTATGATTCGACCCACGCTGGATTGCACGCATAGCTTGTCTCGCTCGATTTGACTAGTTTTGACTCGAATTGTGCTACAACAACAAAACTTGGTAAATACCGGCTAAGCTAGTGTACTCGCATAGCTTGACTAGCCTCGTTTTCCCTAGAAGCTCAAAGGCCCCAAAAACGGTCGATCTGCCAAGTTCTGACAATATTTCGTGACACCGATACTTAACAAGCTCTGCGTGGGTACACCCAATATCCACTTCTCACTGGGACTAACTAGCAAGACAGTACGGGAGCATTTTGCACATCTCCTTCAGACTCCTCTAATTTGCTCTGAGGAACTGATCATACTTACTATACGATGAAGTCTTCACGGCCAGTCACGAAAGCTGCCTATCCTCCGAAAAAGCCAGCCAGACAAAATAGGGAGTTCGAACGTGACCATGATAATCGGGTTAAAGGTAAGTAGGGTACCGATTGAAAGGGTTCGGCATGCGCGTCAAACTGGTCAATGATGAGTCCCCAGCTTGAGATTCGAATGTTGTTTCCACTGACGAGACGGTGACCATCTAGAGTGAATGTGCAACTTCCTATGCCTACTGTGTCAGTTTCAACACAACTCTTTTCCGCTTGCTGCATCCATACAGTGATCTGATCATTTGTACCTGCTGCTAGTCTTCTCTCATCGACAGGGGAGCACAACATCATCAATTTAAATGCAGTGCTGCCCGGGTAGGCACGTGTATTCAATTCCTAGTGCCATACATGATGATCGTGGCGCGACATGTACGCACGCTGTCACACTTGTCTCTGTTGCGTCCGCAATCACACTTAATCACGATTGCAGCTGCAACCAGAACGTGCAGGATTGATGCGCGGGTTCTTTAACGATGTCTGTCGTGAATTTGCATCGCCTTGTAATGTATGATTGACCACGCGTTTATGTCGAAACAAGTTATCCACCCGGCCGCTCCAAGAGGTTCGCGTAAGCAGGCTTACAACACCCCGTATGGTGCTTCCGCAACAAGTGCCTTGTTCACCGTCTCTTATTTCACAGGCTGTCACAACGCGCACAGCACGAGGTGGAATGTTCACGGCACTCAGTCAGGATCAATGCTGTTCCTACAAACAGCTCCGTCGCATCAGTCAAGAGCCACAGCCGTTGGTACCTTGACAGGGCAACAATGTGGTCGTTATTGTGCGCACATACACCACTGAACCAGTCAAGTTTGGTAGGCTGTTGACCACCAGCATACGGTTGCCGCCAATGCAGTTAACTCCGATCATTTAACCGTCTTGTACCTGGCCGCCCACTGTTTGGTGAGGATCAACACTTCAATTCAGCTGGGGAAATTATAAACCATTTCCCCCCCATCATCCGGTGAGCTGGAGTTGAAATTTAGCCATGCTCCGATTCTTGTGCCAGGCTCACTTAACCCAATCAATCTTGCCATTGAGCATTTCTTCTCCCCAGTTACATAAATGCGTCTCTACAAACCCCTGGTCCCAGACTGTAAGTAGCATTAATAGACAGTCAACATCCAGAATGATTGACAATAGCACGGAATGGGGACCATGTAATCCAGAGTTCAGTAACTTCAGTTCGTAGTTGTAGAAACGAATGGAAAGGTTGAAACCAGTAATGGGAGCCAATCGTTCGGATTCGTGCACCATGGACGAGTGGGCATTTAACTTAGTGACGGAATAGATATCATGTGCCATATGTAGAGGATGGAAAAAGGTTCGTTGATGGTATGGAGCCCGTGCTCTTTGTCCATGAAATCTTTCTGTTCGGTCCATATCTTGTCGACACCGACGGTGATGACATCCGTGTAGTGTGACAAAGGATCTCTGGGTGTGCACACAAAGGGTTTTCATTCTGGAGGAGGCGGACTATGAACAAGTCTAGATCTCCATGGTATATCACCACCATAAGAATATTGCCGGGGCTGTACGTATGATGGTTTCTAAAACGGTCAATATTAAAGAGTGATAAAGTCGTCGGATGACCATATGTTCTTTAAGCGTGCAGCGAGTAACCAGTAAGGACTCGCAGAGACGTTTGCATACTATATTGTACATCAATTGGGGCTACCATCTTCCATAGGTGGTCCCAAGTTCTGTGCTTTATATCGATCACCCGAGTGATAATCTTGTGGTGGTCTCCTTGGCTGCAAAAATGCACCTACTGAACGGTGCCCAAGCTCCTGAATTCAGAGAAGAGTTCTCAACTGCAAGTCAACTGCAGTGGCGAGCAGGTACTATTAGAGCTTGAAGCGGCGCGGCTGATCACGTGACACGTCACGTTTAGCTTACATTGATGGCTGAAATAGGAAAGCTTCTCTTAAGAGTGCGTGTTCGGTGTTACTCTGCCAGCCAACGCGCTGCACACTTGCCACGATCGTTGTTCGATGTTTCAGTGACTCGCCGCAATATTAATCCATTAGTTCTCTCGCATGAACTCTCGTCCTCATCACCCTCGCTGGAACCGTATGATCGTTACCAAGAAATCCTCAATTCCATCCATATCTCTGGTCTTCGGAGAAGCACAACAGGTTTCGTCGTCCCAAACCGCAGCCGAGAAGCTACCTCAGATCCTGCGCAAAGCTAATCCCAGTTCTACATTAAGCTCAATGTCAAAGGCTCAGTCAGAGCAATCTTTAGAAGACGTGCCAGCTCCTGCTCCTTTTGACCAGCCTATTACCAATACCCACGAAATAGGGCAATTTGAAGTACCGACCACTCATGATGAATGCATATCACCGTCTGCAGTAGAAGGTACCCTTTCGTATCTTCTTGCCCTCTTACTTTTGAATTTATGTCATTTCCAGGTTCACATTCTATTCCTACGCTTGAACCGCCCAACGAGAGCGACATGACGACCGTGCAGCCAGGTGCAGCTGTAACCTCCATAGATCTAACAGCACCTGCTCCGTCTGATTCTATCCCTCTCCGCGATACTTCCGTCACAACTTCGTCTCATAAGTCTTGGTTTGTCTCGTGGACTCGAGCAAAAGGGGAACAGTCACCTGAATCTGGCGTTGAGACAACTCAACCCCCGAGCTCGGTGCAAGCATCCGCGAAGGGATCAACGATATCATCGGAACCTCTACATTCAGACATCCTTACCATTTCTTCAGTCCCACATCAACTACCTATTCTCAAAACAACTGGAGATATTGGGCAAAGCACTCCGTCCTCATCCTTTCCACAGGATATACCTACAAAATCACGTTCAGACGATCAAGAAGTTGCTTCTCGTTCGGCATTATATCAAGTTTCTTTGTCGCCAGCAGGCCACCACTCTCGACCCAGCACCGCCTCCGTACTTTCGCCGCTGGATGAGAATGTGCCTAAACTTTCTCCCGTTAAGCTGTCTCCAGCAGCTCCGTCCGCCGCCCTGCAGGGCAGTGATACATCACAGTCTACTTTGACACTCGACCACTCTACCAGCCGGTTTACACTGGGCATCCCTTTATTCGGACGACCAAAGCTCCCTCTCGAACAGACGGTTGCTGCAGCTCAGCGTGATGATACTAGAACTATGGCTCTACCAACAGAATCATATCCGTCTCGCAGGCCACAGTTCATTACGCAAGGTTTGCTAAGGCCCTCCACGTGCAACTAGCGTGATGACTAAACACATTTTTTGTTAGAATCCGTACCGTTTGCTATAGAGAACCCTTCCTCTCCGGTTGCAGAGACAACCGAGGTGAATGTCGCGACAGATACTATAGCTCAGCCTGAGGGGATGGTTCACAAGGGTGCCGCAGGTGTTACTAGGGTTACTGATGCACAGACAAGCACATGGTGGACATATCTTGGATGGAGTAATGCTCAAGCGTCTGATAGTCACATACAAACAGATCCAGCTCCGAACGCTCCAACCATCTCATCGGTCGTTTCCGATGCACTGCCGCCGCCAGTCAGTGAGATGGCGGCACAGCCAATCGTCGACCCGACCTTTGTTCCTCAGAAGTCGGAAAATAGCACTGAGGAGCAGATCGCATCACAGAAGGCTCCTCCTGTGCTGTCCACCGATGCATCAGGATCGCAAGGCTCTGCATGGTATTCCCCGTGGTCGTGGTACCAAGGCTCGTCTACTCCTATCAAATTCACAAGCTCTCCTCCGGTCACTCGAGCTGTCTCCGACGGAGAAGGGAACGTGCATTCGGAGCTTAGCCAAAATGATGAATCCTTGAACCAGATGGCTGCTGCTGTTTCCCCTTTGCCGGATCCGCAACCTCCTGCTAGCGAAGCAAATCCGATATCATCGACAATTACTAATAACAGATCCGGCTGGATCTCCTTTTTTTCTGCTCGTGCAATGGCGATGAAGAGCATTACGAATGAAAGTCACAATGAAGAAATGGAAGTGATGGATTTGGACGAGGATGAAGCTAGTCCGAGCGCTGGCCCTCCATCATCAACCACCTGTTCCGCTCCGTTGAGCAAGGATGCCAAAACCCCATCTCCGGGTTCGACGGGTGTGCCACATATTTCTCCTTCCCCGCCATCTCCAGCTCAGAAGAAACCCGAAGACAAATCTACTCCGACTACTGGCTCGGCCAATTCTTCAAACGCCATCCGACTTGGCGCCAACAAATGTCCACCATCTCCGACTCCTTCGAAGAAGTCAGGGGTAAAGACACCCACAACTCCTCCACCGAATTTGGTCTTGCCTACATGGGAAGATACTTTCCACACGCATCCTCGCGCACACGTGCATGCAGAGCCCCCATCTGCTCTTTCCAAGACATTCCAATACGTCAGCGAAGTGTTATTTGCGCGTGATGAGACTGCCTCACACAAGAAAGGCAAGGTAAAGTCTTGGGAGAGGCCATTGGAGCCCTATGAAAAGGCGCTCCCACGTTCGTGGGATGTGATCGGGGGACAACAACAGGACGTGCTGCGAGGATGTCAAAGGGCAGTTGTGATTGGCGTACACGGATGGTTCCCTGGTGCGTTTTTTTCGTAGGAAGAAACATAGTACTCATACGCAGCCTCCGAAGGTGCTGTTATGCGGACGGTTATCGGTGAGGTTAGTACATGCTCATGTATTGTATATCACAGTTTGACTAATCGCCATGCAGCCGACCGGGACAAGTTCAAAGTTTGTGAACATGGCTGTTCAGGCGTTAGAAGAATTCCAGGACAAGCACGACGTGAAGCTATCAAAAATCACCAAGATACCCCTCGAAGGAGAGGGCACCATCAGCCGCCGAGTCGATAAGTGCGTTCAGGACAACTGTTGCTCAACAAGATCTCTTTGATGCTCACACGACTACCTCGTGAAAACAGGTTATATCAGAACTTGATCGGGAACAACGAATGGATGGATGACCTCCAGAATGCAGACGTAATTTTTTTTGCTACACATTCCCAGGGTTCAATTATTTCGACTCACATCTTGGATCGCCTCATCACCGATGGGCACATTCGGACAGCACCACGTGACTTGGCTGCCAACCCAATTGCTGATGCCTCTGGTAGCAATATCACACGCCCTCCGCAAAGGGTGTGTTGTCTGGCTCTGTGTGGAATTCATCTTGGACCACTGAGATATCTGAGCACGAGCTCATTAGTCCTACCTTATATCCAGGTAAGTCATGCGATCCCGCCGGGCACCCAAATTAATACAGAATTACCTAGTATTTCGAATCGATTGCTGCCCGGGAGCTGTTCGAATTTCAGGTGAGTTAGTTGCATAGAGTGGGATGTTGTTAGGTGATTGCGTTACCACCACCAGAATACCGACAGTCAGATTTCAAGAGACTACGTGAAGGCCTTAAGAAACGTTCTGGATAATGGAGTATGCACTATGTCCATAGATGATTATTCGTCAGATTAACGCCATCGTCTTCAATAGGTCAAGATGGTGTATATTGCGTCTTTGAATGATCAAGTAGTAGGGCTGTACTCCGGGCTGTTCACTTCAGTGACGCATCCCCTGATTTTGCGTGCGCTTTACATTGATGGAGATGCATACCAGTGCGTGTCAGACATGTCACTCATCTTACGCAAGTTCGGCTCACGTCGCAATTTTTTTTAGTTCTTCAGATTTCCTGTCCAATCTCCTCGTTCTCCTGCTACGTATTCGAAATGCAGGGCTATCAGACGGTGGACTACTTGCGCATTTGTCGGAGTCAACCGCTGGATCGCTGAATGGGGTTGGACATTCGACTGCATACGAAGAGACTGCCACATATTCGTGAGTACTATTCTTCTACCAATGAACGTGATTGACCCTGCAAGCAGATTCGCAATCAACTACCTTTTCCTATCCGACTCTGGACAACGCTCACAAGTTGAGCTTGCGATGGAGCCGTTTGATGCGAGAACGGAACAGAACGATTACGAGGTTTGCTACTGCCTGTCATATCTGTTTCTCACAATAAAATTTCCCCCTAGATTCCCTGGGCTCTCCGTGACCTCATCGCTGATGATAGAGTCGCCGAGCTGTTTTCAGATGATTTTATTCGTCTGCGAGATGCTTTCCGAGATTGGCAACCCAAGACTGCAATTTTGCGTGATGTAAAAAGGAAGCTCCAGCCGATCCAAAGATTGTCATCAACCATGATTTCCAAACATGCCGACTCCATGAGCAAACTATAATTCACCCTCGTTGCAGGCTCTGATCGGTGAACTCTGTTGTTCCGATCTGCCTACATTGCGTTAATAGATTTTCACCTTAATGCTCGTGAAACAATATCCCCCGTCACTGTATATCATTCATTTGCATCGCTCCTCGCAGCCGGTACTCACATATATATAATTCATCGAGATCATTGCTGTGCAAGGAAAAAAAAAGTAAGCTCCGAAGCCCACAAAGTACGGATGAAGTTCCACGAGTTCCGGATCTTACACGCTAAACAACACAGCAAAGACGGCGTACAGAACCGATGTGGCTCGCGATGTTGGTGTTCACAGCGATAAGATCATAAGGTTGAGGGTTGAAAAATCACATGGAAAAACGTTCATGACTGAAGGCTGGGCATGGCATCAAACTTCGGACCCTACAATGATACAGATCTTCGTTCTGACAATAGTATAATATCTCTGGCACGTTAATGATTTGATCGCGAAGATGTGCGCACAGATCTAATGTTCTAGTTCTTATTAAAGATACACCACAATCACAAGATGAATAGCTGTACAGAAAGATAATAGTGTACAGCCATGTTCAACTAGCGGTATTCGGCCCCACAGTCCCCTATCAAGGTGATCATCCGGCGGCCATTTGACCGAGCTTGTACCGCTTCAATGGCATGATTGTCCTCGTCAGTCAACCTGAAACCAAAAACACGGTTATTGTCGTCAATGTGTTCAGAAACTCCCAAACGGGCGCCTGGAGGAAACCAAAATAAATCTCCGCTTTGAAGACAGACAAATGTCCTACCAATGATTACAGCTCCGACAAAAGAGTGATCAAGGACCCATCGTGTGGCTATGTTTGCAATGCTTAGCCCCCCATGACGATCACCGATATCACGCAGCACTGCCAGGAGGGACTGGAAAAGTGCCCAGCTTCCCCAGGCCTTCAAAATCATATCGAGATACTATGGACGGTTATGAGACCTTGCCGTATGCGCTAGGCGACCCTGCACGGAACAGGAGATTCGTACCTTGCGCTGAGATGGCGTCAAAACACCGGAATAGAGGTCTGGTTCTGGCTGATTCAACCACTGATCTGCCAAAAATCCACCGCACTGCCAAGCACTGTGTAGTGATCCGAGATCGGGGTGAGAAAAAGCAATGCACATACAAGCGTGCCATATGTTAATAATTTCACGTTGTGTCGTTCACATACATCTGCCATCCCGTGCAGGGGCCGAGTGTCAATTAAGGAGAACTAGATGATGGTGAGAAACAATGAAGCATTGGTTTGAGATCCTGACCTGAACTTGATTTGAAACGATGAAACCAGGCCCCAATTGTGTACATATTTCATCTGTTCGTATGGCATCAAAATTGCACAGGCCGACCGCGCTGATGAGCCCTTCATTCTGAAGGTCTTGAAGAATTTGGAGGGCGGTGAGATATCCTTTGTCGGAGTAATCTTGCCAGTGAAACTACGGGAGAAGGTCAGGGTTACGATGGTATCATTAGGGTATCGAACCCTCGCCCACCTGCAACAAGTCCACAGTGGTCGTGCGCATGCGTGTCATACGCTCCCGAACCGCGTTCTCCACCACAGAACGCGACAATTCTGTTTGCCGGAATACACACCATTTTGTGGCCCCGACAACTTCTGCCTGGCTGGGTAGTGATTCTTTAAATTGCCCCTGAAAATGCCAACTCAGTTTGTGGCCTGGGTAAATCCGAGGAACATAACTTACATAGAGTATTTCCGCACTTCCATAATGGTCGGCTGCAATATTTTCCTCAGCTCATGGAAAATCCAGTGCAGATTCAAACATACCCTACACGCCGATACCGGCAAAGTTAGTTTTATTTGAACGACCTATCAAGGAGTGCGGATTGCGTACCATATCTACCAAAAATGGCGTTCACGATTGCAGGGAGATACACATGGCTTGATATTTGTGACTCACCAAAAGCATTGTAACCCATTTCGTTGTGTCTAGCCATTGCTTGACGAATTTTTGCTGCCGAAGCGCTTCCCCAAGCGTTACTTGACAACTGCCAAAGACCTACCCATACTCGAGAGACAGTGAAAGGACCGAGAGGAAATGTCTCTTTGGGTTGTGATCGTGTTCTGGGCATAGTTAGGAGTAGGATAGGGGAATAAGGCAGTCAAAATGTAGCATTATAATGTTTCATTATCAAACTCCGTTCCAATCCACGGAAAACTTCGGGCGCCAAAGGGGGATGCAGAAATCAGCCAGACACATTTGGGACATGTTGACAGTAGTCTGTGTCTGTGACACACTCGTATGGAATGGTGACTTGACATAGGCTAAGAAGATGAAAAACGAATTTACCATTCATTTCCAATCATCACGGACACATAACAAGTGACCGGTGTCACAGACGGTACGTACCCATACGAAAGGGTTTTTTTCGTCAGCTGTGTTCATCAATGATCGATATCTGACTTGCCTCGAAATAGTTGCGGAACCAGTCCAATGATGACACTTCCAACTGGGCTGATGCCCGAGAATATGCACCACAAGTGTTAAATAAGTTCGGATCCAGCTGTCCGATTACTCGTGTCCTCCCTCACAACCCAATCACCAGCGCTCATCCTGTTCCAATGCCCGCTCCCGAAGTCACACCTGTCCATACACACGCCGAGACTGCCAAAACACTAGGACATGTGTAAGTCGTCGTCCTACCCCCTAGTATACTTGCCCATTGACTGATGATTGTTTGTAGTAACTTGATGGTAAGACACCGTAAAATCCCACCTAAACGGCATACTCATTTTACTCTCACAGGTGGACACATTGATTGCAAATGCGACGATAGATGAGCAAGTGCCTGTCATTTCGGCTGCCGCGTCAGACCACTGACGATGCTAACTCCCAAGCAGCTTGCGCGCAATCACTCGAAATCTCCTTGCAACCGGCACCCCCAGTCTTGCAGCCGCATTCACAGCCGCGGCACGATCGCGTCTCCGTCAGACCAGTGCTAGACGTATAGCGACAACAAATGGTTTATTCACAACTAGTCACAACGGTATCCATGCTATTCCCACGCAAGAGCTAGATAATGCCCTCGCCCGCGCTCGTTCTCTATATGGAGCTGGAATGGGGTTCGCGAGTTTGGGCATCCTTTCTTCTATTGTAAAAGCAACTGTTGGCTTGAGATGGGAAGAGGATGGCGTAATGGCCGATGTTTTGGCAGTCATCGATGCGGATATTAGCCAAGCCATGCAGGTCGGTGTCACATAACTCCCCCGCATATCGTCCGCTGATCGGATAGCGGTAGAGTTGCAAAGAAGAACTGGAAGGTGGGCGCGTGAGCGATACGGCGGTTCCTCAGGAAGCGATAGGTAATCTATGGTCAAATATCGGGCAAAGTGCCAGGGACGTCGAAATTTGGGGGGGGGAATTTCCTTTTGACAGAGCATCCAACAGCATCGAATGCTGGAAGTTTTAGCACACCTGTCTAGAGTGTAATTTCAACTTGACCGAATGTCTCATTGTAGGGCAGACACCACGTTGCTACTGTTGCGGGCATTTAGTGTGTAACCACTAGAATTATGAGGGTGGCAAACACTAATCTGAAGCCGGCTATAATTCACAGCGGGGACCAAAGTGAAGAGCGGAGATCAACGTGTGGATACCATCTATCAGAAATAGGACGTTTCCATTTACCAAGAAGTGGGTACTAACCGGCGAAACGTTCTGACAATAATCGGAGTAGCGAAGCTCAGTCTGTTGACCGGTAAATTGATTGTAAAAGTAATGTCAAACCATCCGAGCAACCCTAAAGGCTGTCAAAAGACGTCAAACCACGGCAAGGTAAGCTTAATCACGATGGCAAATAACTAATCTGAAAGTCAAAATGTAACTTCTTGAGTATTCCTTCTGGAATAGTTCAAGGAACGTGCCGTTTCCTGATCACGCGAAGTTCTAATTCAGCGCTATCCGTTGTTCACTGTTCGGGAAAGCCTCGATCGAGCGTCAATGCTTGCGGGTGTTCGCCGCTACTTGAGGATGTGGCGAACCCGCAAGCGAATGAGGGTCGTCGACTCGTGCTGGGCCAAGGAATTAGGTATGGTTACTTACCCAAAATATTCGACACGCGGTCTAGTACTGGTGACCAACTCACGTATATTTTTACAGGGCCCAAATGTCCATATATGAAAGGGGTATCAGATTTCTCATCCGCGCAACGGCATTTACTGGACTGCGGAATAACACCATCAAATCGTATTCCAAGGGACGCGATGACACTGAGGGCTGAGAGTCATGAGGGACCAGGGTACACACAACATGAAGTCATCTCGTGGGAGGGTGAAAGAGTCATGCGCTCAGATCGCGGGCTTGGCCTTTCTCAGGCTACCGTATCTGCTGGCCGCAAGAACGAAATAGGATTATGATCCGCCTGCAGCACTAGAATTGTTAAGCAGCGAGAGGCGGAACGCTCTAAAACTGATTTGGATACTCAGATCCCGTCAGGCATATATTTTGGGTCGGCGATTTAATTTCATGCGGCCATCAGCCAATGAGTTATTATTTGCTCGACAAGTCGGTCTCCTACATATTGCGACCTCAAGGCCTCAGATTGGCTGCAACTTCATCCGAATAGTAGCTTAAGTGCTTCAGCTTGAGGATGACATGCCCCAATGTCGGTGACATGTCGTTTTTATCGGGTACTTATGTTTTGGTCACAGACTAGCTGACACCCACAATTCAACATGGCATCATGACTTCTTGTCTGTGAACTACTTTATGCGGCGCTTCGTGGCACTCCATTAACGACTTTTTACGATGATCTGCGAACACCAGCCAAATCGCTCTTTTCCACTCTCAACTGTGACCAGCGCTACAATTTATGTGCTTCTCAATCAGAGTCTAAAAGCCTGTCTCGACATCAAGAAGAGCTATACAACTCGAGGCGGCTTCAGTTGACAGCAAGTAAGAGAATATTATTGTCTCAATTTGGAATAGTCTAACTAATCATTGGGTTATTTTGAGGTACACTCCGATGATCACGTCGCGCACAGTACTAGTGCTCAGCGCTCATGGGTGAGCTAAGTGTTAACGTAAACAGCTCGGATTGGTATCCTGGCGTCAATGCAGGGTCTCAGTGTAGCCGGCATCTTGCTCCCAATATAGTTCCTTTGCATTTGCCAGAATGCAGTCGAGTACGGCTGACCCAACGCAGAACGCTACGAGGATCTAGACCCTGAAGATAGATCCACTGGATACTTGACATTGTCATTCTAAGCTTTACTTGTTTTTGTGTCACCTGTGAATGCTGTTGTATATTCAGTCACACGCATTGTCATTGACCTTGCTCATAATACCTGTGAGGGTCGTGTTCAGAGCTCTGCCTAAACACTAATCTTGTGACCAGTCGGTTCATAACTATTTGGGTAGCATATGATTAGTAACAATCCTATATTTGAATTGATACTGAACATAATGTAAGGAGTCGATCTCCTAGTACGCGCTTTGCTTTTGAGGTTTTGATTCCAGCTGATAACTGGCTTCTGCGAGTCGGTTATTGGAGGAGGCTTGTTAGCAACCTGTCTCGGCCGGGCAAGCGAGTTCCCGGTTATCCATGTGAACTTTTCAGTTACACGGAAGTTGATGCGGCCCCATGGCAGTTTGCACCATGGGAGATGTCGGGTATCATTTTAACGGTCGGGAACGTCCAAAGCCGCCATTTACTAAACCCATAAGTGGCCCGCTGATTGCCGGCTTACATGTTGAGCAAGGAAGAAGTGGCCGCACATGTTTCTATTTTCCATTTTCCAGGTCGCGCCGACCAGACTGTCGGTCTTTTTACCCCACAAAAGCGATCACTAATTATATGGTCGGGTATCACATACAGCTGTACCTGGTTCATTAGGCTTTTTTTCATGCTAGCCCTGGTGAGCAGACCCGGAGGCTTCTTTGTGGTCGATTTGATTGTTACCGTCTAGTTCATGCCGGAGACTTTCGTTCTAGGACGAAAAGCAACGCGATATTGAACTATGCTGATATGTCATGTACCCTTAGACTACGGAAGTCCTGTGGCCCCAAGTTCTGCGCTCTTATTAACAGACAATAAGCCCCAGCTGTTCTTGTCGCTTGCTACGAGCCTTACCATGAATAATAAATCTTAATTCTACCGTCTGCCGATTCTCGCTAATGGCACTTCTGTTTGATATGCTTATGCTTTTTTCGCTATAATTGACACTCACTGTTTCTCATTTTTGTTACTAGCATGTTTACTGCAAAATCTACTAGGCATTTTATAACCTCCTACTAGAACTTGCTCGAGCCTTTACTGATGCGGCGTATTTTCCTGATCAAAGCATTGTGTTTAGGAGCCCAGGTGATTCAAAAATCGTCTTAGTTAGTTAGTTAGCTACTCGTGCCAGATCCAGATTTACTGCTGTTACAAAAATATGTAGCGCCTGATTTATTCATGACTAGACCCCTTACATTCGAGCAAGGCCAGAGTTGGGGGCTTGCGAGTTATCGTGACTCGTCGTCGTCCCGACAGATCTATTCGCTCAGGCCCAGGTTGGCATTGTATTGTAATTGATCTCCCCCACCAATCTTCTCATTTGAACACAAATATACGTACTTTGATTCCACGTCCATTTTCATGCATAAACCCTACTCGATGACAGTTTTTTGTTTTGTTGAGCGTGCAGGACGAAATGAACTGCGATAAATCGTCAAGTAAGGCTTGTGTGCTGCTAGAGTGAAACACGAACAGCCGACCGACTTTCCAAGAGGCTGTCACCACGAAGGAAAAATGGAATTCTACCACGAAGCGAGCTCGAGTCTATTATACGAGTATAGGATTAGAACAAGGACTTCGTGTAGTGGCTGTGCAACATGTGGCTTCTCTTCTCTGCTCACCACGCTCCGGCCCGCCGGGCGCCTTGTCTGCAGCCTGCCGCCTTTCGGATTTTCTTTTCCCCACCTACTACTCCTTTTCTTTCGTAGCCTACATTATAATTTTCTACCATACTCATACTCGAGTTCCTTAGTTACATAGTCACATTCCTACTACTTGGGCTCGGGTGGTTGGGGCCCGAAACTGCTGGATCCGAGGCTGCGGGGGTGCCTCACCTCGGCTTTCGGAACCGGGACCCTTACCCCTTTTCCCGAAAAAACTTGTCTGCTTGTATTCAAGCATACATTTTTTGCCGTTCTCACTACTTACACAACATCACAAGAATGCCCACAAAGTCCCAGTATACTCATATCGTGCGATAATTCAGTGCATCGACAATGTCAGCGCCAACGAAGCAGCAAGAGAATCCTCTTGGCGAGTAGTGAGAGCTTCTGCTGTCCATCTTCGTTCCCGTAGTCTATGTGTTTGCTTGCACTTCGGCAGGCTCACACAACCGCGTTCAATGTACTCCGACATCTTGCCACAGGTCCAAACTTTACCCGACGATGAGTCATTGACTCTAAACAATACTAACCCTTCCAGTGCAACAGTGGTTGGCACTTTCACAAAACTCGTATTCTAGCTGCTTAGACACGAAATTCTCAACATAGATATCGTTCTTTCTAACATAACGCATTACGAGGTTGAATGACCACGATCGAAGCAGAATTGTGTGAGATAGTTGAAAATGCCGAAGTCACGCAGAAATGTCACTGCCTCGATGCCGTGACGGAGTTTCAATGATGGCACACGCCACTTGAAGTGCCGACTGGATCCCATCATCGATATCATCGAATTTACATTGGACAACATCGAATTCATCCATATAATGGTCCGAGTCTCACTACATCCCCCTCAATCTTACATTAATGGTCTTCCTCGTACATATCTACTAGTAAATAGTACATGCGCTTTTGCTTGACTAGCACTGATTAGCCTATATAACATGCTGTGACTTACTGTGACAGTTCTGTGTGACTGCCGGGTGCCGGAAGGGTAGTAATGAGTAATGGCTTACCACAGCTCTTTCTACTGGCCACCCAGCTGCTGCTCGATCCGCAATGACGAACGATATGGCCAGGTACAAAGTTCGGGCCGTTCTCTCATTGTTTGTCAGAACAATTGTATTATGAATGAACTTTTGATCTAGGAGTAGGCCGGCACTGTCAGCGGTGAGTTGCAGCACGAGCCTTCTTGCATGTTCGTATGGTTTTATCGCATGGCTATAAAAAACGCTCCGACTTATACTGACTCATATGCATGCTTCATTCCCAATTTGGGATGCCTCCAGACTCCAACATTAATTGTACGAGCCTGTGATCTCGACTCTCCGGATGAACAGATTCATCACACTGAGTTTCGGAGACTCGCTGCAATTGCCAGTTGCAGACTATTCACAGACGCATATGCTTTTGCTGTTGGTGACTTTGTCCAATTGGTCACAATCGGTTTATGGCAGTTCAAACGTTCATGCCGACCTCATGAGGCCGCCGCCGCCGCTACAACTATACTCCACCAATGGCATTCGGTGTTAAGTATATCGGACATCCGCTTCGCACCTGCTTACAATATTGACTTCCACTTTTCTCTGTAGTCTAAGAGTTCTTAGGCTTGCGTCGTACCATGTCGACGTTGACAAAGATATCAGGGTCATTTGGCCAGCCCCACGATGCTGCTACCATAGGGACCAACATGTCTGCCTCACAAAATGCCGAAGGTGATCCACGCCTCGTCGTCCTCGAGCCAGAGGACGACCCGCAGAACATGTCCTCGTTCAGACGGTGGCTCGCGGTCCTGATCATCAGTTCCGCCTCTCTATGCGTGACATGTGCTTCTTCGATTGCGAGTCATTTTATATCTCATTTTGGTCGAGACTGACTGTGCTCCAGGCTGCGTTCACAGAACAGGGTTCCGCTCAAACATTCAATGTCTCACATGAAGTGACTATTCTCGGACTTAGCCTATTTGTGGTAGGTCTCGGATCTGGACCGCTCCTCGTTGGCCCATTATCCGAAGTGTATGGTACGTCCAATATTTTTATCCAAAAGTATACCCTCACGGAGTTTGGCAGGCAGAAATGTCGTATACCAAATATCTTATGTGTTATTCTTTATCTTCACATTCCCCGTGGTGTTCGCTCCCAATATCGGTGAGTACATTTATTACCGGAATTAATGGATCTACAATAGGACAACAGGTGTTTTCTTGGTCTTTCGCCTTATCACTGGATTCTGCGGATCAGCCTTTTTGAGTGTAGCTGGAGGTAGTGTAAGCGATATGTTTCCGAATTCGAGTATTGCAAGGTAGGCCCTTGGATTTGCGTTCTGTTCGATTTTACTGCTGAATCATGTGCGAAGTCCGATGGCTGTGTATACCATGTAGGCTCTAACAACGCTAGCCAGATTATATCGTGGAGTGACTGATCATCTCAAAGATCTCCATTTATTGGACCAGTGGCTGGCCCCTTGATTGCTGGGTAGATTTTTCGTGCTCCTTGGCAGCACTGTTCCTGATCTCACGTGATGACGTAGATTCATCAATCAAGTTAGACTCATTGGCCTGATCCTCCATCCTCATTTGACATTTTTCCGACAGCACCTATACTGGGAATGGACGTATCGAGTGCAGTTGTGCTGGATTTTCGTAGAGTTTCTGATGTTGGTTCTAGTGCGTTTCGTATTTCTTGTGTGAGATGAATTGACTAATGAATTGAATTTAGTTTGTTCCTGAGACGTACGTCCCAGTGATCCTAAAGAAGAAGGCAATAAGGTAGGAGTGCATGTTCTCTGTTTTTTTTCTCATCTTTACGCGCTACATTAATGCGCTCGACAGATCGCGGGAGTCGACTGGAGACCCAAAGCTTTATGCTCCTTTAGATAGACGGGAAGGCACTCTTACTTCTGCTATCCTCGTCAGTTGCTACAAACCGTTTCGTAAGTCATCAGGGATGATCTCCGGTTTATCGCAAGTAATGGTGTGGCACCTTTACTAGAATTACTTCTATTCGACCGAATGGCACTACTTTTAGATTCCTGGTAAGGGCAATGCAACTTATTGGTACTCTGTACAAGTCCTGATCGTTCCAGGAATGCCCTTATTCTTGGAATCCTATACCTGGCATTCCAAGCATTCCCCATTATTTTCGAAGATACTCATGGATTTAATACGCAAAACACTGGACTAGCATTCATTGGGATTGGACTCGGGATGCTTTCGGCCATTTCCACACAACCGCTTTGGAACAGGGAGGTCTCCTTTTCTCTGGCATTCAGCATTAATATCAATGTTAATGGTCCTCATTTCTAGACTATATGCCCGTGAAACTGCCAAGTACGACGGTGATCCACCTCCTGAGATGAGGCTTATTATGGGTCAAGTAGGAGGGATACTCGTGCCAGTGGGTCAGTAACCAGTCTTTCTTGGTCGCATAATGCTTACCATGTCTACAGGTTTATTCTGGCTCGCGTTCACTACATATCCGCAAGTCCACTGGATTGCCCCAATCATCGCGTCTGTGCCTTTCGGCTCTGGGATATATTTCGTTTTCACATCAACGTTCACGTACCTTGTCACCGCATACCGCCCAATCGCTGCCTCTGCCATGGCAAGTAATAGTGCATTGCGGTCAGCATTTGCCGCTGCGTTTCCACTATTCGCGGGAGCAATGTATGATAGACTGGGGACTGTTGGCGCTACCGCTCTTCTGGCCAGCCTCTCAACGATCATGGCGCCATTACCGTGAGTCAAACAAATAGCAAGTGGTATGCACCATTGACCCTCATTTGACTGTCAGTTTCATATTTTACCGAATTGGCGCGCGATTGCGGAAGAACTCGCGTTTCGCAGCGCATTAATATTTTTACACATACGACATATAGATATTAATATTGTCAAATGACAAAGCTTCAACGCGTTGTACGTCGAATCAACTTAACTTGTGAATTGACGCGTCGGCGGCAGCCGGTTTCTCTAAAACAAACGCTAGACGATCGCATATCTCGAAAAATACTTGCATACTTTCTGCGTGGTTGGTCACGACGGGTGCGTGGGTCTAAATACTGAGTTTGCGATGAGTGTTGCGATATGACGCAATGAGTGCACACCTGTCATACATCTGTTGCTGCATCACTGAGATGGAAAGGCTGTCGCTGATATATCGATAAGCCCAGGCACAACTAAGGCAGCCCGAGTTCCAAGAAGGGGCGTCGTGTACGGAGATTGACGAGTTTTCACCGTTCTCACTAGAATGTTCGACATCAACTTAATATCAGCCATTCTTCCTCCGACCGCCACAGGTGTTTGTTTTCTGGACCCTCTTCCGCAGTAACAATCTGATGAAGTCACAAATCCATATCGGCATTCTTACGAACATGCTATCGCTATCATTTGGGGACTGGCGCATATAATCAAGTTGGCATCCCAACTCTCAAACAGTTGCTGAAGGACCGAGATAGCAGCGGACTCCCCTAAACGCCTGCTTAATCACCACTGTGATACTCAGGTAGGCAATGCCCCCGTTATAATAGCTGATACCATTCACACCATAGCTAAGTCATCCACTTTATGGGGAAACTGCCAACCCGTAGGAAAATATCTGGCTGAGATGGGCACTAGAGTGACTACATACAGATGCGGCGCTGGGCTCACCCACCCACTCTAGAAACACCCACGCTAATTTGAATCAGTCATCCGTTCCCTTCCATTCCCCAAATTCAGTTAATCATCTTAATCAACGAAATCGCGGCGGGCGAGAGCGCTTGAGTTAGACTACTACACAGGAACCACTTCTACGCCGGTTCTAGAGGCCATACGTGCGTTCCAGAGTATTTTCTCACCCACGTTCTCGGGGAACGTTATATTCACCGTTCAGAGGGATCCGCCGTCGTTCAGGAAGTAGCATGTGGATGTCTGTGGTTGTGTGCTTGGCTTCCTATCATTCCCTGGTCACTGATGCTGATGTCGGATATTCTCTAGCAGACCGGGCGCAGCTAGAACAACAGCTGACAGGTAATTGATTGCACGCGGTAAATTTTATTTGTCATTCTGAAAGAGCATTGCAGAAGAGTTCGACGGCATCTGATTATCATGTGATGAAGGGTATCTATATACAATTATTGTAACCTGGGTATATTCTACAATGAAATAGCAGGATATGTAAGATCAAATCTGCAGTACACGAGCAGAAGCAAATGCAGAAAGACGAACAAAAAGTAAGAGATGAAAGCAAGAAAAGCGCCAAGACAGAATGGAAGACAAATTATGAACAAACGAACGACGAAGATCCTAGAGCATAGCGCATGCGAAACATAATTATCAGGAAGCGACCATACCTCAAACACCATCCTCAGGTCGATGACAAAAGACATAATTCATACCTCCTCATCCCCATCATCCCCCTCCCCATCGCTCATAGCATATAGACTCAAACTCGCCATATCCCCAAGGTGTAACTCGTGTTCGGGGCGCAATTGTAGACTATGTGGAGACCCAGGAGCTTCTGTCATAGAGAAAGTCGCGGTGCTCGGGCTCGCAGCTGCTGTTCCCGTCGATGCGAAGGAAGTGAATGATACAGATTGACTTGCGTAAGAGGATTGAGGGGCATAGAAGGAATGCGAACGAGGAATCATGGAATGCGAGTGCGAATGTTTATGCCCTAATTTTTTAACAACAGGAGAGGAACCGCCAGGAGAAGGCGGTGACTCGCTCACCACGTTGGATAATCCCACATCCTCCAACATCAACATCGACATTTCAGGCGGTGGAGCGGGGAACAAGCTCGAGGATGTGCTCGCGCGTCTTTGTCTCTCTGGATGTCTCTTCTGCGGGGAAGGAGGTTGAATGGACAATGAAGATGTAGGTTGGGACTGTGTCTGCTGCGAAGGAAGTCTGAACTGCGTGGACCGCGACGGGGAGGGGGTCCGTCCGGATGTGAAATCGAAAGACGCCTTAGCGGATACAGTATGGTGTCTGTCATGCTGTAGGAGATGGGAGTGCGATCGTTCGAGATGAGGCATACGAGGGACAGGTGTGAGTGTTCGGGATTGATGAGCAGGTGAGACACGGAGAGAAGCAAAGTGTTTTCGGGGCAAGCGCTCGAAGTCTTGGTCGTAGCGATGTGTTTTATCGGACCCATCTTCCTCGTCCTGGCTGAGCACGCTAAGTCCTACGCCTCTGCCCAAGCCTACATCATCTCTGTCCTGTTTCACCATGGCTTCTAACACCCTCAATCTTTCTCTCAACACTCCATTCTCCTCCCTCAGTCTCCTGCACGCCTCCTGGGAATCTGCAAGGGCATTCAGGAGTGCGGAGGTCTCGAGACAATGCTTTTCTTGAAGCGTCCGGACGTTGGCTCCCATTGCATTCCCAACTCCAGCATTCCCAACTCCAGCTCCAGCTCCAGCACTAATCCCCGATCCCACACCGCTGCTTACGCTCGTAGGAGCTGTACTTCCTGAGAATGCAGTCCTCGCGGCGCTTGAGAACGTCGGGCTGGGGCTCCATCCTGTACCAGCATTCCCTGTCGTGCACGCGCTCCTCGTGCCAAACGAAGACGTGCTCGCAGCTTCTGAAAATGCCGCACGCGATGGGGCATGGTCCCGCAAGGAAGTATAGCGGTTGATAGTCGAATAGTCACGATCCCTATCATAACGGCCGAGAGACGTTTCACGATCACGATCCAACCGGCTCATCACCGAAGTAGCGCCTTCACGGTCACGGTCAAACCGACTCAGCACTGAACTTGCGCCTTCTCGATCCTGCTCAAATCGATTGACTCTGGCACCTGCCCTCTCTCGTTCGAACCTTGCACCAGCCTCCTCTCTTTCCCCGTCGAACAACCCGGCAGCAGCAAATGCTTTGGCAGTCCTTGGACCAAGCCATTCCATGATTGGAGGTCCTGGTATATGCGTGCTACGGGTGAGCGGGGAGGACACAAGTCTGTTTTCTCCGGAAGCGAGCTTGACCCTGCCTGCCCTCTCTCCAACTCCGTTATTTACACCAAGCCCAAACCTCCTTGCACTATTGAGGTGATTGCTCGCGCTTGATCCTGAATTCTCAACACGAGTAGATAAGGATGAGGGTTCGTCAACACTTAAGCTTCTCTTCCGGCTGATAAAGAGGTGGGGATGATGACGGCGACGGATATGGGCTGGGTCATGGGGGGTGCTTGTAGTTGGGGGAGGGCTAGATGTGGGGGTCCTTGGGTTTGTGCTGGTAGTGGTAGTGGAGGGTGAGGAAGTGACCGCGGTTGAGGGAGACGCACTAAGACTGGGGGGTGCGGTAGAAGTAGGTACAAGAGCTGTAGTGATACAGGGCACCAAAGGCGGCGCCCCTCTGGTGGGCACAACGTTGCCATTTGGACACGAGGATACGTGTCCCTGCTGCTTTGGGTGCTGAATCTGCTACAAATCGTCCTATAAGTATGCGAATCAACGCGGAAATGAAAAACTCGCCTCGGTCGATACAGCACAAGTATTCTTCGACCCGGTATCGGAAGAAGAGCGAGGCATGAAGCTGACATTTACCGATGGGCGAGGGACACATGTGTCCAAAGATACCCTCAACCCCGTAGTGTCCGATGTCGATCGCATCACCGTATCCGCTGTAACCTGCCCAGCCGATAAAGGAGACGGAAGCTGATGCCTCTGCGTTCTCGTGGCCGTTTCCACAGATGTGCCTGGCGTACTCACAGCGATGGAAGGAGAGGCAGAAGTGACACTTCGCACGAGCCTTGGCAAATGTGACGGTGACCGACGCATGTCCATAGAAGGACGGGAAATTGGGAGTTGCGTAGGTTCTGGAGAGTGTACCACTCCTTGTGACGTTCTGGAGCCCAGCGATACTAGGGATCGTGCATCTAACTGGGGCACTGTTGATGATCGTATGCTCGGGGATAGAGGTGTTATAGGCTCTCGTGGTAGCGGTTCGACGGAAGAGCATCCTGATGACAAAGGTGTAGTAGATCGTTCAGTTAGAGGCGCGGAGTATAATCGAGGACCAGGTGTTTGAGGAACTGTTGAAGCTGCCACTCGGTATGGTCCAATACTGAACCTGCCTGGTGCCAATTTATCGGTGGCTGATTCCCCCGTCTCCTTTCTGGGCGCGCGATGAGGACTGAGTAGCTCGGCAAGGTCGGGATCGAGCGCACTGAAGTCAAAGGTCGCGTCTGGGTCTGGGTCTGATATCTGAGGGAGACAAGAAGTCGAACCCCCACTGTCAAACCCATGATTCGTTCCCGATGGTGGCGGCGCCACGTCTGCATCTTCAACCACGATAACACTGGACCAACCGTCGGCAGTAGTGGGGGATAGAGCGTCATGGAGTTCAGCGGATAAATTTGAGAGGGATAGATCGAGATTGGAAGCGGTGGGGGAGGGGCCACAATAAGTTTGAGAGGCAGAGCGGTCTTTGGGAATGGGAAAGGTGCCGTGAGATGGCGGGGGGGAGAATGTGACCTTGGATGGAAAGAAAGTGTGTGGCGAAGTAGGGGAAGGAGATGGGGAAGGACTTGCGGAGGGGATGTATTTCGAGATACCCGAGTTTTCGGCTTCGAGGATGGTGCTAAGGTCAGCAGGGCATGGGTGGATGGGAACTAGTAATGATATTTCATGATAATGTTTGAACAAAGATAGAAAAACTACGAACCATACATCTCGTCATCAAGAGACTGGGAAGCAGTAGAGAGTGAAGGAAGGAGACTGTCGGAGGCTGAAGCAACGCGGACAAGATCATAGCTCCTTTTGTGCGCACCAAATTCTTCAGCATCAAGACGTGATATAGATATGACAGGAGGATTGTCCTGATCACGTTGATGGTCGCGGGCAGAAGAAAAGGAAGGTTTGCGATCACTGGAGCGACGGAGAGAGGCAAAGTGAAATGGATGTTTTGTTTGTGTCGGTGGCTGAGCTGGCGAAGCTGGTTTGCTATTTCCAAAAGGGAGGAGGTTGCGGATAGCCCGAAAGGATGGGACGCTTGACGGTGTGGATGGCGTTGACGGTGCACTACTATCAGATGTGCGACGCATGAGTGGGAGGGGATTAATACTGCTTGACATCGAGGACCGCGACGTGCGCGTGCTTATCATGCCCAAACCAGGTGACAAGTCTGCCATGGTGTCGACGAAGATGAAGGGCGTTGAACTGTTCCTGACCCGAATTCCAGGATGAATGTTACACTAGTTGTGACAGACGTGCGTCTGTGGCATGCACGCTGCGAAGACCAGCTTCGGGATGGACAGCAAGTCAGTTTAACGACGGCGACGACAACGAGCCGTTCGTTGTCGCTAGTGGCAAGCGACGAACCGACAACTTCAATAAAATTATCGACTAGCATCGTCCCTTGATTTTAAACACACTTGCCTTTTTCGGCGATCGTCTTTGATCCCGCGTCCGTTTCCGTGCAATTTCTGTTTTGTACTAGGTACCATAGGGGAATCCAGAACACTGGTAGCGTTACTACTGGGTCCACCCATGGCCACCAGCAGACTCTGCCAGCGCACTTTCTCCGCCTTCAAGCCATCCAACCGACTGTGGGTACCAGTATCTTCGAGATGGGGACTGAACCAAGTGACACAGCAGCTTGCTCTCACATCTCGCTTTTCTCTCATAACACAGAACCTCGATGCCTTCTCCTCGCGTCCCGTCGCACGAGCCAACCTACTCCTCGGTGGTATCCTCGAGGAATCCAAACGTCCTGATATTATCTTTCTCCAAGAAGTCACGTCCGATGTCCGCACCTCTATCCTGGGCAATCCGAAAGTTCGCGAAGCCTTCCTGGTGACGGATGCTGAGGACCAAACATCGTTCGAGGGAGTACCCTTTGCGAATATGACGTTGCTGTCTAGCAAGCGCTTTGCCTTCGACTTGGAGTTGCAGAAGGAGGAGGATGGGGTCGAGAGAGGGGAGAAGTTCATGCTTGGTCCCGTTTCCCGCGTCAAACTCCCCAGCAAGTATGGGAGGTGTGCGCTTTCCGTGGACATCATCCCCCCATCCACCCCAACCACAACCTGTCGTCTCGTCAACGTTCATCTCGATTCTCTTGGGGACACGCTCCCTTACTGTACTGAGCAGATGGAGATCCTTGCCAACCTCCTGCGTGAGCCTGGATGCGGTGGTGGACTGATCGTGGGAGACTTCAACGCCATCAGCCCTGAGGATCATGCTCTCCTCGACAAGAACGGACTGGTGGATGCGTGGGTCGCGTTGCATGGAAAGAAAGGGCTTGATGGAGCTATGTGGGGAGTGGGGGTAGAACGACATTATATAGCACTTTTCTATATGGGTCGTGGTTAAGAAGGGGTCGTTTCAAGACATTTCACAAATATAATCCTCCACTGGAACTGTTCCACTGGAGGGTCAGAGTACCAGGGTATCGACAACAATGATCTCCACTGGAACCATTCCACTGGAGGGTCACAGAGTACCAGGGTGTCAACAACAATGATCTCCACTGGAACAGTTCCATCGGAGGCTCGACTCCATGACAAGACAAAGACATTATGTAAGCTAATACCTGATCAACTAATTGATGAAAACCAATGTCGTAGCCCTCGTCAAGGGGAGTCTATCCATAGTCTAATGACATCAATAGGATAAGATCCTAATGAATTATAAGCAAAATACTCGAAATCGAAGGGTTCAACAAAGCAACTCAACCGTGGGAACTACTCCGATAAAAATGCAAAAATCAAGCAAAATCAAGCAAAGTCTATCAGCAGGACTATTCTCCGGATCCTGCATTTGTATGTTCTAACTTTGGTGCATGAAAATGCATGTTAGGAGGGCCAGGATTCCAAATCCAACTTAGGGACAATGATCAGGACCCTCTTGGCTTGACATATCATGCTTCACTTCCTTGATTACTAAGCAACCCTTATCCCAGTAAGCCACTCAAATTGTTAACTATTTGCAAAACTAAAATGATCAGATCTCCATGATAGGCAAACAAAATTTCACATAAAGTATCTCAAAACTTCCATTTATATGTATATTACATAATCACAAACTTTTACTTGCACCCGTTACCTTAAAAGGCAATCTGCAGATGTTTTAATAAAATCTATGAAATAATGATAAATTGCAAGGCAATATAATTAGGCCAGAGGGTTATGGCGCCACTGATAAAATATGTCAGGGTTACATACCTCAATCACATATACAAACCCCCAGGACCCATGACATCATTCAATTGGTGTTTCTCTATATCTAACTGTTATTTTCCTATATAAATTCATCTGTATGCCTTTGACCCACTTGATATGTTGGGGGATGGCTTTGACAAAAGATGAAATATGTTCATTTAGCATGTATATATCACACTCTAGAATTTCATGTGCACCCATGACCATCTTCATATGGTTCCTCTATGTAAAACTCTCATTTTCATAGAAAATCTGTGAAATCTGGATGTATATGGCCCCGAACCACTTGATATGTCGGGGGATGGCTTCGACAAAAGATGAAATATGTTCATTTAGCATGTATATATCACACCCTAGAATTTGGTGTGCACCTGTGACCATCTTCATATGGTTCCCCTATGTAAAACTCCTGTTTTCATAGAAAATCTGTAAACAAAGTAAGTATATGGCCCCGAACCACTTGATATGTCGGGGGATGGCTTCGACAAAAGATGAAATATGTTCATTTAGCATGTATATATCACACTCTAGAATTTGGTGTGCACCTGTGACCATCTTCATATGGCTCCCCTATGTAAAACTCTCATTCTAAGGGCACATTTGTAACCTGGTATTGGTTACACCCAGGTTATGGCTAGCCAAAAGAGCACAATCTGGGCATTTCTCAACATGTCAAAAATGCCCAGAACAGGGGGGGGTTGGATCTGGGCATTTCTGAACATGTCAAAAATGCGCAGAACAGGGGAGGTCAGATCTGGGCATTTCTCAATGTGTCAAAAATGCCCAGAACAGGGGGGGGGTCGGATCTGGGCATTTCTCAACATGTCAAAAATGCCCAGAACAGGGGAGGTCAATTCTAAGGGAAAATTTGTAACCTGGTATTGGTTAGAGCCAGGTTATGGCTAGCCAAAAGAGCACAATCTGGGCATTTCTGAACATGTCAAAAATGCGCAGAACAGGGGAGGTCAGATCTGGGCATTTCTCAACATGTCAAAAATGCGCAGAACAGGGAGGGGTCGAATCTGGGCATTTCTGAACATGTCAAAAATGCGCAGAACAGGGGAGGTCCAGATTTGGGCATTTCTGAACATGTCAAAAATGCGCAGAACAGGGGAGGTCGGATCTGGGCATTTTTCAACATGTCAAAAATGCGCAGAACAGGAGAGGTCCCAACTAGGCATTTCTCATTTTGACATGTTCAGAACTGCCCAGATTGGACCCCCCCTGTTCTGCGCATTTTTGACATGTTGAGAAATGCCCAGATTGGACCTCCCTGTTCTGCGCATTTTTGACATGTTGAGAAATGCCCAGATCCGACCCCCCCTGTTCTGCGCATTTTTGACATGTTGAGAAATGCCCAGATTGGACCCTCCCTGTTCTGCGCATTTTTGACATGTTCAGAAATGCCCAGATTGGACCCTCCCTGTTCTGCGCATTTTTGACATGTTGAGAAATGCCCAGATCCGACCCCCCCTGTTCTGCGCATTTTTGACATGTTCAGAAATGCCCAGATCCGACCTCCCCTGTTCTGCGCATTTTTGACATGTTGAGAAATGCCCAAATTGGACCCTCCCTGTTCTGCGCATTTTTGACATGCTCAGAAATGCCCAGATCCGACCTCCCCTGTTCTGCGCATTTTTGACATGTTCAGAAATGCCCAGATCCGACCCCCCTGTTCTGCGCATTTTTGACATGTTGAGAAATGCCCAGATTGGACCCCCCCTGTTCTGCGCATTTTTGACATGTTCAGAAATGCCCAGATTGGACCCCCCCTAGAGAATGTTAGACTTAGTGACATTTTTCTGCCATTTACTGTTCTCCCATTACCCTTTTAATTTTCACTAGTCCAACACCTGTTGTGCCTTCAGCACAGGAAGCAATAGGAGTGCTTTGCGCTCCTTTTTGGCTTCATCCTAATATTCATAGTTACTGTGCCTTTGGTACAGTAAGGCAAAGGAGCACTTTGTGCTCCTTTGGGAGATACATGCAGCACCTTGACTGAATCATCAGCATAATGGATCTTGAAATAAATCAATAATGATGATAATAATACATTTTTGAGCAGCACTTTCACACATTTCAAGTACAATCTGTTGGCTACTCAACAACTGATCTTGGATGCTATCTTGAGTCACATTTGATACCATATGACATCTCTGCACAACAATCCTCTTGAACACCTTGGCTAATTGTTCATAGTATAACACAAGTGCTCTCATATCATCCAGGTACCTAAGTATTGTGTTGATACACTACTGAGCTAGTTTTTTGCTAGCATGTATAATCTACCACACATCAACAAAGTAGACAATATAAATCAATTTAATTTTACTATTTGACCATCTATCCTCTTCTTTCCCCTGTCTTCCTGGTTTTGGCTGTGTCCTCATAATCATGGACAAAATAAAAGTAGAGAATATAAATCAATTCTCCCGCCTCCCGCCTCCTGCCTCCCGCCTCCCGCCTCCCGCCTCCCGCCTCCCGCCTCCCGCCTCCCGCCTCCCGCCTCCCGCCTCCCGCCTCCCGCCTCCCGCCTCCCGCCTCCCGCCTCCTGTCTCCCACCTCATGTCTCCCATCTTCTCTCTCCCCCCATCTCCTGCCTCCTGTCTCCCATCTCCTCCCATCTCCCATCTTTCATTGTCTTTTCTCCATTTTCATTTTTTTCATTTCACAAATTTCTGTCTTTCATGCCCCAATCTCTCTTTTCTTGCAGATGAGCATTAGTGGGTCTCAAAGTTAAATTTATGAACTGTTAGAAACATCCAACAAAAAGAAACTTCTAAAGGTATTCAAGCTCTGCCAGAATATGATCTTAGGTATCAGTTCTATTACAAGTGATCATGATAATAAACATCATGCCTTGCACATCAGCCCAACAACAGATCTTGCAAGCACTGCATGCTAAGCAGTTCAATCTCCAATATGCTCGCTACTTTGAACTCATCAAACCTGCCATGGAAGAACTCAAAGACTCAGATGATAGTGATGATTCTGATTCTGATTCTGATCAGATGTCCATATCATCAGATTCCTCACTTAGCAAGTTGATTTTCTCCTTTGCAACATCCATGGATGCAACAGAGATACTGACAAGCTCATGTCCCTTTATTGAATTCAGTAACATGGTGTGACAATCATATTCCCACTAGGCTTGCAATGGCCATCTTTTGATATAGGTGATGGAAAGCTACAAAACCATCGACCACTTTTCCTGCACTCAACCTGCTCTGGATGCGTATTCCCACGCTCTGCGGACCCACACATTCACTCCCACACTGCGTGCATACCTGCAGTCGATTTCCCACACCTTCGGACTACCTTACAGGTGTCCTGCATCAGTCCATTGCCCATCCTACCTCATTGGTATGTATTTTGCCTTGCCTCGTGTGTTGTAACAAGTGTTGCAGCCTTATTACATGTCTTTACATATTCCTACTGCCTGTCTGTCCTGTCCCTTCCATTTCCAAGAGGGTTTAGCTAGTATAAAGTGCCTAGAGTGACTACTTTGTATTTACTTCCCTTCTACAGTATTTCCTTCCCTTAGGTTTTACTTAGGAGCAGTCACCATTAGTGCACACTTTTAGCTCCTATTGGGTTACCTTATACCTGAACACCTTGTCTTGACTTTCCTTACCTGTGCAATCAATACCCTTGCCCTCACTTGTTACCCACACCATTCCTTAAGACTTTCCTACCCCTTACCCTAGCATCTCGCACTTCCACATCAACCGCTCATCAACCGCTCATCAACCACACTTCCGCATTCCCGCACTCTACATACCTGTGCACTTGTTCCCTCACTCTGCGCACTTTCAGGTCTTTAGTATCATCAGCCGTTCTCAGTAGCAATTCCCTTTATGGTCAAATGTTCTTGCTTGCAAGTGTAGCAGCTAGGCAGAGCATCGACCTACAACAATATTTTTGATTAGGCACTTTAACAAGTGTCTAGCCATTGTTGTGTTTGCACAACGGTTCAAGCCTTAGCTGATGAAGTGGAAAAGTCTCGGGTCCTCTTCACACATCCAAAATCCAGCCATGCCCTGCAGCTACATCTCCTTGAGGAGTGGGTGCTAGATAAACCTGAGAAGTTCCATTGTAAACTTCATGTCAATCCCCCTGTCTTCATGGAGATTGTCAATAAAATCATCAATCATCCTATATTCTATAACAACTCACAAAACTCTCAGTTACCAGTCCCTGTACAGCTTGCTATATTCTTGAATAGCGCTGGCCACTATGGAAATGCTGCAACAACAGAAGATATTGCAGATTGGGCTGGTGTCTCAGTTGGGACGGTATACAATTGTCACCATCATGTCATGGTTGCTCTCCTTCAGCACCATCATGATGTGATCCATTTTGATCCACTTGATCACAATGATCAAAACAAGTGAGAGCAAGCAAAGGACTGGGTTGAAGAACAAACCTCTCCAGAGTGGAGGGGTGGATTTCTTAGTATCAGCAGCACACCATTCAATCTGTTTCAGAAGCCTGGGTGGCATAGCAAGGGATTTTATGACTGTAAATTAAATTATTTGCTGTCAGCCCAGGTGCATCATGAGTTAGAACAGAGAAAACCAAACTAACATTTTCAGAAGATCGTAATTATGCCCACAACCTGCACATCGTCCATTATGTGATTGGAGTCCCCAGGAGTGTGCATGACTGAAACACATTTGCAAAAGCTCGAATTACACACCATCCACAAACATTTTTTGGGGGAAATGAGTGGATCTGGGCAGATTCAGCCTATGGTGCTTGCCTGTGGTGTGTTGTACCTTTTAAGCGACCAGCAGCTGGTGGATTGATGTGTGGTCAAAAAACATTTAATTATCACCTGTCAAAGGTAGTATGAACTGTTCTAAGTCAAAACTGTCAACTTGACATCTGCAGGTCCTTGTTTGCTCCAAGCATTGCTATGGTTCTTTGAAAGGCCGATTTAAATCCCTTCATGAACTTCAAGTTCAAATACAGGTGCAAAAAGACCTTGATGAGGTGAACTTGTGGACACATTGCTGCTTTATCCTCCATAACATGATTGTCGACATCAAGGAACAGCTTGGCGGTACTGATACATTTGATCTTTTTGCCCAGGAAGCAAGGCAGTGGGGTCATGGAACGCAGGACAGTGAAGAGGGAGATGGGGACAATGCTGAACAAGAAGGAGCTGGGGATGAAGGTTTTATCAGATCTGAAGGACAGATTTTTTGAAACATGCTGATGGGCCAGTTATTGTGATATCAACAGTGACAGGTAGTAGATACATACTTTAGTAAATTTACCAAGGACCTAGAATGAGTGATGTGAGGAAAGTGCAGTGGATGCAAGGACCCAGAATGAGTGATGTGAGGAAAGTGCAGTCAAACTCAAGGAAAATACAGTGGCCAGAGTGACTTCAACTAACACATTGAATTATTCTAGCATACATCACAATGTTTGAACCTACAATAATGAAAAACAAGCCTAGAATGCAGTAAGAAATTTGTGAGCTAAAATGGTAATAGTGAGGGAAGAGAAGCAAAAGCAGAACAAACATTGAACAGTTACTTGCAAACTTCAGTACTGGGATCCTGATGAGCCAAATTCCTTTCCATAATCAAGCATTCCAACCTCACTTGCTCAAGCTTGATCTCCAATTCCAGCTGCTTCATCCATTCATCTGCCATTGCATGCTCATGGTTTTGAATGGCCATTGTGCTCTGGAGTCCATGTTCACGCTCAGCATGAGATTTGCACATCTTCAACTCTCTGCTTGCCAATTGGGTCTCTAGCTTGAGGTGTTTGTGATTGGCCTTGACTGTGGATGCCTCATGTATGTGCTGAACGAGTGAATCTGATGCCTGATTCATCTTCATAGTGAGCTCAGCTAATATTCTAAGCCAGGGAGTATGGGGCGGACTACTGTCCCAGCCTGTCCCAATGTGTCCCCACCTGTCCTGATTGGGTCCCTACTTGTCCCAGCCTGTCTCAATGTGTCCCCACTTGTCCTGATGTGTCCCCTACTTGTCCCAGCCTGTCTCAATGTGTCCCCACTTGTCCTGATGTGTCCCTACTTGTCCCAGCCTGTCTCAATGTGTCCCCACTTGTCCTGATGTGTCCCTACTTGTCCAGCCTGTCCCAATGTGTCCCCACTTGTCCTGATGTGTCCCAATGTGTCCTGATGTGTCCCTACTTGTCCTAATATGTCCCTACTTGTTCTAATGTGTTCTGATGTGTCCCTTCATGTCCTGAGTGTATGTCCTGATTTGTCCCTACTTGTCCCAATATGTCCTACCTTGTCCTGACTTGTCCCTACTTGTCCCAATATGTCCTGATATGTCCTGACTGGTCCCTACTGCTCTAATATGTCCTGCCTTGTCCTGACTTGTCCCTACTTGTCCCTACTTGTCCCTATGTGTCCTGATGTACCCCAACTATTTACTCTTGTCCTAACTATGTCCCTTGCTTGTGTTGATATGTCCCGACTTGTCCTGATATGTCCTCACAGCAACTTAGGGTAGTCTTATGGCCATTATGACTGTTATGACAATTATAAAACTTTTCATGCAATTCTTTAAGACTAGGTATCCTGATGAAGGTGTATGTGATCCTTACTATTACAATCCTAAGCCAAAGAAGCAAAATGCTAGCAACAATACAAACATCTCACCAAGTCTTTCTTCAAAGTGTTCATGATTTTTAGGTCAGTTACTATATCTCGCTAAGGTCTTATCCTAATGGTGTCAGGAGACTATGGATAGACTCTCCTTGACAAGGACTGCGACTTTGGATTTCATGAACAAATTCCCACATTTGAAGTCAGCTAATCAGCACAAAACACAAAAATTCTTTAAGTCCATGATATGGTCTTACTTGACATTGCTTATATAAGCACATTGTGGTCAACCACAAGTGTTTCCTATGTTTTCCTTGCTCTCTTTTCTATTCAAGTGGATTACCTTTCAGTCTCTGCCTTCTAATGGTCTCAATGTATCTAAGTGTATTTCTCTATTTCTCAAGTGACCCTCTCTAACATATTCTCTTCTCTTTAGGTCTTTTCCTTCCTTCCTATTTGCCTACTTTGACTCTATCTTCCTGAGTCCCTCTCTCTCCAACAAGGTTTCCCTTAAATTTTCGCATTTTTGCTTATTCTGGTTCTTGGTAAGTTTTTCTTTCTGTCTTCTACACCCTTCTCTGATCCTCTCTCTTCACTCTAGCTCACCCAGCTCACCATCTCTCTTCACCCTGGCTCACCATCTCACCCTCTCTTCATCTATCTCTTTAGCCTGGCTCTCACCTTCTCCTTTGATGTCACATTTTACCTATTTGATAAGTCTCTTTGTCTCTTTCACAGTCTTCCTTCTCCTCTTCTCCCTTCAATTTTCATGTTTTGCCTATTCATACTATCATAATTCATGAAGGATCCATCTTTTATACACTGGGAAGTGACTAAGAGTAACATTCACTATATGAAAGAATTAAAGGGTTTACATCTTACCTTAGGACAGACAGATGAAGAGCTAGAACCATTTGTAGACACAGATTGGGCAAGTCAACTGCATAGTGTTACAACCATGTATGCCCCTATTCATTTTCTCTCTTACTGTGTATTACATCATGAGCCACATGATGCCACCACTAGACTTATCATTGACTCATACCTTGTATTACATCACGACTGCCATTGCCATCATTAGATGACCTATTCTTGCTATCACTTACACGTCCTTTATCTCTGACTCATATCTGTTCTCACATCTGCCCTAAAGCACTTGTAGTTCCCTATAAATAGTTCTCTTGTATGCTTTAGTTCTGCACTTTAATCTTACTAGGTTTTACCTGAAACATCCTTCACTTGAGACCTCCAATCTCTTGTCATCTGAACCGTACTTTAAGATAGAAGCACTCCTTCTGTCTTAGCTTACACTGAACGCTTGACTTATTGTCTTATGTAGAATCTCAGCAGAGGTCTTAACTCTTATCAAGTTGTCTGTCATTAGAACTATCCTAGTTTGTAACACATAGATATTCAATGTCTGGATATGTGGTAATGTTACATGACTCACCAATCACATGGAGCACCAGGAAACAGCTTACAATTGCATGACTAAAGCAGAGTATATTACACCTACCTCTGTGGCATGCAACATCTTCTACTTTAAGTCACTACTCAGTGAGCTACACAAACTAACAAGAGAACTGATCCTCACCTACTGTGACAACTGAAGTACAATAATGGGTTTCAAAGTATGTGGTGTGCATATGTTGGAACTTCACAAAAACAAGAACATGTATTGATATTCAAGCTCCACGTAAAACACACATGTTACTGATCAATCCTATCATGGAAAGTATCCAGTATTGTGGAATAGATAATTGATAAGCCTGTACTATTCTATTCTCTACCATCCCTCCTGATGCACATCTCAGAGTGTAAAATGGTACTAGAGGCCCTTCATGAAACAAACAGGAATCTGAAGCTTGCTTGGTACCTCAAGCTAGTAAACATGTTAATAGATGATGACTCATCTGACCCTGAGCCATCTGATGAGTCTAGCTCAGTTGGACTCCAACTCAGTCTTAGACTTGGGCTCTATTGATTCTGATCTATCATCAAATATCAGCATGGATTCCATAAGTTCTTTTGATACCTGGATGTCCTTGTGTTTGTAGAACTCATCAATAAAATTATCCATCATCTGGTTTTTACAACAATTCTTATAATCCACAACTACCTGTCACCATTCAGCTGGCAATATTTTTGAATGCTGCTGGCCACTACAGAAATGCAGCAACCACAGAACACATGGCTGACTGGGCAGGGGTTTTGGTCAGAACAGTATATAACTGCTATTGGCATGTTATGGTTGTGATTCTGCAGCACCATGATGATGTCATCCACTTCAACCCACTGGAGGCCAAAGATCAGATTGAGATAGATTGAGTGAAGGACTGGGTTGAGGAATGTGCATGTCAAGAGTGGCATGATGGATTTTTGCATGTTGATGGTACACCATTCAATGTGTACCGATGAAAAAAGGTCAAACACAATGCTGGTGAGAAATGGCTCGCATGAGCACTTCAGGCACATCGAAGTAATGTTGATCACATTGGTCCAGTACTGTTACTGCCTTTGCAAGCTTCATTAGCACTTCAACTTGGTTTGATCAAGTAAACAACTGGACAAAATACATGACTAGTATTGGCTACTGTCATCTACTAGCTAACATCTATTGCTGTTGAAGACATTAACTGTATGCACATCCAATGCTTGCTCCCAAAAATGCCTCCTACTGTGA